AGGAGCGTGTCGGCGCGCCGCGGTCCAGTGCCGAACTCGGCAGCGCCGGCGGCGGAGATGAGAGACCGCGCGTGGTGCTTGGTGCCGAGCGTGGCGATGCATGCACAGCGAGGTGGATGCTGCGGCGCCCGGCGCGGCTCTGGCCGGCGTGCGAGCTGACTGAGCGGGCTGGCGAGCTGACCTGCTCCGTCGGCTCGCCGAGCCAGGCGCCCCACCACGGCGCACGATGGCGCTCGACGGCCCACTCGATGCGGCCGACGATCGGCAGACGGCCAAAGGGTGTCGATGCGCGACTTGAGTAGCCCCCGCCGGTGCGGCTGCCAAAGCTGTCGCCCATGCGGCTGCTGGTGTCGTGCATGGGCGAGTGGCGCCGGCTCGAGCCGCCCTCGCCGCCAATCGAGGCGCGCAGGCGCGAGCCAGATGTTGACCGCCGTGCGGAGAGCTCCTCAGAGTCCGTCGCCGAGGCGTAGCCCTCGCCGGAGCGCGAGATGGTGCGCGGCGAGATGCTCGAATGCCCGCTCGGCACGCGGCCGTGGCGACTGTGCGAAGAGCGCCGGGAGACCTCCTCAAACGACTCCTCTGCGCCCTCCTCGAAGTAGCGGCCCCAGATGGCCGCCCATGCGTCGTCACCAATCCGCGGGCCCGCGTTGCCCTCGCCGTCGTCGCAGAGGAAGAGCGAGAGACCGCCAATGGACGGCAAGCCGTACTCGCGCGCGATGGCGTACAGCTGTCCGCCGAGCGTCGGGTACAGCGGCAGCAGGCTGCCTCGCCGCATGTGGCTGACGCCACCCGAGAAGGCAGACCCACTGCGCGGCGTGTCGCTTGGAAGGCTGTGGCGCACCGCGTCAGCGCCGCACCAGCAAGAGTCACGCCGGCCCGCAGGCTCGCTCCCACCACCACTCACTCTGTAGGCGGCACAGCGACGATGAAGAACTTGTGCGACGCCGGATACGGCGAGCGGTGCGCGCTCACCGCCGAGCTGACGCCGCGCTCGAAGCCGAGCGCCGAGCGTGCCGGCACCTGCGTGACACTCGAGCTGCCAGCGGGCGCCGTGTGCGGCAGGCCGCCGGTGTTGTACTTGGCACCACGGCTCACGAGGCGGCGCTGCGAACCGACGGCGCCGTACGGCGAGCGCGGGCTGTGTGCCGGCGACGCGGCCGCCTGCTGAGGCTGCGGCCGGCTGCGCGACGACGAGGCGACGAGCAGCGGCGGCGTCGAGGCGGCAAAGTCGGGCATGCCGGCGGCGCTGAGGGGCAGGCCGTCACCGCGGTAGGCATCGCTGTGGCTGCGGCGTGGCGGCGCGGCCGCGAGGGCCGCGCTGCTGCTCTCGGCGTCGTAGCTGTAGCTCATCGAGCAGTCGCCGCCGTGCGACGAGGGCCAGGAGCGCTCCGACGGCTGGCGCGACGATGAGGCGCCGGCACTGACCTGCACGGGGCGCAGAGCCGCAGCCTTGGAGCGCCGGGCCGAGCTGCGCGGTGCGGCGGCAGCGGCGTCGGCGTCGGCGCGAGGCGAAGGAGGCACGACGACCTGGCTGAGGCGGGCAGGCATGCGCGTCGTGGAGCGGTCGTGCGGCGGAGGTGGTGGATGGAGCTGGCGAGCACCACCCGCCGTCGAGCGTTATGAAGCGTGAGACAGTGGCGAGGCGGTGACGACGACGTCAGAGCGAGGTGCTGCGCGTGCGAGGATGCGAAATGAGGACGGGGTCCAAACGTCGCTAGCGCTGGGCGCAGGAGAGCTGCAGCGAGAGCGAGGCAGAGGGCCAAGGCGCGGCGACGCGTGCAGCAGAAGAAGGAAGAGCGCTCGGCCGCGCAAAGTGCGCGTTGTGCTCTTCTCTTGCGTGTGGCGCACGGCGCGGAGGGCGAGAGGGGCGGATGGATGCGTCGGGCGCCGGCGCCGCCGAGGATGGAGGTCAGGAGCGACGAGCGGCGAGGGGCTTGCGCCGTGGGTGATGGCAGCAGCAGCAGCAGCAGCAGCAGCAGCAGCAGCAGCAGCAGCAGCAGCAGCAGCAGCAGCAGCAGCAGTGCCCACGCTACGGTACCCTGAGCGAGGGCGGACGAGGGCCGGCGCCGGCGGGGCGTCGCTTCGCTAGCGCACACCGCGCCTGCGTGCAGGAGAGCTCGCAGCTGCGGCCGCGCGTCACCTCTCGTGGGCGGCGCCTGCACGGGCGCGATTGCCTGATGTGCGGCGAGGCGCTGCACGGCCGTCGCCGCAGTCGAGAGTCGCTCTGCGCGCTGGCTGGCGTGCGAGAGCGAGCTGCGGATTGCTCGCGCTGGCAGCACCAGGACGTTGGGCTGCGAGGGGTGGGCGCGCACGGCGTCAGCGGCCGGGCCCAGCGGACGATGCGAGGGCGGCGGACGTGCAGCAGCAGCGGGCAGGCCGAGAGCTGCGGCGGTGCCCGCTCGCTGTGCTGGCGCACCGCTCACGATTGGGCGTGCGCGCATGTGCCTGCAGCGAGGCGCCCGCCGCCGCTCATCGCTCTCTCGCCGCAGCAGCGCCTCTCGCTCTCCCCCTCTCTCTATGATTAAGCACAGACGCTCTCTTCGAGAGCCCGCCGCGTCGCCACAAGGCGGGTCAACGCGGGCGCAGGCCGCAGCGCAGGCACCCGCACCCGCTCTCGCGAAAGAGGGGCTGTGCCGTGCCGGTGTGCGGCGACTGCCGCGGCTTGATTTGCCCCTCTTCGTGAATGGAGCGCGGCACGCCCGCGGTGACCGGCCCTGCGCCGCCAAAAGCCGCCCGCCAAATTGGCCCGCGCCGCCGGCCCGGGCGTCACATCACCCACTCACGAGGTGCTCTCTGGGAGGGGGCTCTGTGCAGCGAATCGCAGGCCTTCGGGGTGCGGTTGCAGCTGCGGCGAGGAGAGCGCGCGAGGGATGGGCGTGTCAGCGCCCGGAGCAGCCGAAGCGAGGTGTGGACCGCAGCGCCTGCATCTCTGCACGCTTGCGCGTGTGGCAGCGCCTAGCGTGCCCGGGCGCAGGGTGCAGCGACGAACAACCAGCAGACATGAGACGCCTCGGCGGTGCAAGCTGCCGCTGCTGAGCACTGCTGAATGGCGGCAGACGAAGCACCAAGCAGGCGCAGCTCGCTCTGCTGGGCTTCCCGGCACCCGGCCAACGTCGGCGCCTGCCGCTCTGCCTGCACCGAGGATTCGACGGACGCGCGCGTGCGCTGCGAATTGCTCACCAAACGAGGGTGCTCGAGCGTGAGAGCGCAACAGAGGCTGCCGCAGGACACGCAGAGGCGAGACTGCGACGAGTCGTGGGTGCTGCAGAGCGCAGCGAAGAGGCGAGGCGGAGGGTGGGACAGAGGAGAAGAGGGATGGAGAGGAGCGAAGCCAAGGTGCAAGACGGTGCGGCAGAGGCCTCGACGGTGTGTGCCGATGGTCTGCAGCTGCGTGACGGGCCGGACGTGGCCTGGCTGGCGGGCAGACAGGACGTGAGCCCGAGGAGTGGAGGGCTGCCGAGGCCGGCGCCGGCAATGAAGGCAGCCGTACAGCGCAGCGGAGGCCCCAGGGCGATCCTCGGGGCCCTTGGACGTGTCGCGACGGACAGCTGCACGGCCGCCAAGGCCGCAGACCTGCAGCACCACCGCTCGCACCTGCCCTTTCGCCTCGCCGCATGCCCACATTGAGCCGGCAAGCGCGACTCACAGTACGCTTGCCTCTCGACTCGGCAGGGCGAGCTTCACAACATCTCGACGCGAGCCCGGAGAAGGCAGACGCGTCATGCTGGGGCTGCGCTAGGCGACAGCGTGCGTGTGTTGCTCTCCACCTGCGAGCATTCCATAGGGCGTGGGTGGCGTCTAGCCTTGCTGTCTCACTCGACGCATCAGGAATCGGACCCTCCTACAGCCGCAGAGACCCCCGACTGCAGCGCTGCTGCTGTGTTGGGGCTGTGCCTCCGAGGCCAGCGACGTCCGAGAGATCAACACACGCGTCGCGGCCGGGCGGAGTCGCCTGCCGCCCGAGCATATCCCACAAAGCGAAAGTCACCTCGCGCAAGGCGGAGCCACGGAGCGATGACAGCCTGCAGCATGCAGCGGCGGAGCGTCTCATTCTCCGTGGCGGCTTGCTGTTGTGATGGGCAGAGAGCGTTCGGCGGGGCCGGCCATCGGCAGCAGGCGCGGTGGCGTCTTCCATGGCATGGCCGCATGCCGCGCGCCGCAGGGCCGTGCCTGCGTCGAGGGCCTTGGGCGCAACTTGGCGCCGCCGTTCGGTGCTCGGAAGCGACGATCGAAGCCTCGGGCGAATAAGCATGGCCGCAGCATCACGGCAGCAGCATCAAGAGGCACAACCGTCGCGTGCAGCAGCGGGCAGAGCAGATGCAGGTGCAGGTCGGACGCACGGCGCTGCGTGCCTTGGCTTGCCGCGCTGCGCAGCCGGCGCGGCCCCGAGGGCGCGAGCTGACGTCCGCGCGCAGGCGGCGCCGAGGAGCGAGGCGAGGCAGCGCAACGGACGGGCTGCGGCAGCGACGCGTCGCGCCGGCACGCTCGTGCATGGCATGCGCCGTGGCTGACGCTGAGCGTCGAATCGCATCGCCTCGATGCTCAGCGGAGCCAGGCTCCCGAAGCGCCGGGACCCACACACATATACAGCGCTCGGCGCAGAAGCGGCGTCCTGGCGCGCAATTTGCAACGAGCAGCAGCGCCGCCGACGGGTGCGCTGCTCGCTTCGGCCGAGCCAGCCGGCCGCGCGAGCTGTGGCGGCGCATGAAGCATGAGCGGACGCCGAGCACCGCCTTAGCGCCGGCTGGCAGGGTCCCACGCCAGCGAGCCGGACCCTGAGGCAGGACGGCTGCGGGCAGCGCAGCACGAGCTCTCGTCTGCGCTCCTGTCAGCCACGTGCGCGGCCGAAGCGAGCCGCTGCAGGTGGCGTTGATCCGAGGCCAGACGGCACGGCGCATCAGCGTTCAGGGCTTGGGCGCCATCTCTGGTGACCACGTCGCTTCGATTGCGTAAGATGTGGGTGTGTGGGTATCGCGTGATGATGACAATGCGGGTCGTGCTTAGGCCTCTTCCGCCTGCTCGCCCTCGTGCTCGAACAGGCCCAGTGCGCGCGCCGCCTTCTTGGCGCCCTCGACCGCCGGGCCGTCCATCTGCCCGCCAGGAGCAAAGAGAGCCACAGCGCGACGGGCGCGCATCTCGAGCGCACGTTGTGCTCGCGCCTCGCTCCAGCTCTCCAGCTCGGCGGCCTTGATGCGGGCGCTCTCGAGCAGCTGCTCGGGCAGGCCGGCGAGGGCGGCACAGTGCTGCGGGCGCGCATGTCAGCGTGTGCGAGTACTGGAGCCAGCGAGCGACGCACAATGCCGAATGACTTGGACGCCAGGCCGGGACGCAGCTTGTAGAGGAAGGTGATGTCCGAGGTGGCGGCGCCCGGACGCACTGCCTCGTCGAAATCGTCGTCGAACTCATCCACCTCGACATCGCGCGCGCGCTCGATGACCGCCATGTGCTTCGCCTCCAGGCTCAGGCCAGCCTCTCTCTGCGCCAGAGCGCCGAGGGCAAGGAAGTGCGTGACGAAGAGCAGCTTGGCTAGTGCGGAAAGATGCGGTCAGCTGGCGCTTGCGCCGTTCAGCTAGTGAGACTCACGTCGACCGGTCGGGCGGGTCAGCAGGTGCACGAGCACTGCATGGGCGACAGCTTGGCCGTCGAATGTCGACGTGCCTCGTCCGAGCTCGTCGAGGATGACGAGACTGCGCTCCGTGGCCGTGCGCAGGATTTCCGACGTCTCGCTCATCTGCAGCAGGGTCAGCCTGGGCATCATCGAGCCGGACGAGATGACGCACCTCGACCATAAATGTGCTGCGTCCCTTGGCCAGCTCGTCGCTGGCGCCCATGCGCGTCAGCACGGCGTCGTGCATGGAGAGATGCGCCGAGTCGGCGGGCACGTAAGAGCCGATCTGCGCCAGTACGACCTGGCATCACGGTGTCAGCAAGTGGCACATCGTTGACTCTCGGCTGCATCTCACGAGTAGCGCGATCGCACGGACAGTGGACGACTTGCCGCCCATGCTGCGGAGGGGCTATGTCAGGCGCGGCCAATCGTCTCTGCTCCGCGCACGGCACTCACTTGGAACCGGTCAGCAGCACGCCGCGCGCGTCGTCGCCTCCGAGACAGACGCCGTTCGGCACTGAGAAGGGGCTCAGCTTGCGTCAGAGGGGCTCGACAGGTGAAACTCACCATAGTCGTCGACGAGCGCCTCGCTGACAGGATGGCGGAAGCCCTTGAGCTGCAGCACGTCCTTGCCGGTCTCGTCGAAGCTGAACGCTCGGCGTCAGCAGTGTCTACTAGGCTCTCGCGGCGAGGGCACTCACGTCGGGCGGACCCAGCCAGGCAGGAGAGCGACATTGGCAAGCGAGACGAGCGCGTCAAGCGTGGCCAAGCCGAAGACAGCGTCGCGCAGGATGGTGTAGTGGTCGTCGCAGAGCGCCTGCACGAAGGAGCGGTAACAGCGGTCTGCCTCCGACGCCTGCATGCGCACGCTTGAGCAAGGCACGTGTCTGCACAGCAAGAGACTTACCAGCGTCTCCACGGCAGCATCGCGCTGCCGGTGAATCTGGAGCACCGTCGGCGTATGGAAGCGGACGTACTTCTGCGTCGCGCTGACGCGCGTCCAGTCGGCTGGCATCTTCTTGGCATCGGCGCCGGCACGGATCTCGATCAGATGGGTCTCGTTCGAGACCGTGGCGTACGACAGCTTTGGCATGCGGAGCTGCTTGCGCAGGTCGACGAGGTGCTCGGCCAGATCGTTCTAGAGGGCCTCAGTCAGCCGCTGACCGCGCTTGTATCGCAACATGGCTCACATCGTAGATCGCGATCTGGCTCTTGAGGTCCTGCAGCCCGGGGTACATCTCAGGGTCGACGAAGAGCTCCGTCTTCTCGTTGGCTCGCGCCTGCTTGAGCGAGATGGCATCGAGTGCGGCTTTGACACAGCTGCGTGCCTTCGGCAGCGCGGCCACAGCATCGTTCAGCACGCTGGAGGGCATGCCGAGGTCCTCGGGCTCGGCCACTGGCTCGATGTCAAAGGCAATGCGGTTCAGCGAGAGCAGCACCGTAGCCAGCTCCGTCGGCTCAGCTCGGCCGTATGACATCCGAGCGAGGCCCTTCTCGAGGTCAGGCAGGCCCTGGAGCAGGCCAGGAATCTTGAGCGTCACCGGATGCGACCCGGCGTCGACCAGGGCCTGGACGGCATCGCCTCGTGCGCGCAGCATGTCCACGTCGGTCAGCGGGCGGCCGACCCAGCGACGAAGCAGGCGTCGGCCGAACGCCGTCTTGCAGCGGTCGAGCAGCCAGATCAGCGAGCCCTAGGCTCAGTAATCAGCCTCGGCAAGTCGAACGCAGCTGCGGCTCAGCACTCACCTTCTCGCGGTAGCCGTCCGAGTTGCGGTAGATCTCGAGGTTGTCGAGCGTCGTGCTCGTGAGCAGCATGACGTTGCGGTCGGCAAAGGAGGCGAAGTTGGGGATGCGGAAGAGATTTTCCAGGCCGAAGCCCTGCAGGTGCTCGATGGCCGCGGCCATGGCAATGAGCGCCAGATGCGGCAGCTTGCTGGCCACGGCGAGAATCTTGCCGGCATCGGTGGCGTTGCTGAGCTGCAGCATGCCCTCCTCGTAGAAGCGCGAGACGCTGCGCCACGCCTCGTCGTAGCCCTTGGGAAAGGCACGACGCTCGACGCGGATGCGGCCGGAGCCCGCAGAGGCCGAGCTTGAGCCGGCGACGTGCTTGATCATCTTCTCCGTCTGCTTGGACAGGCCTTCCGGGATGAGGATCTCTGCGGGCTGCAGATGTGCGAGGCGCGTCTCGAGCTCCTGTGAAGCCGTGTCAGCTCCCTGTGGCCTCCTCACGGCTCGCTTACGCACGCTGCGGACGTGCGTGTCCGAGAATTGATCGAATGTGACCGAGCCTACGTTCGCTTGGATGGCGACGAGACCAATGCAGACGCGATCGTCCGGGCCGTTGCCGCCCTCGAGCCGCTCGACAATAGCTAGCAAGCTGCGGGTAGCCGCAGGGTTGGCGAACCCGGCCTCCTCGCCCATGCCAGCGACGTCAGACGACAGATCGTCCACCCAGGTCGCCGCAGTGTAGAGCGCGGTGACCTTGCGCTCAAAGGGCCCCGACTTGTTCGAGCCGATGGCTTTGAGCGCACGCGTCTCGACCTGAACATGTGTGTCAGAGCGAGCGCATAGGCACGTCTGCCGGTGCTCACCTGGCGCACCACGCCGACCTTGTGCCCAGCCGCCACGAGACGCCGGACGTGGATGTGCAGGCGATGTACAGGCACCATGGCGGCGAACTACGGACCAGTCAGCGCTCATCTTTACTGATAGTGCATGAGACGCACGAGATGGTTGTCCGGGTAGCACATGATGGAGAGTTCGCGCGCGGCGATGCGTGCATCCTCGTTGTAGAACTTGACCTGCGAAGGTGTCAGCACAGTGCAGTCACTGGTGGCTGAAGCACAGCGCACCTTGTATCCCACCTCCACCGCCAGTAGCACGCCAGGGTTCTCCTCCTTCAGAGCCAGGATCTGCTTCTCGAGCGGCGTGTACTCGTCGCCCTTCTTCTTCGACGTCGAGCCCGAGCGGCCTTTGGCAGCAGTCGCAGCGGGCGTCTTGGCTGCGCCACTCGGGGCTGCGTACTTGCCAAAGCGATTCGACGGCCCGGCCTCGTTTGCCTCGTCGGCCACCGCTGCGTCGCTCGTGTCCTCCTCTTCGTCGCTGGCGGCCTCCCTTCCCTGGCGCGTGAGCCGCGCAAGCGGATCCTCGGGGCCAAGCAGCCGCTTGCGGAGTTCGCGCCTGCGAGCCGGCTCTGCCGCGCGCTGCGAGGAGCTCAGCGCCTTCGAAGCCTGGCTCGGTGAAGGCAGCAAAGCTCCGCGTGCCGTCTCGGCTGCAGCCGAGCCCGAGGCATGGGGCGCAGCCTGCGAGGGCTTGAAGCTCCACTCCTCGCGCTGTGCTGCCTTGGCTGCCGCCTTGCGCTCTGCAAGCTCCTGGCGCTCCTGCGCGGTGGGACGCGGGATCGGCCCGGTGCTCGTGCGCGCCACCTTTGCCGGCGGCTGACCCTCGCTGGAACGGCCGGGCCCAGCGGCCTCAGCGGCGGGCGCATCCGCCGCATCGGCGATGTGCTCCTCCTCGTCCGAGGAGAGCTCGACGACGTGGCGCTTCTTGCCGGCCGCCGGCGAGCCGGACGCGGGTGCGGCCTTCTTGAAGAAGCTCGAGATGAGCGGCGTGCCCTGCGGCGGCATGGTGGGGAGCGGGCGGCCAGCGGGCCGGAGTGGAGGAGAGTGGAGAAGAGGAAGAAGCAGCGGCTGCTCGCGCTGCGCGCCACTTAACGCGCTCCACGCGTCGCTTGAAATGCACGCGCCAGCCGACTACAAGGTGTTGGTCCCGCGCCGCTACCTGTACCTGTACAGCGACTACAAGCTGCGCCTCGCGCCGGTTGGCTCGCTTCCTCCACACCCTCGCCGCACCAGCCATGGCCGACTCGCTGCTGGTGCCGCTGCACGTCAAGTACATCGCCGCGCTCGCCAAGCACCGCGGCAGCCTGGCGTACCACCTGACGACGCATCTGCGCCTCAACGCCATCTACTGGGCCGCCACGACGCTGCACCTGCTTGGCGCGCCCGAGGCCCTGCCGCGCGACGGCCTCGTCGAGTTTACGCTCAGCTGCTGGGACGACGACGCGGGTGGGTCGTCAAGCTGCCCACCGGCGTGCTCGTTTGCTGAAGCAACTTCACGCAGGCGCCTTTGGACCCTTTCCGCAGCACGATGCGCACATTCTCGCGACGCTCAGTGGGATCCAGGTGCTGGCGCTCAACGACGCGCTCGGCGAGCTGGAGAAGGATGGGCGGAAGGAGCGGCTGGTGAAGTGTGCGTGCCGCGCAGCTCTGACGGCCACATCGCGCTTATTCGTGCCTCGCAGACATCTGCTCGCTGCAAGATCAAGACAGCGGCGCCTTCTTCGGCGACAGCACACGGCTCGAGCAGGACACGCGCTTCCTCTACTGCGCCGTCTGCGCCCTCAGCCTGCTCTCGTCGCTGCACAGCGTATCACGCGAGCGCTGCGTGCGTGCTGTGCTAGCCGCGCGTAACCACGACGGCGGCTTTGGCACGGTGCCGGGCTCCGAGAGCCACGCAGGGCAAGCATTTGTTTGCGTTGGCGCGCTGGCGATTCTCGACGCGCTCGATGAGCTGCAGGGCGCGGATGGCAAGGGCAAGGACAAGCTCGCCGGCTGGCTTTCAGAACGGCAGCTGCCGTGCGGCGGCCTCAATGGCCGGCCACGAAAGCTGGAAGACGTGCGTGCCGCTTCGTGACTGCGGCTTACCTTGCAGCTCACTCCACTGCCAGGTCTGCTACAGCTGGTGGGTTTTGACGGCGCTCGCCATCCTCGGCAAGCTGCACTGGATCTCCGGCACCAAGCTCAGCCAGTTCATCGTCTCGGCACAAGTCAGTGCTGCTCAAGACCTCACCACGCGGTGCGCTGATGCTCCTCACAGGATCCAGACCACGGCGGCATCGCCGACCGGCCCGACAACGTCGCCGACGTCTTCCACACCTTCTTCGGCGTCGCCGGGCTCGCCATGCTCGGCGGCCCGCCGGCGCAGGGACTGCGGGAGGTCGACCCCGTCTTTGCGCTGCCGGCGCACGTCACGCGCCGCATGGGCATCCAGAAGCCGTACCAGCGCCTGCCGGATGCTCCGCGGGAAGAGGAGGCGCAATGACAGGAGGTGCTTCCTCATTCGGACCTGCGTCGCGATCATGACGCCGACTGCGGCCCCTTGTACCTGATTTGATCCTCATCACTTTTGGCCGCAGCCTCAACGCCCCTGTGTTGCACTCGTCGCGCGCAGAGGAGGCTCATTCCCTCTTACACGTCGGGCACGCAGAGGCAGCACCAGCCGCCAACTCTGCCGCTTACGGATCCAAGACGCCGTGGCAACCGCCGCGCCCGTTCCCACCAGGCGGCAGACGGTAGCAGCAGAGGCAGCGCGGACTTGCTTGGGAGAGGCTCTCAGCGTTCTGTCCAAGTCTCAGTGCCCTTCGTGCTGCGGCGACGCCGAATGGCGTGCGGTGCTGTCACAGCCGCAGCCGATGGCAGCACAGCCGGCATGCAGCAGCCGCGGCCGGCAGTGCAGGCGCGCAGTCACAGCAGCTGCTCATCGAGCCGCGCCCATGCCGCGTGCTGTGCAGCTCTGAGCGGCCGACCGGCAGCAGCATCGCCTCGTTGGCATGCACCACCTCTCGCAGCCGGCGCCGTCGGGAGGGTGCAGCGCAGCCACAGGGCGGAGGCGGGAGGCGAGGCGGGAGTGCGCGACTCCCCAGCTGCGCCTAGCGCGGCGCGCCTCTTTAGCGCTGGCGCAGCGCCACGGCGCCACGTCGCGTGCGGCCCCGCGCGCGGGGAGCTCGAGCCACGCCGACGCCGCATGCGCATGACGCCGCGCCGCAAGCGGCCACCACCCGCGTCCCTGCCTCTGCTCCTCCATCCCGCCGTCCCATCGCTGCCCTCACCCCACCCCATACAGTCTCGCTCTCTTGCACGTCTGTCCTCACCGCAACGCCTTCATCCCGCCTCTCGTTCCTTCGCTGCGCATCTCCCTTCTCTCGCTGGTCGACCCTTGCACCCTCTCGTGCCCTCCCTCTTCCCTCCCGTCCCCTGGGCGCAGCGCCTAGCTCGCAGCCATGCCCGCCCTGCCGCTCCTCTCGCCGCTGCAGACGCGCATCCTCGAGCTCTCTGGCTTTCCTGCGGCGCTCAAGACGCGCGACATTGCTGCTGTCTTTGCGCCGTACGATGAGGGCAGCGCCGCGGGCGGCGTGGGCCCGGGCGCCGGCTTCAAGATCAAGTGGGTCGACGACACGACGGCGCTCATTGTGTTTGACGAGGCGACCACTGGTGAGTGCATGCAGCTGGGATGTGATGCTGCAGAGGCGAGGAAGAGACGCTGGGCGTGCATCGCTGCAAGCTCGGAAGGGTCGTCTTGTGGAGGGCAAGGGCGGCGCCGAGCGGCGGACGCGGAAGCAGCAGAACATCGAGATAGCTGCTGTGCTCCGCCTCTGCGCACCCTGGCGATGCATACAGTGGCGCACGAGCCAAGCGCAGGAAGCGAGAGACCTGTCTCTAGCGGACTGACTGGCCGCCCCTTGGCCCTTACCTCGCGAGCTGGCGCCGAGCGACACTGATATCGCCTTCGTTCAGCCAAGCGCGCCTACCTCAACACCATCATGTCGCCGCCGCCGTCGCTGATGAACTCGACTGGCATCGCCGCCAAGATTCGGCCATACGACGGCGACGATGCGTCTGCGGTCATCTCGAGCGTGGCGAACCGGCCGCGCGGCCGCTCCATCGTCAGCGGCAGCGGCGCCGGCGCCGAGCCGGCATACGGCACGTCGCCGAGCGCCTCGCCGGCGCAGGCGAACTCGTCACCGCGTGCGACCCGCGGCATGCACGGGCATTCGGGCTCGGCGTCGGGCTCGGCCGCCTTCTTTGCGCTGGGCCATCGGCGCACGGGCTCCGGCTCGAACCCGAGCTCGCTGCCCGCCAAGCCGCTGGCCGCGGCGCTCTTCGACGCCGCAAACGGCGGGCCCAGTCCCTCGCACCACCTCGCCAACGCCGTGCGCGCCGAGGAGTCGGCGCACGGGCCCGAGGCGCTGCGCAGCATTCAAGAGGCGGGCGGTGTGCTGCCGCCGGCCGTGCAGTCTGCATTGGCACCGAGCCCACTGGCCGCAAATGAGGCGACGGCGGCGCCGCTGCAGCCGGCAGCGGAGATTGCTGGTGCGCAGCCCATCAAGACGGGCGGCGCAGGCAGCGGACGCATCGGCGATGCGGGAAAAGTGGGTGCCTAGTCGTGCGCGGGACATGAGGATGTGGCCCGCAGGTGAGCAGATGAGGCGACTGCGATGACCCAAGGTGCTTGAGATGGGAGAGGCGGAAGAGAGCTCTGGCTTTCCCACAGTGTGCGCGTGGACTGCCTTTTGGGCCTGCCAGTTGTGCACGCGCCGCAAGCCGCTCGCCCTCTTGCACTCCAGCGTTCGCGTCCTCGTAGCCTGCTGACACGCCGTCTCTGCAGCGTCTCGTCGCCGGAGCGCTGGGCGTGCGCCACCCGAACCTCTCGTCCAGCCGCAGCAGCTCGTCGGGCTCCTCGACGCCGCGCAGCCGCGGCGGCAGTGCCCGCGCCTCGCCGCCGCCGCAGAGCGCTGCGTCCGGCGTGGCCGAGGCACAGCATGCCCTCGCGGAGCTGCAGCTCCGCTCGTAGGGCTGCCGGCCTTTGTCCTGGCTGGTGCCTCTGAGCGCTTCCCCGGCTTCCCCGGGCTCACGATGGCACCACGCTCTCACGCACACTCTCTCTCATCCCTCCCACCCACACGCGACACGCCGCATCATATTCCCGTCCCCTCCACCCTCTCTCTCTCTCTCTTCCTCCGCGCGTCCGCCGGCCCTGTGGCTGGCAGGCACTGCGCCGTATTGCTGCTGTAGCTGGTCTTAATCGCGATTAGGTCGTCTGTGAGCTGTGTGTGTGTGTGTCGGGCAGCAGAGACGGCTGCGGTGCGCTGGAGTCGAGTGCTCGTAGGCGCGCGGCTGCTCGAGCCTCGGCGTCCAAGGGTGGCCCCGCCGCCGGCCGCGGCGCGCGCGCTGCAGCGACGCGCTTGGCGGGCGGCGCGAGCAGCGTCCTTCCCGACGCTCATCACCCGGCCATCACTCCACCCGCTGCTGCTCCCGGCTCCGTCAGCTGCGCGGCGGCCGCAGACGCACTTCGCCCCACTCTTCTCCGTCGCGGCGTCACCGAGCAGTCCGTGGGCCACTTCGCCAGGCCGCTGCCTTTCCTCTGGCTCGCACGCACTACCCCTGCGCGCGCAGTTGAGCACCTGCTGCCAGCATGTCCGCACAAGCGGCAGCGGCCGCATCAACGTCGCGTCCAGCCTCGCCGACGAAGCGCGAAGACGACGCCGCCAGCACGGCGGGTCCCTCCTCTGCTGGCGTCGCTGGCGGCACCTCTGAGCGCGGCGCCTCGCCCACATCGGCGGCCGCCGACAATGCGGCGGCCATCGCGGTCAATGCTGCGGCACAGGCTGCGGCTCTGAAGCCGCGCGACAGCCACGCCAGCGCGCCCACGGACATCGCGCCGGGCAGTGCGCCGTACTGGCCGGGCTACCAGAACAGCATGCTGAGCAAGAGGTGAGTCGTCACACGTCAAGAGACGCGGAGAGGAGGACGAGGCGCAAGGGCTGTGCTGGGCCTCGCAGGCGCCGAGTGGCTTCGGGCACGTGAGACTGGGCTTGGCCTCTCGTCGTGCGGCTATCTGAACGCCCATGCTGACGCTGCGTCGTTGCAGCGGCGGCCCGAACCCGCGCAACCTGCCAGTGAAGCGCTACGACGGCGAGCCGCTGTCGCGTGCGGACCTGCAGCATGCGCTGCTGTGCCATCTCTTCAACGATACGACGCGCTGCTTCACTAATCCGCGTCCGGGCCCCGGCGGCAAGAGCACGGCATCAGGCAGCTCGAGCGCCGTCATACCGGCGACGCCCGTGTACCCGCACGGCCTGGCTGCGGCGTGCGCACGGCCGTCCGACGAGACGCCCGAGGAGCTGGCGGCGTGGCAGGAGCGCTACACTCTCTCGTCGCGCCTGGCAAATGCGTCAGACGCCGAGCGCACGGCCGCCGGCTTGCCCTGCGCCGGCGCCGAGAAGCTCACGTTCAAGGAGCTCTACCTGCACGCCCTCACCTCGAGCGGGCGCTGCACCAAGGCGATGCGCGAGAAGCTCCTGGCCGACGAGGAGTACGCCGAGGACTTCGCCAAGACGTGTCTGCTCGTCAATCTTGGCCGCATCAACACGACGCTTGCTTGTGAGACAGTCGTGGCGCTGCTCCTGCCTCCACCGCTCACCTGATGCATGCTCAGTCTATCCTGAGATGAAGACGATTCTGCGCTCATACCACCCGCTGGCGTGTGTGCAGCGCAACGACAACACGAGGCGCCACATGCAGGATGCGCCACGCATGAAGTCGCTCCTCAAGTCGGTGCTGCTCGACGGCGAGACGCCCGGACCGGCCGGCAGTGCCAGCGGCGTCGGCTCCGGCGGCAACAACCCCGGCGCGAATGCCGCCAAGGCTGCTGCCGCTGCTGTCATTGCAGCGACTGCCGGCAGCAGCAGCGGCGGCAGCGGCGGCTCTGGTGTGGAGCTCGGCGACGCGCCCGGCACGCTGAGCGACCTGCTGGCGAAGCGCCGCAAGTTTGCCGGCAGCCGGCATCCGGTGACGAGCATCGTGACGCTCCTCTTCATCCTCACGGCGCAGGCCAACGACATCACCATGCTCCACTTTGCCGCGCCGCACGACTTCTGGACGATCTTCTTCCCGCACACGCGCTATCCGGTGCCGGCGCGCCAGCGCGCCAAGTCGTTCCTCTGGCTCATCTGGCATTACCTCGAAGGCCCTATTGACGCGGTGACCAGCGACGGGCCGGCCAACCCCTTCGACGACGCCGCTTCTGCCGCCGCGATGAAGGACGCGCGGGCGACGCGCGCATCGATTACCACCGAGCCAGAGCGCAAGCGCGCATACTGGGAGGGCGCGTGGCGCGGCGTGCGCAACCCGGAGTGGGAAGACTGGAACAAGAAGCGCAAGGCGGCAGCTGCCGCCGCTGCCAGCTCTGCCACGGCGGACGGCCCTCCGGCCGCCAAGAAGCAACGCCGCTCGCCTGACTCTGCAGCACCCGCGGCTGTTGATGGCGATGGCGATGCGCAGATGGCGGACGCCAGCACGTCCGCAGTCAAGAAGAGCGAGGAGGAGGAGAAGGCGCCAGGTGCTGAAGAGGAGCTGGCGCCGCCAGAGTTCCTGCACCGCATCCTCAGCCCGCACCTCGACGTCATCAGCATTCCGGAGTCCGCCGCCGAGAACGTCGACACGGACGACGAGCGCTCGTGGGCGCAGGAGATGCGCGACGAGCGCACTGCATTCCTCGTGCGCTTCCAGGCCGAGGAGGGCGCACGTCTGGCGGGCCTCGATCCGTCGAAGGTTGACCTGGACGGGGCCAGTGTGCGCGGCACGCCCGACGTGGGCGGCGAAAGCATTCCGGCGGGCTCTGCTGCTGCAGCAATGGTCGCCGCCGCAGCAACTGCAGCATCCAAGGGGAAGCAGAAGCCCGGCGGCAAGCGCACTGCGCTGCCCATGGGCGGCGGCTCCTCGTACCCGCTGGCGAACATCCTCGCCGCCGCCAAGGACGCCAATGGCCTCACTACGGGCCCGGGCTCCGTCGCCGGCAGCGTGGGCGTCTTCGATCCCGAGGCGGCACGTCTCGAGGCCGAAGAGGCCGCACGGCGCGAGCGCGCCGAGCGCGCGCCTCCGAACCTCTGGCAGCTCAACCTGCGCGTGCCGGCGGCGCCCAACGGCGCCGCCCGCAACCGCAACATGTCCTCAGCGGCCCACTTTGCCGCGCAGGCGGCGTCGCTCTCGCTGCCGCGCATCGCGTGGCGGCGCATCTTGGAGCGTGCCCGCCGCGGTGTCGGCGAGGCGAGCTACGAGAGCGACGACGACGAGGTGGCCGAGGACGAGGCGCGCGACGGTGAGCCGCGCCAGCAGATGCCTGCATACGCCGCGTCCAGCTGACACACCCTCTCTCAGAGCGGCCGCGAGGCGAGCTGAGCCGCGTGCTGCGCTGCCTGCGCGATGTGCGCACGATGCGCGACGAGCTCGAGCGGCCGGCGTGGTCGGCGTTCGACGAGGACGCGGTGGCCGCCGCGCTGCAGGGCGACGACACGCTCGTCTAGAGCCCAGCCTCTCGATGTCCCTCCTCCTACTGCGTCTCCTCCTTCATGTCACTCCAGCACCTGTCACACACACAACACTGAGTCGAGAAAGTGGGGATTGACGCATGGACAAGAGACACATGTGGTGTGATGAGGTCGGCAACACGAGGGGCACTGATGGCGACGAGAATGCGCGCGCGCGGAACGAGATGTGGAAAGGGTGGGAGCGACTGAAAGGACCGTGGGGGCGGGTGGGATGGGGCAGGCGAGACGAGCGGCCGCACCAGCTCTGAGTGAGCGAGATGCGGGGCGCCAGAGCGGGGGAGAGGCGAAGCGGTGGTGGGGATGGGAGGGCCGTGGCGGGCCGAGGGGTGGAGGGTCGTCGCGGAGGTCGTTACGGAGGTCGTGGGATGCAGGACGTCTCGCCGCCGCAGAGACTGGCAGCGGCGGCGAAGCGATGAGACGCAGGAAGATGGAGGAGGCGCGAGCAGAGAAGACGCGCGAGCGTGCAGGGAGAGGAGCGGAACTCTATCGTCCTTCATGTATGCCTCACGTCTCTCCTGGCCCGCCCGCGCGTCCTCGTGACGAGTGCGTTGAGAGAGAGGGAGAGGGTTGGGGTGTCGACGGCAGCCGGATGACATCCAGCGGCGCCCTCGCGTTGACACGCGGAAAGTCCCGTCCCTCTTCTCACGGCGGCGCTGCCGCCCGTCTCCCATCCGCGCACGGTCCATCGACGTCCGCACGCCGCGACGCTCGTCGTCGGGCTCGGATCCTGCCGTGCGGCGGCGATCTACCACATCCTCCTCGAAACGCGAACTTGCAAGACTTGCGGAGCTGCCGCGACGCCGGCTGGCGGCGCGGTCACGCGGGGCCAGCCTAGTACCACTGCTGCTTCTCGGCAGGGCGCGTCTGGCGCACCGACGAGCCCGGCTGGCCCTGCAGCTGGTACGAGTTGCCGCCCTGCTGCGTGATGCGCGACGCATCCTTGTGCGCCTGTGCCGCCGGGTCCTCCTCGTCGCCCTGCGCCAGCACCTTGCGGCGCGGCAGCTGCGCCAGGCCCTGCTGCGCGCCTCCGCCGGCGGCGCCGCTGCTGGCCATCTTCTCTGCCTTCTGCGCCTCGTCGGCCGTGCGCTGCTGGATGCTCCAGTCGAAGATGTAGTCGTACTGGAAGCCCTCGCGCACGAAGAGGTCGCGGAAGAGCTTGCGCAGGTACGAGTAGTCCGGCTTGTCGTCGAAGCGCAGCGAGCGGCAGCAGTTGAGGTAGATGGCCATCTCCGACGGGAAGCCGCGGCACAGCAGCTCCGTCGGCGTCGTCATCTTCTTCTCCATGATGCGGTCGTACTTCTGCTTCTTCGTCGCCGCCTTGAGGCCCTGCCACGGCAGCGAGCCGCGCAGGAAGTACATCAGCACGTAGCCGAGCGACTCGAGGTCGTCGCGGCGGGATTGCTCTGCGGGCGGGAGCATGTCAGCAGCGAGCTAAAGGGATGGTGTCGTGGCGCGCATGGTGCTGCCTCTGGCCAGCGGTGGCCTCGCTCGGACACAGCGCGCGTAGGTGGACGCATTGTCACGAGGCGCAGCGCAGCCTGAGCAGTGTGCGTGACGTGCGGGTGCAGACAGAGCGCAGACGTCGCTGTGCACATCGCGCGCACTCCGTTCGGGCGCAAAGCGCGATCGCACCACGCCTCGCCGCTCTCGCTCTCCAACTCCACCTCCGCGCGTCTGCGCAGGCCACTCACCGACACCCAGGTGCGTGTTGATCGACGTGTAGCGCGCGGTGCCCGTGAGGTTCTTGTTCTCGCGGTACGGAATGTGGAGGTGCGTCTTGGGGTCGCGGTACTTCTTTGCCAGGCCAAAGTCGATGACGTTGACCTGGTTGCCGCGCTTGCCGATGCCCATGAGGAAGTTGTCGGGCTTGATGTCGCGGTGGATGAAGTTGCGCGAGTGGATGTACTCAATGCGCGAGATCTGGGCGCGCGATGGCGTCAGCCGTCGTGTCCGAGCGACTCGCGACGCACCAGTAGGCGAGGTGCGGCCGCAAATCTACAGCCCTCGCCGTGGCGCCAATGGTCCACGTCCTGACCGCTCGCACACCCGCCGCGCCACTCACCATCTGGTCCGCGAGCAGCAGCACCGTCTTGAGCGAGAACTTGCGGTTGCAGAAGTTGAAGAGATCCTCGAGCGACGGGCCGAGCAGGTCAATGACCATGGCGTTGTAGTCGCACTCCTGGCCGTACCAGCGGACAAAGGGCACGCCGACGCCGCCGGCGAGCGTCTTGTACACCTTGGCCTCGTACTCGAGCTGCGGGTGCTTGGCCTTGATCGACTCGAGCTTGATCGCCACCTCCTCGCCCGAGATGATGTTGATGCCCAGGTAGATGTCGCCGAACGAGCCGGAGCCGATCTTCTTGCCGATGCGGTACTGCGCAGGCAGAGTGGTCAGTCTATGCGCGGCGTGGTCATGCGGCATGCGTGCGTGCTCACCCTGCAGAAGGAGAAGTGCGAGAAGGGTGAGGAGAGGGTGGTCAGATTGTCAGCAATGCAACGCAAGGGGCATCGGGCAGCACGACCAAGACCGAGCAGCGCAGCAGCAGCTGCACCCGAGCGCATCGCTGCGAACGACAGGACATCGACGCAGCGAAGCAGCCGGACAGCTGTGCCAGCGACGGCGAGCAGATGGCTCGCTGTGCATCGAGCAGGTGCAGGCTCGTGCGCGCCGTTGCGCGCGGCGCACGGTGCTGCGCCTGGCGACCACTCGCTCTGCGACGTGCTGCAGGGAACAGCGCACTCGGGACACGCTCGTGCATGCGAGTGCGCCGTCGCCTCCTGCACCTCGACGAAGCGTCTGTCGTGGCTGCGCCGTGCGGCGGGCTGACTGCGCCATCCCCCGTGCCAAAGCGCATCGAGGGCCCGAGCCGACCGTGCCGCTCGAAAAGGCCGCTGAGCAGCGTGCGATGGCCGAGGCAGCGACCGTGTGGGCGAGAGGCAACGCATGTGCCGAGCTTGCCAGGCAGCGAAGTGCGTCTCGCAGAGCGTCTGCGCCGGCAGCTGGCGGCCGCTCGCTGTGCCAAACACGCCAGCCGCGGCGCAGCCTGCAGCGCCCGGCAGTGGCCCTGAGCGAGGCGTCGCCGCTTTGCACATGCCATGTCTGCTGCCTGTGGACTCGCTGTGATGCACCGCAGTGCTGCGTGGCTGTCGCCGGTGGTCTCTGCTGAGGCCGATGGGCGCGTGACTCACTTGCCGCCGACACGGAGATCCATGATGGGCTAGGGTCGAGAGGGGGCGGTGGTAGTGGGTGTGGCTGTTGTGCTGGCGGCGAGCAGCAGCAGAGACAGGTCTGTGATGGTCAGTGAGTGTGAGCAAGTGCGTCGTGTGTGATGCACGCAGTGTGGGCCACGCACAGCGCAAGGCTCGGGAGAGTGCAGGCGCGCGCAGCGGCGGAGAGCGTAGAGAGGGCTGCGCCACGAGGTGTTTGGGCGGCGAGCTGGGCGCGGCGCGAGCGGGAGATGGGGGAGAGGAGAGGAGCGCCGAGGCAAGACGCCGTGCGCAGGCGTAGGTGATGGGTGCGACGGTACGGCGGCGGGGAGTGAGAGGAGGAGTGGGTAGAGGGACGAGCAGCAGACAGAGCGAGATGCAAAGCGCACCGCCGCGCCGCCGCCGCAACGGACAGCCAGCGACGACGACAGCGGGCGCGGGCAGCAGGCAGCAGCACGCAGCACGCAGCACGCAGGGCGCAGGCAGCACGCTCAGCGACCGACACCGCACCGCGCCGCGCCGCGCACGCCAGCAGCACGCACGCCGCACGCCGCCCGCCGCGCGCTGCTGCATGCATCTCGCTCCTAAGGCGAAGTCAGCTCAGCCCGAGGGCCAGGCACACCGCCAGTGTCGCGCCCGACCCGCCCGCCGCCGGCCGCAACCGCTCGCTGGAGGGCGTGTATTTGCGGCACTACAACTTGCGCCCGGTCCCACCCTCAAAGGCTAATTCGGGCCACTCGGATCTGTATTCGCGCCAAGGTGCGCGAACGTGCTGCTCGCCGTCTGGCCGCCCCTTGGAGATTTGCGGCGCACAGTCTTCGCCACCAGCGGCGAGCACGGGCCGCTTAGGCTTGGAGTCGGGAGCGCCGTCTGGTCCCTGGTGCGGCGGTCTGTGCAGTCCAGTCCATGCTGCGATGGCCAGCAGAGCGGTGCCGGCGCTGGCGGTGGGCGCAGGGCGTGGCGCGCGAAACGCCCGGCGCGCCTGAGCTGCGTCTGCGCCGCGCCGCCGCTCGTCAAGGGGTCACGCTGCCTCTGCTTCTTGCTGGCTGCGCAGCACCCGAGCAGCGCTGCGTTTATGCTCGATATCTCGCTCTAGCTGTGCTTGTGCCATCGCGCGCTGCTCGCAGCCGCAAAGGGCCCGTGCGGTGGCGACGAGTCGGGGCATGACGATCTCGCCGGAGGCTCGTGCACGCCGAGACAGCGGAAGATCGAGCAGCGGATGCGGGGTCGGCAAGGCGATCTGCTCTCCACAACGTCAACAAGGCCTCGTCAGAAGCTCAGCGCTGGTCGACCGTTCTGCTCGAGGCCCTCGAGCCAGCGGGGTTGTGCCCGTGTTGGCACTCTAGCTTGCCTTGTCTGCGGACCATCAGCAGGACAAGAGGCAGCACTCGAGCCTTGAGGTGCCACGGCGGACAAGGCACACGCACGCACAGACGCCTGCTGAGACAGCTCATTGGCACCTCTGCATTACCCCCGCACTCTCGCCGCCCTGTCTGTGTCAGGTGCTGCGCACGAGTCACCATGACGGACGCTCAGGCCGGGCAAGGGAGGGGCGAGGGCTGGACGAGGGCGGGTGGGAACAGCGTCGGGGTGGGCCGAGGCGCGCGCGTGCGACTCCCGGTGCGCGTCTGCCGCCACGTGGAGCCGAGGGGCTTTCTCTGCCTGCATGCAGCGCCAGCACGGCGCTTGGGCTGGCGCTGGCCCCGCCGCCGCCGGCAAGAAGTTGGCTCGGCGGCGGCTGGCTGGCGCTGGCCGAGGAGGCGCGAGGTGCAGCGCTGCAGGGCGCGCATCTCCTCTCGCTCTGCGCCGGCAGGCGAATTCCTGGCGCGGCGGCGGGCGCGCTCCTTCTTGCCACCCTCCCCCCTCCCCCCTCCCCTACCCCGCCCATCCTCCCCCCCCATCCGAACCGCCCATCATGGTGCGTCGTGCACACCTGCGCTGCGCTGCGTGTGCTGCATGCGCCCGTGCTGCTCTCTGCATCGCTGCCAGTGCGCCGAGTGCCGGTGCAGAGAGAGGGCGATACGGCGTGCAGACACGCAGCTCAGCGCAGGTGCAGAAATGTGTGCGAGCCCGAGCTGATGCCGTGCTGTCCCGCAGGTGCTGTTCACCGTTGACGAGGTGAGTGCTGGACAGTGTGCACGGGCAGCAGAGGCCGCCGTGGTGCTCACACCCCGCGCCAGATCCGTGGCCTCATGGACAAGCCCACGAACATCCGCAACATGTCCGTCATTGCCCACGTCGACCACGGCAAGTCGACGCTCACCGACTCGCTCGTGTCCAAGGCCGGCATTATCGCCGGCGCCAAGGCCGGGTGAGTGCGCGTGGAGAGGGCAGTCGAGACGTGGCGCTGACGTGCCCGCAGTGAGATGCGCTTCACCGACACGCGCGACGACGAGAAGGAGCGCGGCATCACCATCAAGTCGACGGCCATCTCCATGTACTTCCCCATGGACCCCAAGGACCTGACGATGATCTCGCAGAAGTCGAACGGTGCGTGCGCGCGCCTGCGTGTGCCGAGGCACGCTCACTCACCCGCGCACCGCCAGGCAACGAGTTCCTGATCAACCTCATCGACTCGCCCGGCCACGTCGACTTCTCGTCCGAGGTCACGGCCGCGCTGCGTGTCACCGACGGCGCGCTCGTCGTCGTCGACTGCATCGAGGGTGTCTGCGTGCAGACCGAGACGGTGCTGCGCCAGGCGCTGACGGAGCGCATCAAGCCCGTCGTGTGCCTGAACAAGGTCGACCGTGCGCTCCTCGAGCTGCAGGTCACCAAGGAGGACCTCTACCAGAGCTTCCAGCGCACGATTGAGAGCGTCAACGTCGTCATCGCCACGTACAACGACCCCGTGCTCGGCGACTCGCAGGTGCTGCCCGAGAAGGGCACCGTGTCGTTCGCCTCGGGCCTGCACGGCTGGGCCTTCACGCTCATCCAGTTCGCCAACCGCTACTCGAAGAAGTTCGGCGTCGACAAGGAGAAGATGATGAGCAAGCTGTGGGGCGACAACTTCTTCAACCCGAAGACGAAGAAGTGGACGACGAAGGGCGAGGACGCCGACGGCAAGCCGCTCGAGCGCGCCTTCAACATGTTCATCCTCGACCCCATCTTCCGCATCTTCGACTCGGTGATGAACTTCAAGAAGGAGGAGACGGCCAAGATCGTCGAGAAGCTCGAGATTCCGCTCACGAGCGACGAGCGCGACCTCGAGGGCAAGGCGCTGCTCAAGGTCATCATGCGCAAGTTCCTGCCCGCCGGCGACGCGCTCCTCGAGATGATCGTCATCAACCTGCCGTCGCCCGTGACGGCGCAGCGCTACCGTGTCGAGACGCTGTACGAGGGCCCCATGGACGACGAGTCGGCCATCGGCATTCGCGACTGCGACGCCAAGGGCCCGCTCATGCTCTACGTCTCGAAGATGGTGCCCACGTCGGACAAGGGCCGCTTCTACGCCTTCGGCCGCATCTTCTCCGGCACCATCCGCTCCGGCCCCAAGATCCGCATCCAGGGCCCCAACTACGTGCCGGGCAAGAAGGACGACCTCTTCGTCAAGTCGATCCAGCGCACCGTGCTCATGATGGGCCGCTACATCGAGCCCATCGAGGACTGCCCCGCGGGCAACATTCTCGGCCTCGTCGGTGTCGACCAGTTCCTGCTCAAGAGCGGCACGCTCACGTCGAGCGAGACGGCGCACAACATGAAGGTGATGAAGTTCTCCGTGTCGCCTGTCGTGCAGGTCGCCGTCGAGGTCAAGAACGCCAACGACCTGCCCAAGCTCGTCGAGGGCCTCAAGCGCCTCACCAAGTCGGACCCGTGCGTGCAGGCGTGGATCAACGAGACCGGCGAGCACATCGTCGCCGGTGCCGGTGAGCTCCACCTCGAGATCTGCCTCAAGGACCTCGAGGAGGACCACGCGCAGATCCCGCTCAAGATCTCCGACCCCGTCGTCGGCTACCGCGAGACGGTCATGGCCGAGTCGAGCATGACGGCGCTGTCCAAGTCGCAGAACAAGCACAACCGTCTCTACATGACGGCTGCGCCGCTCGACGAGGAGCTCACGCGCCTCATCGAGGACGGCAAGATGACGCCGCGCGACGACTTCAAGGCGCGCGCCCGCATCCTCGCCGACGAGTACGGCTGGGACGTCACCGACGCCCGCAAAATTTGGTGCTTCGGCCCCGAGGTCACGGGCGCCAACCTGCTCGTCGACACGACCAAGGGTGTGCAGTACCTCAACGAGATCAAGGACTCGTGCGTCGCCGCCTTCCAGTGGGCCACCAAGGAGGGCCCGTGCGCCGAGGAGCCGATGCGCGGCGTGCGCTTCAACATCCTCGACGTGACGCTGCACACCGACGCCATCCACCGTGGCGGCGGCCAGCTGATCCCCACGTGCCGTCGCGTGTGCTACGCCGCAGCCATGCTCGCCGAGCCGGCGCTGCAGGAGCCGCTCTTCCTCGTCGAGATCCAGTGCAACATCGACGGCCTGGGCGGCATCTACAGCACGCTCAACACGCGCCGCGGCCAGGTGTTCCACGAGGAGCAGCGCCCCGGCACCCCCATGGTCACCGTCAAGGGCTACCTGCCCGTCGCCGAGTCGTTCGGCTTCAACGCGGCACTGCGCCAGGCCACGGGCGGCAAGGCGTTCCCGCAGTGCGTGTTCGCGCAGTGGCAGGTCGTGAACCCGAGCAAGTACGACGGCCTCGTGACGAGCATCCGCACGCGCAAGGGCCTCAAGCCCGAGGTGCCGCCGCTGGACACGTACTACGACAAGCTCTAAGTGGCTCGCCGTAGTTAGACGGTGCATGCTCTCGCCCACCCACACGGCATGCCCCGCCCAGCCCACCCTCTCCCCACGCCGCATCTCCCGTCCGTCGTGTTGAAAATTCAGAGTGTTCTCCCATGCGACTGTGTGACGGCTGCGATGTGGATGCGTGTGGTGCGAGGGATGCAGACCGCGCGGCGAAGGTAGAAGGGAGCGAGGCACGGTGCATGATGGCGGGGCGGTGCGATGCTGCGAGGTGACGCCGTCGTGCCGTGCCGCGCCCGTGCGCTGCTGGCGGGCGCAGGCACGGCGCGGCAGCGCAGGCGCGCCGATTGGCGGGCGCGGGCGGAGCTGCTGGGTGCTGGACCCCATCGGCGAGCCGGGTGGCCGGGCCTGCTTCCTGCTGTCATCCACCCCGCAGCCATCGCCGGCTCGTTCTCTCCTTGCCCCGCATCCACCACCAGCCATGATCAACCGCCTCGAGGCTGCCGTCAACGGCGGCAAGCCGTTCAGCTCCGTCAGCGTCTGGATCGACCGCCTCAGCGCAAACTCGTATGCCGAGGACGACTACGAGGGGTGCGTGCGGCCCAGGGAGCGTGCGGGCGGCGGTGGTGGTGCGGACGACAGACGACGATGACAGAGCTGCTCGTACCTCGGCTATGCTGTCCATCGCTGGCACCACCGTGCTTGCTGCCCGGCCCTCCACGCACGCGGGCGTTTCCAGCTGACACAGTCTCTGCCAAAGCGTCCCGGAGCTCGTCGAGGCCATCAACATCCAGTCGACGGGCCCCGCCGAGGCGTCGCGTGCGCTGCGCAAGAAGCTCAAGTACGGCAGCGTGCACGGCCAGAAGCGCGCGCTGACGGTGCGTCGCAGTGGTGCGCATGCCGTGTGGAGAGGCTGGCGCTGACGCTGGGGTGGAGCACAGATGCTGCGCGCGACGGTGGAGAACTGCGGCCCGCGATACCAGAGTGAGTGCATGACAGCCAGTGACAGAGGAGCCACAGCAAAGCAGCGGAGTGCAGATGCAGAGCATGCTATTCGCTCTCTTGCGAGGGTCCTGAGCCATCCAGCTGGGCATCGGCACGCTGCGCTGGACAGACTCTCACGGCTGAGCTGCCGCTCACACTGCCCCTTCTGCGCGCCTCTCCAGCGTCCTTCCTCGACCCGCAGCTTGCCGACCGCATCAAGCTCATGTCGCAGGACCCGCTCGTCGATGCCTCGGTGCGGCGCAAGCTCATGCGGCTGCTCGCCTCGTGGCAGAACCAGTACAGCTCCGAGCCGACGATGCGGCACGTCGCCGGCCTGTACGCGGCGTGCGGCGGCGGACGCAAGTCGGACGCGCAGGCCAAGAGCGAGGCCGCCGAGGCGTACCGCAAGCGCAAGGAGGAGGAGGAGCGCGAGCGCCAGGTGCGCTCCGACCGCAAGGCCGCCGAGCGCCTGCAGAAGGAGGAGGATGCGAAGCGCGCCAAGAACAAGGGCGCGCCGCGGCAGAAGTTCGACTTTCAGAAGGTGAGCAGAACGTGTGTGCTCAAGAGACGTCGCCTGATCCTCTTCGCTCCAGGAAAAGCCGATGATCCTCTCGAGCCTGGCCACGAGCCAGCAGGCCGCGACGTCGCTCGTGAATGCGCTGCAGCACGTGAACCGCGAGAAGGAGTCGGTGGCGGACAACGAGCGCGTGCAGCGCTACCTGGCCCAGGTCAAGACGGAGCGCAAGAAGATTGTGCGCTACGGTGAGTGCGCCCTGTGCTGCGCTCGCTTGAGCAACCGCTCACGCCAGGCGTACAGTGCAGCTTGTGCGCGACGAGGAGTTCCTTGGCGGCCTCATCTCGGCCAACGACCAGATCATCCTGTCGCTGCAGCTGTACGACAAGGTGCGTAGCAGATCGCGCCGGCCGTACGGGCGCTCTGCTGACTGCGTTCCACCCTCAGCTGCTCAAGCCGGCCGACGCAGACAGCGACGAAGAGGCGCCGCTGGCGCTCATTGATGATACGCGCAGCGCGGCGCAAAAGCAGCGCGACCGTGCCGAGGCCGAAGATGCGGAGATCGAGATGGTGCGCAAGCGCATCGCCGCTGCGCGCATGAACGCGCCCGACGGCGAGCTCGACTTGCTGCAGGACCGGCAGCGCGCACGCATCGAGCGCCACAACAGCTACGTCTCGAGCGTGCGCTCGGGCGCCGAGGGCGGCGGTGCGATGCGCGACCTGATCGATCTCGACTTTGACAACGCCGGGTGAGTCTTCGCAGCCAGCCTGCACTTGAGATGTCCGTGCTCACTCCTTGCGCGCGCGCAGACCGAGCCAGCCGGGCATGACGCCCTCGCGCTCCACGGGCCAGCACAGCACGCTCTCGGACTACAGCGACTACGGCTCTGACTCAGACAACGACGTTGCGGCGCAGCGTCTGGGTCCAGGACACGGCATTGGCGCCACGGGCCGCGAGCGTTGGGGCCCCACACCCGGCTCTGCTTGGCGCGACAGCGACCAGGAGGAGGAGGAGTACGAGTGGAACGCGTCGCACCGCCCCGAGATTGGCGAGGCCGAGCTCGACCCCTTTGGCGACGACGCCGAGGCGCAGGCCGACTTTGACCGCATCGTCGCGCCCGAGCGGCAACGGCAGGGCTATGCGGCCGTGTGAGCGTACACGGCTCGTCGACGTCAGCCCAACGGCAAGCCGCGCAAAGGCGTTGCGGCCTGCCAGATACCCTTCCCTGCCCCTTCCGCTGCCTTCTCGCTTCGTCCAGCCAATACAGTCTTCAGATCAATCAATTGCACGCGTCGAGGCGGGAGATGAGCGGGACAGGGATATGAGGACAGACACAAATGAATGAGGGGCATCCCGAGCGGCACGGCGAGGGAGAAGCAGCGCGCTTACGCGTGACACTCAGGCCTGCACCTGCGCGCCCTCGTCCTCGGCGCGCTTCTTGAGGTCGAGCGGCTTTCCGTCGGTGGCGCGGCGCCACACGTCCCGCACGTCGTCGACGAGCGACTCGAAGTGGCTCTGCGAGTCGAGCGAGCGCGTGATGAAGATCTTGTCGTCGGCGCCCGAGTTGATCGGCTCCTCGAGCGGCGAGATCTGCAGGAACCTGCAGGGAGAGAGCTGTGAGCCGGGCAAGGACGAGTCAGCGCAGGGCAGGTGTCACGCACTTCTCGTAGATGGGGCCGAGGAGGTCCAGTCCGGGCTTGAGCTCTGTGGCGGCAGGGTCAGAAGGCGTGCGCACTTGCTGCTCTCGGCCGCACTCACCAAGCTCGGGCGTCGACGACTCGACAATGGTCGAGACCTGCGCGACGTACAGGCCGTTGGCGCAGATATTTTGCGCGCTCGAGAGGCAGGCGACGTAGATGTCGTGCTTGCGGCCGACCTGGTTCTGCGGGATGATGAGCTGCACCGAGTCGGCGTTGTCCGTGTTGGGGATGGGGTGCTTGAGGAAGCAGATGGCGCGCACGACCTTTGCCGTCTCGCGCACGAGCGGCGTCTTCTTCTCGCCGACGCCGGCGCGGAAGTACGACGGGTCGCCAATGACCATGTCGGCATGCACCGTCTCGTCGCCGCAGCGCACGCCGCTGAACTTGCCCGTCTCGGCATCAACGACGATCTCGTCGACCTGCTTGTCGAGCATGTACGTGCCGCCGTAGATGGCCGAGAGACGCGCAAAGCCCTGCGGCAGCTCGCCGAGGCCGTACAGCGGGTAGATGTAGGGCGACTTGCCGTAGCGCGCCATCGACGACGTGTACAGCAGGATGCGGTCGTACGTCTCGCGCGCCGGGCGCTGCAGGTAGCTGAGGCGAGGTGTAAGCCCGCGCAGCGAGAGCAGCGCGCAGGCCTGTGCACTCACGCATCGTCCTGGTGCAGCGCCATGGCGTGGCCGATGAAGTCGCGCGTGCCCGCCTCGAGGCCGAAGTAGTCGTAGATCTTCGTCATGGGCGTGCCGTCGAGGTCCTGGCCTGCGTAGCGAACCCGCATCAGTCATGCGCCCACGTCACCACCTCTTTCTACGCACCCTGGTGCGTGGCCGGGTCCTCGTCGCGCCAATTCTGGATGAACTCGAAGAACTTCTTGGCGCGGCGCTTTTCAAACAGGCCCATGAGGCTCGAGCGCACGGCCTCCATCTCCGTGGCCGGCACCTTGGCGATGCGCCCGTCGCGGTACACGTACGAGGCGGCAATCTGCTTGAACTCGAGGTAGCGCGTCACGTCGGTGTGCACGAGCATCTTGGTCAGCTCGCCGTTGGCCATCATGAACTTGGGGATGAGATCGATGGCGTAGTCGCGGTCGCTGTAGGAAGGGTCAGCGCTGCTTGGCGAGTCGCCAGCAACAAGTCTGGCTCCATCGTGCGGAGCGCAGCCCTGCACGCACGCAGGCAAGCGAAGCCTCGCCGGCGACAGAACGACAGGAACCGGTGCGGCAGGGCGCCACGCCCACCAAGCTGCTCGAGTCCAGGTTGCCAGCTCACCACCTGTGCTGCTCCGCTGGCGCTCAGCACGCCTATCCTGCTGCCGGTGCCCGAGCGTGCGCGGCCCATGCACTGGCCTCGCGGCCGCCTGCGCCCTCTCCAGCAGCGTCGCCCTGGCACACATGCCGGCACACGTAGAGACAAGGCTGTGCCGCACTGCTCTCTCTGGCGTGTCCTGCCAGGCTCTCACCCCTTGCTGACCCACCGCGCACAGCCTCGCCGGCCTCTCTCTCGCCAACCTCTCTCTCGCCGCACTCACCGGCCGATGTCCTTCGGTGGCTCCTGGCCCTCGCGGAAGCGCGCCCAGAGCTGCGTGAGATTGAGGCTGGCGGCGTCTGCGCCGTAGTAGTCGTTGCGGTCCATGTGCAGCACCTTCTTGCCGTCGACGGAGAGCAGCGCCGAGAGCACGCACTCGCTGACGCCCGTGCCGAGGATGATGGCGTCGTATCTGCGCGCGGGTCAGCAGTGCACAGAGCATACGCCACGCAGGACGCGGAGATGCGACGCACTTCTCGTCCATGGTGGGTGAGGCTGGGTGGGTGAGGAGGGATGTGGAGTGGAGCAAGGCCCGCCGCGCTGCGCAACACGCGCCAGATGCGCCCGTCAGCGGCGGCAGAGGCGCAGCAGCGCTGGCGCCAGCCGACAGCGAGCGCTCCTCGCCGCTCCGCCGCCACGCGCGGCGGCGCGCCCCTGCATCGCTGCCGCTTCCGGCCTCGAGACCGCCCCTCAGGTCGAGCACACCAGCTGCCGCAACTGCTTCCTGAGCGGCTGCTTGCGCAGAAGTGTAGCACGACGATCTTCTCACGCCTGCGCACCAGCGGCATGCGTGGCGCAAGCTGCGTCAAAGGCCTGCTGGGAGCGATGGGCGCGCTGTCGGCGGCTGGCCTGCGGGCCGTCCGTGCGCACGGGCGCCGGCTCGGCTGCTTCCTCCCAGTCCCGCTCGCAGGCCAGCGGAGAGCGGTGCCCGCTGAGGGCGCGGCGCGGTGGTGAGGAGCTACTCATCATCGAGCTGCCCCACAGAGCCTCCTGACGGCTCGAATATGCAGGATGGCCTCAGTGTCCGAGGAGCATCAGGCACGGCATGGCTTTGTGTTGCTCTTGCGCCGCCCCGCAAGAGCGACGTGGCGCTGCAGGCGGCGTGCCGTCACGGCGCAGCTGGCGCGCGGCGTGATGCGCTCGGCACCGGCACCCTCAGGGCCCTCTCCTGGCCGCGCCGCCGCCTTGCGCTTGCCCTCTCACCACCGCACCCTTCCCTCCCGGCCTCGCCGCCCGCCGCCGCAGCCATGGCGCTCTCGACGCTGCAGAGCGCCTTCTACTACCTGCTCGGCGGTGTGACGTTTGTGCCGCTCTGCGCCGCCGCGCTGCTCCTCCACTTCGTCTTCTTCGCCCCCGTGCACCCCAGCGCGCTGGGCACGCCGCTGCCGCCGCTGTCGGCGCGCGACAAGCTGGCGGCGCTCGACCTGGCGCGCAGCAACGAGGCGTTGGAGAAGAAGGCGGCCAGCGCAGGTGCTGCCACGCTGTCCGGCGCCACGGCACCGCCGGCTGCGCGTCGTCTGGGCCCGCCGCCGCCCGCGCCGCCGGCTCGTCCGCATCGCGCCGGCTGGCTCGTGGTGCGGCGCACCTTTGGCGGCGACTCGCCGGCACTGCTGCTCGCCGCTGCGGCCGCTGCACCCGCTGCACCTCCTGCAGCGGCAGCGTCTCGCGCAGAAGGCTCGGCGGCGGGCGACGAGGCGCGCGCTGGCGAGGCGAAGCAGGGCTACATCGGCGCGGTGTACCGCGGCGTGCTCAACTATCGCCTCAGCAGGGCACAGAAGGCCGGCGCTGCTGCCTCGAGCTCTTCGAATGCCGGGGCCGGCGACGACGCTGCGCGTCTGGCGCCGCAAGCTGTGTCGAGCTCTCGCTCCTCCTCGCCCGGCCGGCCCGCCAGCTCGGCCGCGTCGTCAGCAGCGCCTGCCGCAGGGCCGGTGCGCGAGTCCTTCCATGCGATCCTCAAGGGCTCCGTGCTCTTTCTCTACTCGTCTGCCGATGCCTCGTCGACGGCGATCGACTGCGTGTCGGCCATCGACCTGCGCGGCAAGCGCGTGAGCTTGTACATCGCGCACGCCGGCGACACGGCTGGCGAGCCAGACGACCTCGATGGCGCTGCCTACCAGCAGGCCAAGGCCAGCCAGTTCGACACGCCTGCCACGAGCGGCACGGAGGATGATGGAGCGGCGGCAGCGGCAGCACGCTCGCGCAAGAACTGGGCGCGGGCCAGGCGCGCCGCCGTGCGCGATGGCGAGCTCTTCACGAAGCGCAATGCCATCCGCATCGTCTCGCCCGCCGCTGGTGGGGCGCGAGACAAGTTTGCGACGCGCGACGAGTACTTCGTCTTCGCGAAGAGCGCCAGTGATCTCGAGGACTGGTACCATGCGCTGCTCCACGCCAGCCTGCTGCACGCTGCGCCACACGCCGGTGCCGCACAGGATGGCCTGCCAGAGCCCGTCCGCGAGGCGCTCGGCGAGGTCTTCGAGCCGCTCGACATGGTCCGTCTGCTTACGAGCCTCGACACGCTGCCTGACCCGATCCCGCTGCGCTGGCTCAACGCTCTGCTCGGAAGGGTCAGTCCTGCCACTCCGGCCTCAGCCTGTCTCCACTGACACGCCCGCACGCAGATGTTCTTCAGCATCTATCGCACTGCGTGGCTCGAGGACTACGTCACGCGCAAGATCATGAAGAAGATGGCGCGCGTGCGCACGCCGGGCTACCTCGGCGACATTCGCGTGCGCGAGGTGGATCTGGGCCGTGCGCCGCCGGCGTTCAGCCGGCCCATGCTGAAGAGCCTCACGGGCGAGGGCGAGGCGTCGATGGAGGTGAGTAGCGCCGCGAGCCACGCCGACTTCGCGCACTGACACCCTGCGCAGGTCGCGATCCACTACACGGGCGCCATCCGCCTGACGATCAGCACGGTGCTGACGATCAGCCTGGGCTCGCGCTTCAAGCCCTACACCGTCAATCTGCTGCTCGCCGTCGTGATCAACAGCCTCTCGGGCAACCTGCTGCTGCACATCAAGCCGCCGCCGTCGAACCGCCTCTGGTTCGGCTTCACGCAGCTGCCCACGATGGACATCTCCGTCGAGCCCGTCGTGAGCGAGCGCAAGGTGCAGTGGAGCATGGTCAAGCGTCTGATCGAGGGTCGCATCCGCGAGCTTGTGAGCAAAGCTGCGAGATCGTTGCGACGTGCTGAGCTGACTCGCGTCTTTGCAGCTTACGGAGAGCCTGGTAGTGCCAAATATGGACGACATTCCCTTCTTCGACACACGGCCGCTCGAGCACCGCGGCGGCATCTGGGCCGACGCAGTCAAGCGCGCTGGCGACGACGCCGCTGCTGCGGCACCGACGGAGGAGGCAGAGCCTGCAGAAGAGCCTGCAGCTGCATCAGCCGGGCTTGGAGAACGACGCGGCAGCGCTCCGGCAAGCACGGCAGGCGTGCAGAGCTCAGGCGCCCAGGCGACGGCACGAGCAACCGCCCGCGACGTGCCGACAGGCGACGGCAGCCTGCGCAACCGCCGTACTCAGCCTGCCGGCGCACCTGAGCTGCTCACGGCTGTCAAGCCGATGGTCAGCACCTCGCCGTCCAGCCCAGCCATGGCAGGCCTCAGCAGCCTGCTGGCGCGCGACCAGGCTGCCAACGCTTCGTCAGCTGGCGTCAGCCCCTCCAGCAGCCTGGAGGCCGGCGCAGAGGGCGGTGCATCGCGGGCAGCGTCTGTGCGCTCCGTGCCTGTCGGCACTGCTGCGCCGAGCAAGCGGCGCTCGTGGTTCGTGCGCGCACCAGCGACACAGGATGGCGAGGCGCCGCCGCTCCCGGCTCTTCCCGGTCAGACTCGCTCGGGCGCAGCGAAGGGCGCTCCGAAGTCTAGTCTTGCGTGGGGCAACGCCAGTCTCGCGACGTCTGCGGAGGCGCAAGAGCGCATGGGCGCGGCCGAGCGTTCCTCTCTCCAAGTGCCTGCCGCCCGCGCTCAGGTGCAGCGCGCCAACTCGCACGAGAAGAACAAGGAGAGCATCAGCTCGATCAGCTCAGTCGACACGGAGGGCAGCGGCGTCAGCGTCGACACGGAGCAGCTCAACGACTCGCTCGAAGTTGCGGTGGACGGGCTCAATGGCGAGTTCGCGCATCTGTCGCCCGATGCCGTCTCGACGAGCAGCGAGGAAGCCAGTCTCGCGGCGGAGGAGCTGCGCCGCCTGGTCGACCGAGAGAGCGAGGGCACACCGCAGCCGGCCGCTGCCAGCAGTCATGTGCCACGGTTCGAGGACGAGCGCAGCGGCACGCCTCGAGGCTCGACGTTCGAGGCCGACGCATCCGAGCGCAGCGCCGGCGCCTCGCGTCCTGGCAGCAGCTCGACGACCGCATCTGCGGCTGCTCCCGCGTCGTCAGCCGAAAGCAAGCAAGAGCACGCCGCTTCGTTCGCACCTGCTGTGAGCCACTCGCCGCTTGGCGTCACGCCGGTAGAGGAGCATGCGCCAGAGCTGCCGCAGCCCTCGACGCGCACTGCACGCACGGCCCATGGCTTTGCACCGCCGCCTCGACGCTCAGCGCCTTCGCTGGCGCCAAGCACAGCCGGATCGACGCACTCTTCTGACAACGCCGTGTCCACCGGCGGGCTCACTGCGCTTCATCGCGAGCGCTACGGCATGGCGACTTCGCCCGCCCGCGAGGAGGCGAGCTACATCAGGCAGTCGGACACACGCAGCTCCACAGCATCCTCGTCGCAGCAGGCCGTGACGGCATCTGCCATGTTCAACAAGGCTCGCAACGTCATGGCCGACAAGGACTCGCGCCAGGCGGCAGCGAAGGAGGCGCGCGACGCGCTGAAGCGCGGCTGGGCCGGCTGGAACGCCAAGCGTCACGCCGGCACCTCGTCTTCTGCAGCGCCACAGCAGCAACAACCATCGCCGAGCAGCTTCGAGGCCGCGCCTTCGCTGAACCCGGCCGAGCGCGCTGCGGCTTGGCTAGCCAGAGAGGCGCCTGACCTGCCGGGCATGGGCTTCGAGCGCTCCCGTCATGGACATGCGGACGCGCCGAGGCCAACGCAGGACGAGCACATCCGAGGCCGCGAGCGACTCGACGCAGCAATCGGCGGCGAGAGTGCGGGCAGCAGCAGACAGAGCAGCAGGAGCACGTCGAGCGAACGTCCCACGTACAAGGACTACCGCGAGCGCCGCAAGCGACCCGACAGCAGCCAGACGCAGCCCCAGGCGCAGCCTGCGAGCGCGCCGAGTGCACCTCACGACGCGGCGTGGGACGCGCCGGTCGCTTCGCTGGCGCCGCCGGCGCGTGTAGCACACCGCGAGGAGGGCGAGAGTCCGAGCGGCCGCTCATCTGGCTCCATCCGGCGCGGTGGCGAAGGCGAGCACGGCCTCGCTGTGCCGAGAAGCCCGATCCAGAGCAACGCCAAGCCAGTGGCTCCAATCGTGCCCGACCGCCCATCTCCTCAATCGCTGTCGCCTGCCGTTGAGACTGCACCTCAGAGGACAGGCGCAGCGGAGCTGCCTTCGCCTTCCGAGTTGGACTCGATGCCGGCAACGCCTCCGGCGCCCACCAGCTCAATCTTTCTCGACTCGTCTCCGCGCCCGCTGCTCTCCAACGTCCCCGACGAGCGCCGCGCGTCGAATGGCTCCATCGGCAGTCCGAACTCGGCCAGCAGCCCGAACAAGGCGGCCGCAGCGAAGATCAAGACGCAGCCGGGACGCGCGAGCATGATGATGGTGCCGGGCATCCCGACAGCCCACCGCGCCGAGCCCCAGTCCTTTAGCGCACCTCCTCCTCCGCCGTCTGCGCCGGCACAGGCGCGTGCGCCCTTTGCCGCCTTCAAGATGCCGTTTGGCAAGAGCGCCAACGCACCCGGCGCTGTGGGCGGAACGTCGTCGCAACTCTCGCCTCCGAGCGGCATGCCTCAGGAGGGCGCATCTCCGGCGGCTCTGCTGCCGCCCATGGAAGTGGAGCCGCCGGCAACATCCTCGGCCACAGAGGTTCACAGCGAGTCACCTGCGCCGCAGCCAGATGCAGCTCCGGCGCCGGTGCACGCCTCAGAGCCCGAGCTTACGCAAGCACCTTCGGAGCCGGCTCCCACTGCGCCAGAGGTCGCGAACCTGCCCGAGCCGGAGCTCAAGGTCAGCGCTGTGACCGAGTCCGCGGCGGCAGACGAGGCTCAGACGGACGCGCGAGATGTCGCAGCGACGCCCTTCGGAGGCACGGGCACTGAGTCCAGCCAGCTCGACGTACCGGCGGCCGCATCGCCCAGCACTGCGGCAGACGCAGAGTCCGCTGCAGCGGAGCTGGCTGCGCTGCCCGATGTCGCTGCGGCTCAACCTGCAACCAGCTCGCTCGCACCTTCCGACCAACAACAGACGCCTGCGGCTTCCGATGCGTCGACGCCGGCTACGTCTGCAAGCGCGTCGCTTGCTGCGCTGCTCAACGAGGTGGACCACACAGCTAGTGCGGACAGCGCGACACGCGACTGAGGAGACTATTGAGGGCTCAGTGAATGACATTGGTTGAGAAGAGCTAAAGAGACATGGAAGTGCGACTGGAGCGAGCTGGTCAGGCCGACGGCAGGTTGCAGTGGTCGACGTTGCCCGTCGTCGCGTTGCCCCACCAGCTCGGGAAGGGCCGCGCGATGCCTGCTGCGCCATACCTGGAGGCGTCACAGCATCAGCATGGTAGGACAGCGCACGAGCATGTGCTGCGACTCACACCGCGAAGGAGAGTATGAAAATCGTGATCTGCGAGCCGCCGTCGAGGCCCGCGCCCAGGAGGTACGACCTCTTTGCAAACCAGCGAGGATAGCGGCGGCGCACCCATACCTGCGAGATCACGCCGACGACCACCGTCGAGCCGATGTAGCTGAAGGCGCCCGCGAATGAGTTCGCACCTGCGTGCTGAAGAATCATCGGCGTAATGATCTCAAAGCCAAGATTCTGGAGGCCCGGGAAGGCTTGCTCGAGCAGCCAGTGCACTGGCGGAAGGGCGAAACCGATCAGCAGGCCAAACGGCACCTGCCAGTAGCCCGAGAGGCCGTACACCTGGCGTGCCAGCGCCCAGGTGACGGCCTGGCTGTTCAGAGACTGCAGTGTCGCGCCTGACCAGACGTTGTTGCCCTGCGGATCGAGAAGGATCTCGCGCTGTGCATTGACGACGAGGTCTGCCACCAGGTAGTTCACCGCCGCCTAAAGTGCGGATCAGTGCAGGTCGATTACCTCCAGGTGGTACCTACACTCACCGCCAGCAGCGTGCCGTATATTTGCGTCACGAACATGACTCTGAAAGGCACCTTGATGTACTGGGCAATCTTGAGCCAATTCGCAAGATTGACGGCTAGCAGGATGACCTGGTGCGACCAGCTGTTGAACCAGAGCACAGCCAACGGCCTGCCAGGCACAAGCACGCCGCCAATCATCTTGCTGCGGACGCAATGTGTCAGCAAGGCCCATAGATCGACCAGATCCTACGCACGACAGCGCATTGGTGCTGCCAGAGGTACGTCAGCCAAGGCTCGAGCTGAACCTCTGAGCTCGAGACGCACCCGACTCCATCTCCGAGCCGGGCATACAGAGACATGCTGAACGGCGCGATGATGCCTCCGAGCAGGAGCGCCACGATGTAGGCCCACACGGGCAGCGTCGTCTGGCCATGCAGTACAGCGATGAGTCCGGCGAAGAAGGCTAGCGCTGCGAGGATGCCGTAGGCCCAGAGCGGCACATCGGCGTACTTCTGCATGCCGAGGATGTGCGGGTCGGTCTCCGTCCCCTCCCTACGCTCGCGTACAGCTGTCAGAAGTCGCTTGCGGTAGAAGATTAGCACGTGCGACAGGAGCGCTCCGATGGCCAGCGTCTGGCACGTAAAGCTGGCGTCGGGCATCAGCAGTCTGGCGTTGCCGCTCTCCGCACGACACGCACCCGACGACCGTGATGGCAGTCAGACGCGGCAGGCCGACTTGTGCCAGTGCCTCGTAGTTGACGTCCAGCTTCTCGTCCAAGATGGCGCTGAGCTTGTAGCGCGTACCGTCGGAGTTGAAGAAGGACGAGGAGAGCATGGGCAGTCCCATGGCTGTTGAGGCGAAGGTTCAGCTGTGAGGCCACAACACCACCTTGAGAGACGTGCACTGACACTTGGCGCCGAACGCATCGCCCCAGTAGACAGCAGAGAAGACGGCGTACATCACTGATGGCAGGAGTGTCAGCTCTGACCACGTGTGAAAGTCTGGCAGGCTCGCCTCACACAAAACGCCGATCCACGCATTGGCCTGTTGGTTCAGAGGCAGTGCCATGGCACTACTGGTGAGGTACTGCCAGTCAAAACTGAAATTGAGTACGCCCAGGCCCTCCGATCAAGTGGTAAGCATGCAGGATCCTTGCGTCGTGAGGGCGGGCTCACCTCGTTGGAGTTCGCTCCGCCAAAAAGGTGCGTGACTGTCGCCTTTGCTCCGTCGTTCTTGATCGCCGGAGAGGACCAGCAGATGGCGGAGACTCCGTTCAGGACCGGAGCGATGTAGGCGGGTAGTAGCTCATACAGCGACGACACTACCAGCGCCTTGCCAAAGAATGTCACCCTTTTCTTGTTCTCGGACGCCCCGCTGAGGTCAAAGTGCAGTGCCTGAAGGAGCGACACCATGGGCAGCGTCGACCAATAGACGCAGTCCGACGGATAGATGGTCGTGGTGCGGAAGACTCCGGCCAGCACGAAGCCACACAGCGAGACAGCAAAAAGGCCCATGACCGTGGTTAGGGCATCCGGGGAGCGGTTGTAGAAGAGCTTTTCGATGGCAATTGTCTCGATTCCAGACGCAGAGTTGTTCGAGCACGACGCCAGCAGCACGGCGACGGTGTGCTCCTTGATGCCAAACGGCTGCCCGAAGTTGAGGAAGCGAAACGGGCCTTGGAGGAAGGCGAAGCGCGTGCCGCTCAGGCGAGCTGGGCTGGGCGTGAGGTGCGCCCAAGCCTGCCCCCAAACGAACGCTATCAGAATGAGGAAAACTGATGACACAGTTACCTGAACCGGCTTAAACAGGTATAAAATGGAGATAACGCTTGAGAGAACGGTTAGGACCGTGCCCATGACAAGGCTGCGGAACGGGAACGCGAGGGCGGGATCGCCTGCTCGAGGCGTGAGCACGGGTCTGATTGGTCGTAGTCTTTCCTGGACTCACCGTCGTCTCGCGCTGACACGACGAGGCGAGACACATCGTCGCCCTGGCAGAGCAAGAGGGATGAGCACTGCGCACGCTGACCCCTCACACGCGCCGTACAGTTTCGATGACAGAATCGCGCGACAGCGACTCGGTGTCTAGTCCATCCTGCTGGGCCTCCTCCTTCTCGAGCTTCTCGTCCGTGGGCGTGGCGTGCGGAGCAGGCGCAGCTGTGTCGCCGGCCATAGCCGGCAGGTACTCCTTCTCGTCGGTCATGGCAGCTGCGTGGGAGCGCGGGGCGGAGCGGTGCGAGACACGGAGGGCGGTGGCTGCTCTACGGGTGGACAGCTCACCTTATCAGAGCGCCTCCCCGAAGTTCATCTCGCTGCAGTCGCTTCGATTCTCCCCGGCACGAGCTCGAGAGAAAGGGTGGCGTGATGGCGTGCTGCGTCGCGTGACGGCCCCAGAGCGCGCACCACGGCCCACTTTTAGCCTATTCGGAGATGAGATGCGCGTCGCAGATGCCGCCGGTCCCGGAATACCGCCTCTCTGCACCTGCATCGCTTCTACACTCAAGCGCCAGGCCACCCGCTATCGCTCCTGAGTGGCTCTCTCCGGGCTTCACCAATAGCGCATCGCCCCCTGAGGATCCGAGGCGCCGGACCACACGCTGCGGCAGCTGCACTCTCTAACGCCAGAGAGCCACAGCGTGCCGCCGGATGCTTCGGTGCCCGAAAATGCTAGAAAGCGCAAGAGGCAGTCCCAGCGCAACCTGGGACACTGTAGGGGCCATCTATGCTACGGCTGCGGCGGCGGAAGGCCCTCTCGACCGGAGCGGCAGAGTGTGTCACAGGTGGTGGAAACGCGCGCTGCCCGGCCGCCGAGCCACGCATGGCGCGCATCGCAGCCCGGCGCCCCACGCCTGGTCTGACCACTTCACTCGTGTCCCCGGGCAACACGGCTAGAGGGATCGGCTGGCAGTGTCTTCTCACCAGGGGCTCACCCTATCCACGAGCCCAAGACATGGACGACGAAAGAGCAGACGCAGCGGCACCGCGCTGGTTGCGCACGAGGAGCTGAGTAGATATCGCATTTTGTGGTGACGGCCCCGTCTGCGCAGCGCGGCTGCTCAGATGACCACCTCCTCGGTCTCCTCGAGTGTCTCCTCGAGCCACTCCTGGATCTCCTCGGTGGCCTCCTCGGCCAATTGCTCCGGCAGGTCGGTTGCCTCGCGGCCGAGATCTGCGATAAGTAGTGAGCGACGTTGCGGCGAGCCTACTGCAGACGACTCACCGGCGCGAAGCTCCTCGAGCTCCTGCTTGCTGCGCGCACGGTAGGCGCGCCACTCGTCGAGCGCGCGCTCGTACTGCTCGCGGTTGGCGAGCGCGAGGTTGCTCTCCTCGGCCGCGTCCTCCTCCTCGAACTGCTTGCCAATGTCGCGCAGGTTGCGGCGCACGTTCTTCATCTGCTCCTTGCTGAGCAGCGTGCGCGGGCGCGGGCGCCAGAGGATCTGCTTGAAGCGGTCCTGCACCTGCTTCTGCAGCTCCTTGCCGCTGAACGTCCACACGGCGTAGCCGTTCTCGAGCTGGTGGCGCCACGTGCTCGCAGAGGAGGAGACAAAGCGGCCGGACGGGTCCCACTCGAGGTCGGTGATGCCGTAGTGCTCGCCCGAGCCGATGAGGCGCACCTCCTCGGCCGGGTCCGACGCGGCGCTGCCCTGCCGCACCTCCTCGCCGAACGTCACGTCGTAGAACTCGAGGTCGAAGCGCTGCGAGCTGCCGAGCGTCGCCACGACGACGTGGCGGCCCTTCGGCGACCAGAAGACGGTGTTGCACGATTTGTTGTCGATTGTCTCTGCTCGCGGCGTCAGCAGAGGCCACAGCACACGCGCAGGGCCACTCACTGAGCAGGCGGAAGTCGCCCTTCTTCTGGTCGAGGTGGAAGAAGTTGAGCTGCGTCTTGATGACGATGCCGGGCGCCGGCTGGCCGAGGTTCGGGTCGTTGGAGGAGATGACGACGAAGTGCGATCCATGCGGCTCCCAGGCAAAGGCCGTGACGGGGTCTGCATGGCTGTCAGTGCCCAGGCCAAGGCGCAACCTCACACACTACTCACCCTTGATCTCGACGACCTCGACCGGATAGTCCTTCTCGCGCATGCGGAAGAGCTCGAAGTTGCAGAACGTGCTCTTCTTCGTCTTGGTGTGGCGGTCGACCTTGACGCAGAGGTAGTCGCCCTGCGGGTGCCAGTGCAGCTTGCAGTCCGAGACGTTGAAGAGGTTCTTGCTGCGGATGATCTCGCGGCTCGGGATGGCCATGACGGTGGCGCGTGCCGGCTGGTTGGCCACCTCGGGCAGCCAGAAGGAGATCATGTTGTCGCGCGGCTTGCGCGCGCCCTTTGGCGGGTTGCTGCCGTCGCCCCACGCCTCGATGGCGTCGCGGTCCTTGTCCGACAGCGGGCACCACTCAAAGTCGACGACGCCCTCGACGGCAATGCTCTTCTTGTCCAGCAGGCCCATCGACGGCAGCTCGTAGACGCTGATCTGCTTGCCCGGCACGACGCGCGCGCAGTACTGGTCGTCGCCCGACCACTTGAGCAGCGGCCAGGAGAAGCCGCGGCCGGCGGCGCCCGCCTCGCCGTCCTGCGCCACGGGGAACGTGCGCAGCAGGTGGCCAGTGCGCACCTCCCACACGGCGACGCGGTTGCCCTCGTCGTCGGCGCTGAAGAATTGCGGGCCCTGCGGCGCGCCCTCGGGCACGACGATGGCGTCGTGCGACCAGGTGACCATGTACTTCTCCGACGGCGAAAAGTCGACGAGACGCGCGCCCGGGTGCGCAAAGCGCATGAAGCGCTCCCACGAGGCGCCGCCCCAGAGCGCAATGCCTTGCCGGTGGAACGTCGTGAGGAACGTGCCGAGCGGCGACCACTGCACGTAGGATTCTGTCCAGCGCTGCAGGGGTGTCAGACCTGCGTGCGCCTCGTCGACAGCGCATGCATGCGATGCAGCAGCACCCATCGTCTCCCGGCGTCCGTCGCCACTCCACTCTCCTCCCGCCTCCACTACACTCACCTGTCTCTCGTGCGCCACCTCCGGTGCACCGGCGCGGTTGTGCCAGGCAATCTGCACGTCGTCGCCGCGGCACATGACGAGCTGGTCGCGGTTCGCGGGATCGAGCAGCCAGGAGCGCAGGTGCTCGCGGTCCTCGTACGGCGCCGCCTCGGGCTCCGCGTACTCGTCGTCGAGGTTCGCCAGCTTCTCAATGTCCGTGAAGCGGTTCACTGCGAAGCGGTGGCGCTTGTCGAACGCGTAGCCGTCCATCAGGCGCGCCGCAAGCGCCGCGTCCGAGGGCGAGGCGAGCTCCATGAACATGTAGCTGGGCCAGAGGTCAGCAAGCCGTCGCAGTCATGCAAGATCGAGCGGCGTGCGCTGTACGTCGTGCCCGGCGAGGCGCGACGCTTCGGCCCGCCTCTGGATCTCCATGCCTCTCTCTCCCTTGCCGCTCTTGGCCCGCTCTGTCCGCCTCTCTCCCTCCGCACTCACCCCTTGGAGTTGCCGTCCTCGCCGTACGGGATGTGCATGCCCTCCGGCGGCACATCGATGCCGGCGTGCGTCTTGAAGCGCTTGATGATGGTGTCGAAGAGCTTCGTCTGGCGCTCCTGCGTGATCACGGGCACGTTGTCGAGCACGACGACGTCGTCGAGGCCCTCGTCGAAGCGCACGGCATACTTGGCGATGATGTCGCTAAAGTCGATCTCGGAGTCGGGCACCGAGGGCCCGGCGTCTGCGGAGGCCATGGCGGAGGAGTAAGGGGATGGTGAGGTGAGAGTGGAGCGGCCGCTGCGTGCCTTGTCCGAGGTGCTGGGAGCGGCCATCAGCGGGCGACACGCGAAGAAAGGCGCGGCGGCGGCGCCGCCCAGGCGCGCCGCTCCCACGCTGCCTGCGAGAGCGACTGCGCGGCACGTGACGCGGGTCCAGCTCGTCTGCGGTGCGCACAGGGCACCTCTCGCTCTGCTTCCCTCCACCACGCCTCACCCACTCCCTCCATGGCGACGCAGTCTCCCGCCAGCAGCGGCTTCGACGCAGCCGCGGCGGCAGCGTACCTGCGCAAGCGCTGGGAGACCGTGCAGGCCGCCGCCACGGACCCCAGCCTGCTCAAGTCGGGTGCGTCGCAGCCAGGGCGACTCATGCTGCGACTGCCAGTGCTGACATGCAACGGCAGAACGGCCAGAGGTGCTGACGGACAAGCCGCCGGCCGACGACGCCTCGTGGGCCGCGTCGCCAGGCACGGGCAAGCGCGACGCCAGTGAGTGCGCGCTGCGAGATGTGGTGCGGGGCACGGAGCAGAGAGGCGGCGGCAGGAGGCGCGGCCAGTCGTGCCAGGCAGCTCTGCCCTTGCTGCCCGCACGCGAGGCCGAGGCGACAGGCAGCTGCTCTTATCTGGGCAGCACCGCTCGCCTGAATGGCGTTGCGAGCTCTGTGACACCTCTGACGCTCCTCTCGCAACAGAGGGCTCGTCGACCTTCCTGGCCGACATCTGGCGCGCCGCCGACCAGCTCTCCGGCGCCAATGTGCCGGCTGCATCTGCTCCGGCCAAGGGTGCACAATAGCTGTCCGTCTGTAGAGGGGAGCCGTGGAGGGGTTGGAGCTATGTCATCGGTGCTTAAGCTGTCAAGGCAGCAGTGACTGAGGCGATGAGGGCGCAGCACGGCGTGAAGACGAGAAGTGGCACGAGGCATGTCCGATGCGTTTGATTGGTGAGACTGCAGCACGCTGCAGAGGGTATACATGATGTCGAGGGTCCCCGTCTCTTCTCTAGCTGCCCACCGCTGCCGCTCTCACTTGCTCTTGAAGCCGGGAAAGTTGCGCATCAGCGCCTCGCGCGCCTTTTGCCGCCGAGCCTCGGCCGCATCGGCACGCAGCTGGCCTTCGGTGCGCGGTGCGGCGGCGGTGCAGTTGTGAGCGGCGAAGGAGCGATGCCTTGACGGGGGAGGATCAGCACATACGCGGGAAGAAGCAGCAGCAGCGCAGTAAGAGTGCGCTGCGCTCTGGCCGCGGACGGGTGAGGGCCGAGTGTCCATGGTGGGCGCATTGAGGACCTGCATCGCACAGAGTCCTGCCCCAAGTCTTACTTCGCCCTGCCAATCGGGCCGTCGAGCCCGCCGTCATGCCACAGCACCACTCACCGCATGCAAAACGCGCCCCGGCAGCGCTCGCAGCGCGGCGCCTTGTGTGCCACACCTGGCTGTGCTCGCTGCACACCTGGCGCAGCGGGCACAAGCTCCAAGCTATACGCCGTACATTTCGGCACTGCGCAGCGCACGCGATCTGCGCCCTGCGGCTTGCTGCTGCTGCTCTCTGCCGGCGTTGCCGCTGCACAGGCATGTGTCTCGGGCGGCACGCACGTCTCGCAGAAGCGGCGCATGCAGTGCGGACAGGCGATGGGCAGGAAGGTGAGGCACTTGCACGTGTCGAGTGCGCAGTGCGTGCCGATGTCCATGGCGTGTGCGACGGTGACGCGAGGAGGTGAGTGTCAGGTGGCAGGAGGCAGGCCAGGTGGAGCAAGGAGAGGAGGCTTGCGCGGCCTCGGGACTCGGGCGCGTCGCAGCGCGTTCCGCTCCCACGGTGCCCGCTCGCTTCCCCGCACTCTGTCCCTCCGGCGGCACTTGCACCCTGCCCGTGCCTGTGCCGGCCGCGCGCTGCCGAGACTCCCATGTGTGCGGATCAGAGCCATGGCCTGAGCCGAGCGGCTGGTGCGGACCTCCTCGACGATCAAGGGCGGGCTGCAGCGGCGAAGGCGCACGCCGGCGCTGGCAAGGGTGCGAGGTCAGCATGCGCATGAAAGCGTCCAGCCGGCGACTGGCGCGCCCGGGTCCTGCTCGCTCCCACCACCACCACCGCAGCCATGGGTCTCTCCATCGACAGCTTCGTGCACGCGCTCGAGCCGCTGCTGCGCCTGCCGCTGGCGCCGCTCGCCATTGCGGCGCTGGCGGCGCTGCGCAACAGCGACGCCGCCGATGCGCTCTACATTCTGCGCACGCAGCCGGGCAAGGAGGCGGCACGCGAGTTCCTCGCCGTCGTGCGCCGTGCCATCCGCGAGAGCAAGCTGCTCAAGGTGAGCCTGCTGCTTGAGTGGTGGTAGCAGTGCTGATGCTAGCTTCAGCTCGTGCTTGCCATCGTCGCCGCCCGCACGCTCAACCGCGTCGGACACCGCCTCTTCGTCGACCGCCAGGCGCGCCGGCGCATCGACTGGCGCCGCCACGTCGTTGTCATCTCTGGCGGCGCACGCGGTATCGGCGGCGGCGTCGCCGAGCGCCTTGCCGACCGCGGCGCCAAGGTGGTCACACTGGACATGGCCGAACGCACCGCGCACTCGCGCGAGACGCGTCACTTCAAGGCAGACGTCACCGACGAGGCGCAGCTGCTCGAGGTGCGCGAGCGCATCCACAAGGAGCTCGGCATGGTGACGTGAGTGGTGAGATGCGGCTGTGAGATGCGCTGAGGCTGACGGCTCGCAGCATGGTCGTCGCCTGCGCCGGCATCGCGCGTCCGTGCGCCGTGCTCGACCCGCCCGACGTGATCTCGCTGGCCTACCACACCAAGATGGTCGACGTGAACCTGAATGGTGAGGCACCTGCACGGCAAGCAGCTTGCTGTCATGCTCAATGCTGGGCCATGCAGGCACTCTCAACTTCATCCGCGTCTTCAGCCAGGACATGCTGCCAAAAGCCAAGGAGGGCGAGCCGCGCGTCGAGGGCGGCGCCCCGGCGAACGGCTGGGGCGGCCACATCCTCATGATCGCCTCGGGCGCCGCATTCACGTCGCTGCCCTACAATGCGATGTACTCGGCCTCCAAGGCCGGCGCCGTTGCGCTGTGGACGTCGCTCGGCTGGGAGCTCGACGTGGTGCACAAGGCGCGCGGCGTGCGCAACAGGTGCGTCTCCTCCTTACCCTGCGTGCTGACATGCTGACTTGGCCTGCGCCAGTGTCATGTGCCCGCTCAAGGTCGCGACGGCGATGACGGACAACGAGCGCATGAGTGACCAGGCGGACCAGTTCATGACGCCTACGCTGTCTGTCGAGCAGGTCGCAGACCGCATGGTGCAGATCCTCGAATCGGACCGCGGCCAGATGGTGCACCTGCCCGCCGCCGCCAATGCGATCGCGCTCCTCTCGGTACGTCACCGCCCTCCTCACCCTTGCTGTGACCCAGCTGACGCGACTTCTTCCAGCCTGCGCTGCCCGACTGGCTGCGCCGCGCAATCTTCAAAGCGCTGGGTGCGCAGCGCACCTTCTTTGCCTTTGCGCAGAACAACCGGCGCATGGTCGCCGATCCGTGAGCTGCGCGCAGCCTCACAGCACACGCTGTGCTCTCTGTCGCGGCTCTCGCTGGACGGCAGCACTGGACCACATGCAATGAGATACCGGGCATCGATTATAGGGGGTATGATAGATAGCATCTGCGATGGCAGGAGGGGAGCGCCACAGCGCTGGCAGGGCCGCACGGCTGGCGCCGCTCATGCTGCCGGCTGCGCGGCCTTCTCGAGCGGCGTCTCCTCGGACGCGCGGCGGCCATAGGCGTCCTCGCTGTGCACGCTGCGTGCCTCCTTGAGCACGGCCGGCAGGCGCACGAGCTCGATGACAAGGAAGATGGCGTAGAGGCCCAGGTAGACGGCCGTGTCGATGATCTGGTCGGCCGTGTGGTACTCGTCCTCGTAGCCGCCGATGCGCGGCTCGACGTTCTCGAGCTTGGCCAGCTTGGCGATCTTGACGGCAGTGAAGGCAGCCGAGAGCAGCCAGAAGGCCAGCACGACGAAGGCCGTGACGCTGCGGACGCGCAGATGCGTGCGCACATGCATCAGCAGCAGCACGAGGACGATGCCGCCCAGCGTGAAGGGCAGCAGGCCGGCGCCGCGGTGTGCCAGGTAGAGGCGCACGATCTCGAGCACGTTCATCAAAAGCGCCGCAATGACGAGCAGCGTGTGCAGCACGGCCAGCGCCGTCGCCAGGCGCGGGAAGCGCGGCGCCGCGACGCCGGCGTACGTGGAGCGGAAGCGGTAGCGCTGCAGCGGCAGCTTGAAGCTGGCGACGTGTCGGCGCGACTTGAGCAGCGCCGGCACCCAGAGCGCGCCGATGAGGACGAGCAGCACCCACGTCGCCAGCGGCGCCAGGATTACGTCGAGGAAGCACAGCGCCGGCAGGCCGCGCTGGATCGAGGCGAAGGGCTGCGCGAGCGTGTCAGCGGCGTGGAGATGCGGCGCAGCTCGTGGCTCGCGCTCACTGCATTGTTCTCGAGGCGCAGGCCGCACAGGTTGCGCTGCGAGTAGAACGAGGCTGGCGCGTCCATAGTTGTAGGCGTATCAGGTAGCGCTTGAGTTGAGATGAAGGTGGGAGGAGGGACCGAGGCGAGTGCAGAGGCAGCTATATAGGAGGCCCGCCGCCGCAGCCTCGGCGTCCGAGACGCTCTGTCGATCAGGCCAGATGGAGCGGCTCCACCTCACCAGCGGGCCAGGCACAACACCTGTCTCGACACCACGCGTGCATCATCTCGAGCTTCTCTCATGCAGGTCGCCGGCGGCTAGCGCAGCAGCCCCGAGCGCCGCCCCGACCTGCGCTGCTGGCCCACCCCGAGCCGCTTCATGCGTCGAAGCCGCATCCGCCGGCGGCCCAGATGCAGACGCGCCTTTCGCCGTGCCGTGCCGCGGCGGCGGAGCAGCAACCCTCGCAGCCGCCGCTGGGCTGATTTTGCCTCACGCGACGGCGACGTCACCTTTCAGCGCGGCCCGCACCGCTGCCGCGTCCCCACGCGAGACGGCTCGCTCGACGCAGGTCCGCCTCAGAAACAAGCCGCTGTACCGGCTGAATTTGATTTGCCGGCGCGCTCTGTCTGCACAGGCCATGAGGGATGATCGCAGTAGAGTCGCCAACCGCAGCAGCACGCAGACGCAGGTAAAGCTGCTCGGTCTGCACCGTGCACAAGCCATCGCTCGGCGTCACCTGCGGCCAGGCCTTGGGGCGCGTGATCTTGTCTTCTGCGCTGCGGTAGGCGGGCGGCATGTCGCTCCGCAGCACGCAAAAGACAATCCAAAACAAGCGCTCATCCCAGTACCAATGCATCGAGGCGCAGACAAAACAGCTTGTTGAGGTTGCAGCGCTCATGCTGGATGAGGTACTGCAGATTGCCGTGCGCGCTGGCCTGCACGTTCCCATCCCTTGCCTTGGTTTCACTCTGCTGCGAGACTACAAGACGCTTCACAACAACAAGGCACCATTCTCCGTGCTTGGCAACATGACAAGGGAAGAGCTTGCGCGTGCGCTGGAACGTGGTAGCGCCAAGGACTGCCACCTCGTGAACGCACGCTCCCAGGTGCAGCAGCAAGGGAACACGCAGTGATTGATGAAGCTGTGACAGGGCGGCCTGGATTACGAGAGACTACAGAGAAGTATGGCCTCACTTGGGCGCGGATGGATTCGTGGGAGCGGGCGCTGTGGATGCGGCTGGACCAGCAGCTGGAGTGCGAGCAGAGCTGGGAGCCGAGGGCAAGCCGGGTGGCTGGCCATTGGTCGCGCGAGCAACCGAGGCCGCTGCCGCTGCGGCCCCGCCAGCTGAGGCGACGCCAGCAGCAGGGGGGCTTCTGGCTGCTCCTGCGGCCGACGAAGACGGCTGCGCGGCGGCCTGTGCGGCAGCGGCGGCGCTGTGGTTCTTCATCAGGTTCGCCAGGCCCTGCAGCTGCGGCGGCGAGAGCTTGGCGAGCAGCACGCTGAGATGCAGCATCTGGCCCTGCCCCGCCGCGCCCTCGGTGACGCCCATGAGCAGCACGGCGTCGTCCTGCTGCGCCGGCGGCGGGCGCGGTGCCGTCGTGTGCGCTGTTGGCACCGGCGTGCCTGAGGCAGCAGCTGCACGCTGCGCTGCGACGGCCGGCTCGAGGTGCGGCGCAGGCACGGCGCGGATGGAGAGCGCCAGCAGCGCCTGCAGCGCGGAGAGCGGCAGGATCAGAGGTATAGGATGCGTTGGCAGCGTCATGGGCCCGGCTGGTGCTGGCGGCGCGCCAGTTGAAGGGCCTCCAGTTGGTGTTGAAGGAGCGCGCGCGACGACGGGCGAAGCTGCTGGTCGAGGCACCCCTGGTATTGGCGGCGAGCCTGCGCCTGGCCGAGAGCCGGACGGCTGGGCTTGTGCTGGAGGTCTTGGCGCTGTTGATGGCCCAGGCGCAGACAAACCAGGACCAGGTGCGCTGCCGTTGACGCTCTGCGACAGAGACTGCGTGCTTGCCGGCCTGTTCGCCTGCGAGATCGACGGGCGTTTGGCAGGCGGCCGCATTAGCTGGGGCGCTTCGCCGACCGGCGTCGGTGAAGCAGCAGGCAGGCGTGCTGGCCTGGTCTGCATCGACGAACCAGCGCCAGGCGTCATCGCGCTAGCAGGCGACGGGGCAGGCGACGCGCTCACTGCTTCGCTCTTGCGCTTGCGTGGACGCTTCGCCTTCTCCGTGTCTTCGTCGCCTACGTCTGCCTCCTGCTTGACCGGCCCAGCACTCTCGCGCCTGGCTGCCTCTTCCTTCTCGCGTTTTCGCCGATCTCTCCTCGCCTGCAGCTCGTCGGCCCGCTTCTTCTCCGCGACCTCCTCCTTTTGTTTGTCCATCTCTGCCTTGTCGTCGTCGTCATCGGCCTCTTCGTCGCTGCTGACAGCACCTGCACCGGCCATGAGGCCCTCGCGCAGCAGCTGCCGTCGGGCATTGGCGGCGGCGCGGTCGATCTCTCGCGAGTTGAGGCCCGCGATGCGCCCTTGCTCGCGCGTGGCACGCAGAACCTCCTGATCGGCCGTGAGGACCTCCTTCTCGGCATCGTACGCCTGCCGCGAGAGCTGCAGCACGCTCTCCTGCGCCCACAGCGCATGCTCGGCGCCGCCCGTCAGGCGTGCGCGCAGCTGCAGCGCCCGGGCCCGCATGGCCGTGTGCCGCGAATGCAGGTCGGAGATGCGTGCGTCGGGAAAGATCACTGCTGGATCTGCGCGCGGCGGCGAGGTGCGGCGGCGCTTCGGAGCACTGGTGCTAGCAGAGGACGGACCGGCGGCGTCTACATCGGGCGCACTAAGCGCCCAGGCAATGTCGGCGTCCGGCACCGCATACACATGGTACGGCAGCAGGCGGGCGACGACATCCCGCGCCGAGCGGAAGGGCGTCGAGTAGTCGGGCCGCAGCACGGCGGCATGGTCGCGCCGCAGCGCCGCCTCGACGCGCTCGGCGACGGAGCGCGGCGCAGGCGGCAGCCGCGGCGGCGGCGTGTCGAGCGAGCTGGCATCGGTCGCGGGTGCCAGCAGCGACGAAGGTCCCGCGTGCGCCTCTGCCATGCCGGCGCCCTGCGGCTGCAGCAGCGGCAGCTTCAGTGCCGGGCCTTGGCCATGCGCGCTGCCGGTTGTGTCTGGCGGCGCGGGCGCGGCCGACGAAGAGGCGGCCGACGGCGGCGACGTGGCCAGCATGCGCCGCTGCGTGCTCGCTAGCCGCCCGCCTCAAGCAGCCAGCGGAGGCAAGCTGCGCTCGAGGCAAGGCCGGCTGCGGCTGCTGCTGCCTCGCTCTTGCCGCGAGCGGGTGCAGTCGGCGGCGCGCGAGATGAGCGTGCGGCGCGCCGGCGTACGCCGCTGCGCTCGCGCCGCCTGCGCCGAGATGGTGCGGAGAGGCGAGAAGGGGTGAGGCCCGATGAGCGAGGGCAAGGGCGGCGATGTGCGCACGGACGGCAAGGCGAGTAGGACCACAGCCGGCCGAGACTTGGACGGGCAGGCGAGGCGAGGCTGAGGCGAGCGGGGCAGCGGCGGGAGGGCGGACGGCGGCGCGCGCGGCAGAGCAGCAGCCGCGGTGGGCGGAGACAGCCCTGTGCGGCGCGCGGGCGCGCCGTGCATCGCATCACGTGCAAGCCAGATCTGCTCCCACGCGCCCTCGTCTGGGGCGCGCGCACGCCTGCAAGGGGCGATTCCGGCTGCTCCGTTGGCGCCGCCAGCTCCCGCCTCCATGCCCGTCGCTGCGCCCGCCGCCCGCCGCCGCTGAGGGTGCGAGGTGCTCTCGGCAGCGGCAGTGCAGCTCCCTGCGTGGGCGTGCAGGCCGCTCTGCGCTACGTCCAGCATGAGACAGGTGCTGCTGAGCGCAGGCGCCGTCACGCATCGTCCTCCACGCAACGCACGCGCAGCGCAGCCGCCGCCTCTCGGCACCCCGTGCATGCGGCACTGACGTCGCTCCGCCCGGCACGGCCTTCAGATCGGCAGTGCAAAGTGCGACAGCGCTTGGCGTCGAGGTCAGATCCTCTGCCGCTGCGCGGCTGTCTGCGCCTGCCTTCGCTGCCGGCGCGCCATCCTCGCCCAACGGCCTCGCTGCCGCCATGCCGTGAGAGCCCCTGCTCGCTGGCCGGCAGGCAGCTCGGCTGCGTCGCCGCCAAGGATCAGCCGTGCTCGCCGTACCCGACGTCCTAATTCACGTCCAGCCCGCTGTGCCTGCACGGGCAGCACGCATGCTGCGCTAGAACCAGGCAGGCCAGGGTCTCTTGCTCGCTGCACTCCGTACCGATCCTCGACGCCGAGCATGCTTTCCTGACCACCACATCCATCTCCCGATCCCTTCTCTCTCTCCGCTCCGGTCTCGCTCTCTGCTTCCACGGCTTCTCACTCTCCTTTACCTGCCCCCTTGACGCTCCTTCTCGACCGACACTGACACACCGACGCTCACTTCGACTCGCCACACGACTCCACACGACGCCATGGCGTCTCAAACAGCACCAACGCTTGCTCGGCGACAGGCCGCAGCTGGCGCCGCGGCTGCGGTTGCAGCGCCCTCGGCGACGTCGATGGCCGTGCTTGTTGTCGGCATCATCGCGCTCGTCATTGCACTTGGTGTCGGCGGCTACGTTGTATACCACTTCCGGCAAGCGCGCAACGCGTCGCAGAAGAGCCGCGCACCGCTCAAGGTCAGCGCACCGACGCTGCGCTTCGCACCGCAGCACGCCGTCGAGGGCCGCGACGTGCGCACGATGAGCGAGGCGGAGCGCAGCGCCCTGGCGTCGCGCGGCGTGCGCCCGCTGGGCCCATCCGTGGGGCCGGCCATCTCGTCCTCGTGGGGCCCGATGCACCCGAGCAGCAGCATGTCGGCCAGCAGCTCCAGCTCCGGCCCGATGCCGAGCAGCTCCTCCGACGGCACGCGGCGGAGATCAGACTCGATCGGCCGGCCGCAACGGCCTTTGATGCACGAACAGCCGCCAGCACTGCCGTCGCTGCCACACCTGGCCCAGTCCAAGGTCGGCCCCGACGGCTTCGCCGGCGAGGTTCCGTCACATCTGCGCTCGGCGCGTGTGAGCCGCGTGGCCGTGCCCAGCATGCTGCTGCGCTCGCTCGGCGACCTGCCCTCGCTGCCCGTGCCCGGCAGCTCAAAGGCAGGCGTGCGCCCAAACAGCTCTGAAGGCGCGAGCTTCACACCGGTGCTCGATCTCGACCTTGACCTCGAGGGCGGGCGCAGCGGCCAGTCGCCGGCGCGCGGCAAGGCGCTCGAGGACGAGCTGGACTTCGAGATCGAGCGCTCCATGTGGCTCACCAGCACGCTCCAGAGCGCCTTCGAGGGCCGTGTCGGCCGCACGTCGCCGGACCTCGAGGCTGGAAAGTCTCGCAAGTCGGTCACTGCCAGCAGCAGCACCACCAGCGGCTCCAATCTGCCACGCAGCCGCACCAGCGCCGTGTTCCAGCAGGTGACCGGCGTCTTCGAGGCGCCAACAAGCCTGCCGCCGTCGCAGCGCCTGCCGAACCCGCCCAAGCTTGCCAGCCGGACCACACTCAGCAGCCTCGAGCCGGCAGCCGACGTTCGCTCACGCACCGCTGGCGACCCACGGCCGTCGCTCTCGATGAGCAACCGCTCCATGGTCGGCACAGCACCGAGCTTCGGCTCGAGCGTCTACATGTCTGCCGGCGAGTCAGACACCTTCCGTCCGCGCGACGGACTCGGCTCGATGCCACCGATGCCTGCCGGTGCCTCTTCCGTGTCGCGCCAGGCGCAGCAGCACATGAGCTTCTCGCTGCCCTTCTCAGCCACAGCTGCTGCGCCGACGCCCGCAGCGGACACCTCGGCATCGACGGCTGGTCCCAACGTGCCCGGCGGCTTCCGCCCGCTCAGCCTCGGCTTCGGCAAGAGCAGCAGCAGCAAGTCGAGCCTGGCCTTCGGTGCAAACTTGTTCTCAGAGGCCCGCACCTCGTTCTGGGCAGGCAACACGGCCGACTCAAGCAGCAAGCTTGCGGCCTCGGGCTCGTCCGGCTCGATTCGCGCCGCCTTGAGCGCCACGGTACCTCGCTCGACCTCGGACAGCTCTGCCGCGGGAAGCACTTCTGGCGACTGCTCGCGCCCCAGCATGGACACGACGGGCGCCACTTCGTTCGGCAGCGCCTCGAGCGGCACCGCACCGAGCTCGACGCACTCGCTTGACATGCAGTCGGCAAAGTCGAGCGATGATCTCGACCTCGAGGGCGACCTCGACCAGGCCGTCGTCACACGCGCCAACAAGGGTCCGGCGCTGATCAAGGCACAAGGCGCAGCCGCCCCGCGCCGCATGCCTGCGCAGATGTCTGTCCGCTCCGGCGAGACGAGCAACTCGCTCGATATGATCCGCAAGCCGCTGCCTCTGATTCTCGAGGACGAGCCGGAGTCGGTGCCAGCCCAGCAGGCCTCCAAGGTCAGCGCGCCGCGCCCGAGCGCCACGCCGTCCGTCGTGCCCTTCATGACGCCGTATCACCGCGCCGTCTTCCCGGACAAGCTCGGCAGTGAGCAGGGCCTGGCAGCCCCCGTGGGCGATCGCGTGGAGCGCCATAGCTTTGCCGGCAACGCTAGCCCGATCTTCAACGAGCTAGGCTCGGGTGCCTTCCCAGGCCCGAAGCAGAGCTTTGCCAGCAGCTTGCGAGCTCGTCTGACGCGTGGCCGCGGCCCGAATGCGCCTGGCAGCGCTCGCAACAGCATGTTCTCGGGCGCTTCTGTCGACTACCAGGGCAGTCCGATCGCCTCGCCGTGCCTCGCCGCCTCTCCGGCGCACAGCAGTCCGTTCCAGACCGAGCAGTGGGCCGTCTCGACGCTCGACTCGCCCGGCCACGCGCGTCTCGGCGTGCGCGACGAGGTGCGCGCCTCGGTGAACCAGATGCAGCAGCGCGAGCAGGCCCAGCACGCCAGCTTCCTGCCGACGGTGACGCTGTGCAGCCCCTTGAACCAAGAGGCCGGCCGGCGCAGCAGCGCAGCTAGCTTCGGGCTCGGCCTGGGCCTGAGCGACTGCAGCGGCGCCGCAGTGCAGGCACCGCGCGCCTCCGTGGCCTCTGCCGCCTCGTCCTCGCACTACACGCACTCGCAGCACCACCGCCAGCAGCCGTCGCTCGATGCCGCCCCGCACGCGCGCCTGGACAGCGCTTCGATTGCCTCGCCAATCATGCAGTCTGCCCGCTGGGCCGGCTCGACGCCCAGCGTCATGGCGACTGCGGCCAGTGCGGCCGCTCGCACCGCGCACATCTCGCAGGACCACCTCGACGCCCGCCTGTCAGCCGAGCACCCGAGCGCCGCGCGCATGAGCCCGCTCGAGTCGTTCGAGCAGCGCTTCGCCGCAGCACCGATGGCAACAACGTCGCCGCGCGCTTCTCCGCGCCTCGCCTTTGCGACGCTCTCGCCTCGCGTCGACAATGCACGCTCGTCGTGGGCGAGCAACAGCCGCCGCAGTACGGCCCGCGAGAGCTTCGCCAGCCCGCGCTCCGACCGCGCCGACACGATCAGCATCACGAGCTCGTGCATGACGGGCGGCACCGAGGCGATGGGCGAGAACCACGAGGAGGCGCTCGACCAGCGTGCTCGTCTGCTGCGCAGCGTGCAGGAGAACATCGCACGGGCTGCTAGCCGACAGGCAAGCCAGGAGATGCAGAGCAAGCTGCAGCGCTCGCAGTACGACGGAGCGGCCACGATCAGCAGTGCCACCGTCCGTCCGCTCGAGCGCGCCGCCGCCATCTCGTCGCCCGCGAGCCATGCGCTCAAGAAGCCTAGCAACCTGACCGTCGAGGTCAACGGCAAGCTCGGCACGGGCATCATTGCGCCGCTCACGCCGCCGCTCACGCCCATCGACCCGATTGCCGCAAGCTCCTCTGCCGCGACAGTCACTCCGGCGACTGTCAACAAGGAGGCCAGTGGCATCGCCATGCCCGCGCCGGCACACCACGCCAGCAGCGTGTCGCGCCTCGGCAGCCCGGTTGCCGACTTGCCGGCAGTCAATATCGCCAGCCGGCCCAAGTTCCGCCCGCTGAGCTTGACGGCAACGAGCTCGGTGCTCGACGGCGCGCAGCTGCCGTCGTCGGCGCCGGTGCACCAGCACGCATTCGGCATGACGGCCAGCAGCAGCATGACATTGTCGTCCGGCTCGACGTCGCACGGCTCGCTCGCCTCGAGCAGCGCCCACGGCCCCTCTGCAGCATCTAGCCGGCGCATGACGGGCGGCGGTGTGCTGCCCGTCGCCGCCGACGCCTCGTCGCCGTCGTTCTTCGCCGCGCCGCCCTCGCGCCCCTCCTCCTCCTCGCGCCCGCTCTCCTCGCCGCGCCCGCCGTCGACGTACTTCTCGCGCGCCGGCGGCAGCTTCAGCTACGCCAGCCCGACGCCGTCGTCGACCATCGGCGCCCACTCGCCCAGCGTCGCCGGCAGCCGCTCGTACCAGCGCCACGGCACCGCCGGCGCCGACGACGAGGCGGCGTTCAGCTACACGCCGAGCCGCCTCGGCGCGCTCGGCCTCGCCAGCGCCGCCTGAGGGCGCCTGGCCATCCGGTCCGTCTCTTGTATCCTCTCTGGCCACAGCCACCTGTAGCACTAGTAGTTCCGACCCTGTAGCATCTTGATACACCCTCTTTACGCCAAGTTGATGTGCTGTGTCGACGCCTCGGCGTGGCGCTGCTGAGCGTGGTTCGTGGCAGAGCTGCGGCGGCCATGACGCCAAGCCTGAAAGTCGTGCCCTCTGAGCGAAGCACGTGGAGGCGGGTGCAGGACCGCCATCCTGCGCCGCAGTCGCCAGCATCCGCCATCGCGCATCGTTGCCCCCTGCTGTCAAATCACGGCGCCGCCGGCTGCGGGGCGGCGCGATCGCCGTGGCCTCGGCTGCCGCGCTCAGAGCAGCATGCAGCCTGCGAAAAGGAAGCAGTCGAGTCGCAGCCGGTGCGTGCTGGCGGGAGGGACGTGCGCACGCCTGTGCCCCTGCTCCCTGCCCTGAGCAGCCCCTCTTACTTGCTGGACTTCGGATGTGCAAGCTGCGTTCCACACTTGCACGCAGCGCAGTTGGACGCCGAGACAAGGCGCGGTGCACCGCCTGCTGCGGCAGCACCAGCCAGCTCATCGCCTCTCGCGGCTGGCTGCTGCTGCCACGCCGCGCGCGCGTCACGCCTCGTACGCGCAGCAGCGCGCTGCGGCATCCGAAGCCGACGCGGCGCACGGCAGAGGTCAACGTCGACGGCCGGCTGCCCAGGAGGCCCATCGTGCCCCTCCGCTGCCAGATCTGCAGGCCGGTGCTCCTGAAAAGGCGCACACATGGGCACAGCCTGCACTCTGTATGCGAGTGAGGGCTCATTTGAGGCATGCTGGCCTGCTCCGCCCTCTCAGGGGTGCTCCCAGGCGCCCCGCAGCGCCGCAGCCATCCTTCGCGCTTATTTGGCCGCGTCCGCACGCACGGCGCGGCGGCGCGGGCGGCGCGTGGCAGCAGACGTGGCGATTTGCGCAGCGGGAGGCTCGAGGGTTGCGAGCAGAGGCAGGCTCGGCGCTGCATCGTCTGCCGCTGCGGGTGCGTCACGCGCGCTGCTGCCCCTGCGCCGCGCACAAGAAGACGTGAGCGGGATGGCGGCGTCCTTCGCGCGTTGAGAGCGCCGGCCGCCGCCGCGGCGCGCGACGCCGCCGCGCCGCCGAGGCCCCTCCCGGCTCAGGCCCGGAACGACTCGCGCTGCTGCATCGCGGCATCGCTGCTGCTGGCTGCTGCTGCTGCCCGCCGCCAGCGCGGCAATCGCCAGCCGTCGCCCGCGCCGCCGGCACTGCCGCCCCTCTCCACCATCCCGTCCCCCCGCCGAGGCGCCGCACCGCGTGTCCCCCGCTCTCCATCCCAGCGCCTGCCGCCCGATGGCCGAGCGCCGCAGTCCGCGCAGCGCGCACCCGTCGCAGCGCCACCGCTACGCCGACGCCGCAGGTCCCAGCGGCAGCGGCAGTGGCGGCGCCAGCATGGCCCCGCCGCCGCACTACCCGCCGGGCAGCAGCTCGGCGCACGGCGCCTTTGTGCCGCCGTCGCGCTACGCCGGCGAGGCTGACGACGCCGGCTCGTCGGCGGCGCTCCACCGCCCGCTGCGTGCCGCCTACCACCCGGCCGCGCACGAGCCGCACTACGACGACGAGCGTCTCGCCCGCCGGGCGCCCGACGCAGCTCGCGGCTACGAGGCACCCATGCCCACCAACGGCGCCTGGGAGGCGGAGCAGCGCCGCCGCATGGCCGCGCACCCGCACGAGCGCGCCGAGTGGGCCGGCGAGGGCATGGGCGAGCGCAGCCGCGAGCGCATTGATGCGGGCGGCAGCGAGCGTGCACACCGGCATTCGGTGAGTGCAGCCAGTCGTGCGACAGACGGCGATGCAGCGACCGACCTCTCTGCCACACCCTTGCAGAGCGCCGTGCAGCCGTCGTACCAGCAGCCTGCACCGCGGCCCAGCTACCGCGACTATTCCGGCTCGCCCGAGCCAGCACCGCGGCGCCAGGAAGACGACGAGCCGGCAGCGCCGTCGAAGCCGTCGATGAGCATCATGTCGCTGCTCGGCGGGCCGGCGTCGGCAGCGCCTCGCAGCCCTTCGCCCGTGCACGCCAGCAGCAGCGCACGCTTCGACCCGGTGCGTGGCCATGCTCTGCCGCGTCCGTCGTATGGAGGCCGTGCATCGCCGCCGAACATCAAGCCCAGCTACGAGCCGACGGAGCAGGGCGCAGGTGCGGCGCGGGCCTCGATCTCGCACCTCCTCGACGATGCGCCGCGCCCTGCGCCGCCCACTGGTCTCTCGCATCTGCTGGACGACGGCCCGCCGCGACCGCCTCGACGGGTGAGCCTAGCTGAGTGCGGCGCTCGCCTTGGCCACAGCGCTCACTTGAACGACCCTCAGCAGATGGAGTACTCGCCGGAGCCTGCGCCGGCTGCTGCAGTGCGGCCGCGAGATGCACGCTTCGACCTCTCACACCTTGCCTCAGCGTCGCCGTCGCCTTCCAAGGCGGAGGCTGTGCGCCTGCCGCCGATGCAGGAGCCCGACGACAGCATGGCTGTGGACGAGACCCCTGACACCGCGGGCGATAGCTCGCGGACTGCGCCGAAGCGCCGCCTCAAGATCAAGAGCAGGCCGTCACGCCCACGCAAGTCCGTCGTCGAGATGCCCGGGTGGGACAGTGACCTCTCTGCAGACGAGAACCGGCCGCACTGGCAGCCCGAGATGGTTGTCTACGCGGCCGAGCTGCAGGACCGCTACCGCTGCATCGAGCAGGCGTACGAGAGCGAGCAGAAGGCGAAGCAGGCCGAGGTCGGCCTGCGGCTGAGCCGTGCGTATGCGATGCGCCACGCCGCCGTCATGCGACGAGTCGAGGCACGCGAGCGCCAGGAGCTCAAGCAGCGCCAGGCGCGCCAGAAGAGCCGCCGTGAGGCGCAGCGCAAGCAGGCACGCGAGCGCGAGATCGAGGCGGAGCTGCTGGGCAGCGTCGGCGACACCAAGGGCGCCGCTGCGGCGTCTGCTGCTGCAGCTAAGGGCAAGGGCAAAGCTGCTGGCGCCGCTGCGCCGGGCAAGGGCGCCAAAGGCAAAGGCACCCCTGCGGCCTCGGCTGCCAAGGGCAAGGGCAAAGGCCGCGCCTCTGCCACGGCCGAGGACCTGCTTGCCGCAGAGCTGCTCGGCGAGGACGAAGCGTCCATGGCCGAGAGTGAGGGCCGAGGCAAGAGCAAGTCGGCGCTCGATGCCAACAAGCTGCGCAAGCGCAAGATCGAGGAGCTGTTGAATGAGACCGGCGATTCGGATGTCTTCGAGGAGGAGGAGTCTGATGTGAGCATCGATCTCGTCGATCCTTGCGGCGCAACTGCTGATTATGCTTCTCTCAGGCCGAAATCTCGCGTGCCAGCTCGCCTGCAGGCAACGAGCCAGAGGTCATGGCGGAGGGTGTCATTCCCATCGATGCGCGGCGCGAGCAGATGCTGGCCGATGCGCACCGCAAGGTCTGGCTGCAGATCTCGCGGCGCGATGTGCCGAAGGTGAGCAGGTCCTGTCGGAGATTGCGAGTTTGCGGTGCTGATGCCGCATCCGCAGGTGTACCGCACCGTACTGGCCAGCTCAGCGAACAAGGCTGCGTACTGGCGCCGCGTGTCCTCCGTCGCGCAGCGCGAGGCTCGTCGCGGCCTGCAGCGCAACACGCGCACGACCAAGGACGTGCAGCTGCGTGCGCGCAAGGTGATGCGCGAGATGCTCGTCTTCTGGAAGCGCAACGAGAAGGAGGAGAAGGAGCTGCGGCGCCGCGCCGAGAAGGAGGCCCTCGACCGCGCCAAGAAGGAGGAGGAGATGCGCGAGGCTAAGCGCCAGGCGCGCAAGCTCAACTTCCTCATCACCCAGACCGAGCTCTACTCGCACTTCGTCGGCAACAAGCTCAAGACGAACGAGGCGGAAGAGTCCGAGGAGACGTCGGGCGGCAACCGCATCATCGACCCGGCGCCCGCCAGTGCAGAGGCTGCCGCTGCTCCGACGCCGTCCATCAACCCGCAGCCGGCAGGCGCAGACGCCGGAGCCGGTGGCGACCTGCAGGAGCTCGACTTTGACGATGACGACGAGTCCAACCTGCGTGCGCATGCCCGGCGCAACGCCGAAGAGGCCGTCCTCGCCGCCAAGCAGAAGGCGCAGGCCTTCGATCAGCGCGCTGCGGAGGCACAGCGCGAGGCTGAGGCGAGTGCTGCCGCCCGCGACGGCGGCGAGCAGCGCGACATTGGCAAGGCGTTCGACTCGGACGACATGAACTTCAACAACCCCGAGATGGGCGCCATGGACCTCAAGCAGCCGAAGATGCTCACGTGCTCGCTGAAGGACTACCAGCTCAAGGGCCTCAACTGGCTGGCGAACCTGTACGAGCAGGGCATCAACGGCATCCTTGCCGACGAGATGGTGAGTGGCGTGCCGGCATTGCCTGCCTCGTCCTTGCTGACCGATCTTTCGCAGGGTCTGGGCAAGACGGTGCAGAGCATCTCGCTCATGGCCTATCTCGCCGAGGTGCACAACATCTGGGGCCCCTTCCTCGTCATCGCGCCGGCGTCGACGCTGCACAACTGGCAGCAGGAGATTGAGAAGTTCGTGCCGTCGCTCAAGGCGCTGCCCTACTGGGGCAACGTCAAGGAGCGCGCGCTGCTGCGCAAGTTCTGGAACAAGAAGCAGATCAGCTACCACAAGGACGCGCCGTTCCACGTGCTCGTGACCAGCTACCAGCTCGTGAGTGTGCATGTGCGTGTCATGCGTTGTCCTCGCTGAACACGCCCTTCGCAGGTCGTCTCGGACGAGAAGTACTTCAAGCGCGTGCGCTGGCAGTACATGGTCCTCGACGAGGCGCAGGCGATCAAGTCGTCGAGCAGCAACCGCTGGAAGACGCTTCTGAGCTTCGACTGCCGCAACCGCCTGCTGCTCACGGGCACGCCTGTCCAGAACTCGATGCAAGGTGCGCCAGTGTCTGGTGCAGCCAGGCGAGCGGGACGCTGACACACAGTCTGTAGAGCTGTGGGCACTGCTGCACTTCATCATGCCGAGCCTCTTCGACTCGCACGACGAGTTCAGCGAGTGGTTCAGCAAGGACATCGAGAGCCACGCCGGCGGCGAGAACAAGGGCACGCTCAACGAGCACCAGCTGCGCCGTCTGCACATGATCCTCAAGCCCTTCATGCTGCGCCGCATCAAGAAGAACGTGCAGAGCGAGCTTGGAGACAAGGTGAGGCTCGCAGCTGCCGTGACGCGTGGAGCTGCTGCTGACCCCAGCTTCAGGTCGAGATCGACGTCCTGTGCGACATGAGCGCCCGCCAGCGCGCGCTGTACCGCGGTCTGCGCTCGCACGTCTCCATCGCCGAGCTGATGGACAAGGCCACGAGCACCGACGAGGCCGGCATGAAGAGCCTGATGAACCTGGTCATGCAGTTCCGCAAGGTGAGCATGCCCCCACGCCGCCTCCTCTCGCCTTTGCTGACAGCCTGCGCCAGGTCTGCAACCACCCTGAGCTCTTTGAGCGCGCCGACGTCGAGGCACCATTGGCAGTCGCGCACTTTGCACAGTCCGGCGCACTTACGCGCGAGGGCGAGGTGCTGGACTGTCCTGACTCGACCACGAGCCTGCTGGAGGTCCACGTGCCCAAGCTGATCTGCCGAGAGGGCCTGCTCAGCGTGCCAGGCGAGCACTCGCGCGCCGGCTTCGACACGAAGCACATGGGCAACTTGCTCAGCATCTGGCGCACCGAGAGCGTGCACCGCTCGCTCGAGCTGCCGAAGTCGGCCTTTGCAGTGCTGCGGCTGCTGGGCATGAACGGCGCTGATGCCGAGGCCGCGTTCCACGGTGGCGTCACGCCGAACCTGCTTGCGGCCGTCGAGGCGGACCGACGAACCAAGGAGCGAGCCGACTTCCTCTTCGATGACGAGTTCGCAGCCTCCTCGACGCGCCCGCTGGGCATGCTGCGGCGGCCCGTTCCGGGCAACTCCGGCGCTGCGCCCTCGCAGCTGCTCCCGCTCGACGCCGTCGTGCAAGACTACACCAGCAGCTCGGTGCTCTCTCGACGCAGCGCGCGCCCGCTGTGCATCACTGCCGTTGCCCCTCCGGCGCGCATGGTCGCCTCCGACGGACCTTTCACGGATGCGCAGGACCGACTACGCCGCGATGAGGTGGCGTCGCGCCTGCTCTTCGGTCTCGCGCCCGACGAGCGCGAGTCGCCCGAGGCGCTCGAGGCGGTGCAGCAGCGCCTGCCGGGCCTGCCGCCCAAGGGCATGCTCGACGCGTCGCCGGCGGACCAGCTGCCGGGCACGGAGATGCAGGTGCCGCAGATGAACAAGCTGATCATCGACTCGAGCAAGCTCGCGAAGCTCGACTCGCTGCTGCGCGAGCTGAAGGCCAATGACCACCGCGTGCTCATCTACTTCCAGATGACGCGCATGATCGACCTCATGGAGGAGTACCTCATCTTCCGCAAGTACAAGTACCTGCGCCTCGACGGCTCGTCGAAGATCTCGGACCGCCGCGACATGGTGACCGACTGGCAGACGAAGTGAGTTCTGTGCTTGTCCGTACGCATGCGTGAGGCTGACGCCGTGCCAGGCCCGAGCTGTTCATCTTCCTGCTCTCCACGCGCGCCGGTGGTCTCGGCATTAACCTGACTGCCGCCGACAGTGAGTGCGCCTGCGTGGCAGCCCGCTTGCAGCACTGACCCTCTCTCCGCGCAGCCGTTATCTTCTACGACCACGACTGGAACCCGTCAAACGACTCGCAGGCCATGGACCGCGCGCACCGCCTCGGCCAGACGAAGCAGGTCACCGTGTACCGCCTCATCACCAAGGGCACGATCGACGAGCGCATCGTCAAGATGGCGCGCAACAAGAAGGAGGTGCAGGACATCGTCGTGGGCAACAAGGCCTACTCGGAGACGGGCATGGCCAAGCCGCAGGAGATCGTGTCGCTGCTGCTCGACGACGAGGAGCTGGCGGAGCAGATGCTGCGCCGCAAGCAGGAGGACGAGGCGCAGCAGGCGCAGGACAAGGCCGACGCCGTGCGCAGCTCGCACGCCAAGCGCCGCCTGAACAAGGAGAAGGCGGCCCGCGGCCTCAACTCGCCTGCGCCGGGCATGGTCTGGACGCTGGACGAGGACGAGGACGACTTGTGAGTGGCTTGCGGTGCTGCCGGTGTCGCAGCCACACTGACTGTTCTGCACAGCTTCGGAGCGAAGCCGAAGAAGGCCGCGGGCGACGACGACGACGGCGCCGCTGGTGCCGCGTCTGCTGCGCCTGCGAAACGCGGCCGCAAGGCCAAGCCCAAGCCTCCCGCCGACCCCGATGCGCCCAAGGCGAGCCCCAAGAAGCGAGGTGCGTGTGGCGTGCGTATGTCGTAGCCACTCCCTGCTGACTCCCTCCGCTCGCAGCTCCCAAGGCCAAGAAGGGCGCCGCCGCGCCGAAGGTCCCCACCGAAGACGACGCCGGCCCGGCGCCGATGGCCCTCGACGATCCCGACGCGTACTGAGCGCACCCTCTACACCCCCTTTTCATTCTCCCCGTGTCATCCTACACCCGTGCCTCCCTCACACATCCATCTCAGCATCGCCCCTTGTCCCACTGCCAGAGGGCCCAAGTCACGTGCGCGGCGCGAGGAGTGCACTTTTGACGCGTCGCGGCGGCGGCGGAAGTGCTGCGCGTGTGTTATTCGCGGCACCGCGATCGCCCCTCGAGACGCCGGCGAGTGGAGCATCGCAGCGATGGGACCAGAGCAAGGGCTGCCGCAGCAGACCTTGGAGGCGAACAGGGTGGATGAACTGCATCTGCCTCTGGTACGCTTGCTTCCCGGCTCGGTCAGCGTCGCCCCAGCTGCGGTCCCGCGCTCAGGCACAGAGGCGCGCGTGACGCGCCCCGGGCGTCGGTCATGTCCCTGACCTGCTTCGGGAGCGAGGCAGCGACAGCGAGCACCTCTCGCCCGAGCCTCTCGCCCGAGCCTCTCGCCCGAGAGGGTGACGACGGCGGCGCCAGATCTGCGCAGCTGCGATGGAGGGATCGTCGCATGGTGCTGCGGCTGCGTGCCGGCCTGTGAGCCTGCCGCTCTGGCGCGCCGCGGCTGCCTCGCCTGGCAGCTGCAGCTGCAGCGCGCGGCGCGGCGCGGCGCGCGTCGCGGGCTGCGCGCTCGTCCTTCCTGCGCGCCATATCACCCTGTTCCTCGCCGCCCGCTCGCACCTCGCCTTCTGCCTCCATCTCCTCCACCCTCCACGCGCCAGCTGCACGGCCGGCACCCGGCGCTGCTTCTCCGCCGCCTTCGGTTGTTCTTTCGCCGCACCCGCCGCCCGCCGCTGCGCTCGCCCGCCGCTGCGCTGTGCTGCTGCTGCGGCCGCCTCGAGTGCCGCCAAGGCGCGTGTCCGTACCCGACGTCAGCGCGTCGTCGCCGGCCGCTCGCGCCGTCCGCCGTCGGGCACTCCTCGTCCGCTCCGCTGCCGCTGCCTCGGCCGTGCCGTGTGCGGCGTCCATCCGCCCGGACTGCTCGCGGCAGCCCGCCCGTCGCCCGTCGCTCCGCCTCGGTCCGACGTGCCTGCCGCGTGTGCATTGCACCTCGTCTTGCCGTGCCCGCTCGCCGGCGTGCGTCCCTGCCGTCTGTCCGCCGCGCCGTCCGTTCGCTCGCGGCTCAGCTAAGCCACCGGCCAGATCGCCGCTAGCCCGCCGCCGGGTGCCGCTGTTGTTTGGGCCTGTGGGTGTGTGTGTGTGTGCGCCGCCTCGTACGTTGCCCGGCCGCGCTGTCTCACGCCTCTTGCTGATTCCACCACCCCCTCCTCATCCTTACCCTCGCGCCTGCTTCCTACCGTGTCTCTATCTCTCCACCTCTCTCCGCCATGGCGCTGCCTGCGTCGTCCTCCACGCTCGCCTCGGCGATGCTGCCGCCTGCAGTCACTCGACCGCGCGTGTTTCCGCAGCCGCCGCCGCCGCAACAGCACGACTTTGCTGCTGCCGCATCGCCCTCTGCCTTCTTCGATCCTAGCGTGCTGTACACGTCGGCAGCGCCGAACTGGCAGCCTGCCTCTGCGCCGCCGCACGTGCAGCAGTTCGTCTTCGTGCCGCCGCAGCCGCAGCAGTACGCTGCGTCTCCGCTGCGTGCGCAACGGCACTCGATCGCCGAGTCGCCTCTGAGCTTCCTGAACAGGACGCAGCGCTCGCAAGAGGCAGCGCAGCACCGCATCGCAGACAGCGCTCAGCGCCGCGCCAGCCAGCACAGCGAGCAGCAGCAGCAGCATTTGCAGCAGCAGCACTTTCTGCGCCAGCAGCAGCTCTTCCAGAGCGGCGGCGTGCTTGTGCCCGACTCGCTCTTCCAGGACATCGGTCCCTTCGGCCACCCGATCAACATGTCCGGCGCCATGGGCGGCCCGTCGGTGCCATCGTCGCTCGTCGGCGACTACTCCATCGACTCCAGCTTCGGCTCCATGCACCCTCTGTCCGGCGGCGAGTGCGACCCGCCCACGATGCCGGAAGACATGGCCGAGCGGCTGCTCATTGCGCAGCGGGCGCAGGAGGCGGCGTCGGCCGAGGGCAGCGACGGCACCTTCGCGTGCCCCTACTGTGAGAAGAAGTACATGGGGAAGCACGCACGCTCCATCTGGCGCCGGCATCTGCAGGACAAGCACGCCATCCCACTCTCGCAGCAGCCACGGCGAACACGCTGGGACGGCGATGCGAATCGGCCAAAGAACGCAGAGGAGCGGCGGCAGCGCATGCTCGAGAGCAAGCGCCGGTGGGCACGCAAGAAGCGTCTGATGGAGAAGGCTGGGCAGGAAGGCACGCCTGCGGCACACGCAGCAGCGCTGGCAGCCCTTGAGCGCGAGGCTCGCGAAGGCAGTGACGCGAGCGTCAACTTCGACAGCAGCGCCGACGACGAGTTCCGTTCCGCGAAGCCCGACTCGCGGCGCGACAGCAAGGTCAAGGAGGAGACTGTGGCCGACTTTCCCGCCGACTTCTGGTCCTTCGGCAGCGCCTCGATGGGCAGCAGCGCATCCCACGACGGCATTCCGAACTTTGCCGCGCCGTCGCCAGCGACCATGCAGCGCTTCCTCGGCGCCAGCATCACCATGGCACCTGCGCCTCCGGGCTTCCGCCTGGGCGCTGGTGGCATGCCAGAGCACGCGCGGCCCCTCTCCGGCACGCTGCACCAGGGCAGCCCTGTGCGCCGCGGCAGCTATCCTCGCGATGGCTCCTCGGCGTCCGCCTTTCCGGCCTCGCACTCGCTGCACGGCGCCTCGACCTCGCGTGATGGAAAGACGTCATTGCCGCTCAAGACGCCCGACGCTCGCCACCCGCAGCTCTACCCGACGCCGCCGTCGCAAGGCGACTCGGAGCGTGGCAGCAGCAGTCGTGCTGAGCTGGACGACCGCATGCTGCAGATGGCAAACGGTGGCGTGCCGTCTGGTCGCGCATCGCCGTCTCGGCTCGGCCAGCGTACGCTTGGTCTGCCCTCGCCTCCGCTTTCCAACATTGCCGACTCCAGTCCGTCGTACCTCGTCTCGCGCAGCGGCGCGCCTGACCAGTCACAGGCAGCCCTGCTGCACTCGACGCCGCGCTCTGCGGCTCGCGCTTCCATTCGCCACTCGGGCGTCTCGCTTGAGCAGTACAAGATCAGCCCGACGCAGTCGACGATGCCGCGCAGCCTGTCGGGCGATGCCATGCGGTCAGCTTCCGGCTCGCAGCTCGCTGGCGTGACTGGCACGGACTCGAATCCCTTTTCTCTGGACAAGCACAAGATCAGTCCTGCGGTCGAGACGCGGCGTATGGCGCCGGGCGCCTCTTCCAGCGGTGCCTCGATCAGCAACCCGAGTCCTCTGGGCAAGATCCGGCGCCTGCCACCACTCTTCGGCACGCCGCTGCGTCCGCTCGCCGACGTGCTCGATGACGACGAGCCGCTGCTCGGCATCAGTCTAGCCTCGAACAGCGGCGAAAGCGCGCTGCGCCGCGCCGGACCTGCGTCTGCTTCGCTGCTCACTCCTCTCTGCGAGGTGGGCGACGACTCGGGCATCAGCTTCACGCCCTTCCAGAGCAGCAAGCTGCGCTCGACGGCCGGCGCATCGCGCATGTTTGCTCGACCCACGCCCGGCCGGCCGACACAGCGCGAGAGCGACCAGTTCTCGTCGCCGCAGCATCTCGAGCTGACGCAGAGTCTCGGCCTCGCGCCGCACTCGGTGCACCGCTCGTCCATTGCGTCTGGCTCCGCGTCCGGCTTCGGACCCTTCGGCTTCGCTGGAGGCGCGACGCCACTGGGCGCGACGCCGTTCCACGGCCTCGGCGGCCTCAACGGCAGCCCCTTCCCGGACAGCGCGTTGCGGCCGATGCGCTACGGCCAGTCGAGCTCCTCGGCCGTGCTCGACGAGGAGGACGAGGACGAAGACGACGAGGGCGCAGGCAGCGCGCCGCACGACACGCCGTCGCGCCGCGGCGCTGCGGCACGGCGTGGTCTCGCCCTGGGCAGCTCGCAGGCGTCGAACTGTGCCATGACGCCGAGCGGACCGCGACTGCGGCCGCTGAGCTTCAGCATCGGCAGCGACGCCAGCAGCTCGGCGCAGAAGTCCACAGCGGGAAAGGCCGATGCTGAGGACCAGGAGAACCGCGCACCGCTCGGCAGCAGCGACGAAGACGACGACGACGTGCCTGCCGCTCTGGCCGCCTCGCCGCGTCTGAACCCCCAGAAGCGCCATGCTGGCCCGGCCTCGCCGTTCAAGCGCCTCGACGATGCCCTCTCCAACGCCAAGCGCAGCCGCACGACGAGCAACGGCCTTGGCAGCCCTCGCAAGGCGGCACGTCGCTGAGCGCTGTTTGCACTCTTGCGCTCGCCGTGCCACCTTGCCTACTCATACCCACCGCGCGCCACCGCGCGCACGTTCCAGCTTTTTCTCGATGCCTCCTACTGCCACTTCTCCTTCTCATAGATCTGTTCCTGCCCCTGGCTGGCCCACTGCGCCGCCTTGATTTCCTGCCTGCCCGACATGCGCGGCCCTCCTCACTGTACCATCACCTGCCCGACCGTGCCTCTCTGAGCAAGCATCCTCTTACACACAGACGGGTGCTGATGAGAGTGCATTGCAGGTGTCTAGATGGAGAGCGTGCGAGCTCATGGCGCCTTCTTGCGCTTCTTGCCGACCGAGGCGGGCGTGCCATTGGCGCTGGCCGTCTTGTCTCCGCCCTTGCTCTTGCTGGCCGGCGTGCCGTTCACCGCCGCCCGCGGCGTAGGCGTGGCGGGCGTGGCCTGCACGCTGGCGCGGCCGTTGCTCTTGGGCTGCTGCGGCGTGCCGCGAGCCTTGGCGGCGGACGCCGGAGCGGCAGGCGCCTTCGTCGTCGTCAAAGCTTGCTCGCGGAAGAGGTCGGTGAGGTAGGCGATGTCGGCTTCCGACGTTGCGCCCGCCTCCACAACGACGCCCGCGCCGACATCCGCGCCCTCCTCGTCCGCATCTGTGCCGTCAAGATCCATGGCGCTGCCTGCGGCAGGTGCGCCGCTCGCCGAGGTCGCCTCGCCTGCTGGCTGTGCTGGTGGCAGGAGCGCATTGAGGAAAGGCGTGAAGAGAGCGCTGAGCGGCGGCAGCAAGTGTGCAGGAGCATCGAAGAGGCCGAACACATCCTTGCTGTTGCTGCGTGCTGCCTCGCGTGCGCTGTCCAGCGGTGCGGCGCCGTCTGCAAGCTCCGTCTCGCCAAACAGGTCGTCGAAGAGCGTACGGCGAGCCACGGCCACGCCGCGGAGAGCCTGAGCCGATGCCGATGCAGCAGGCGGGCTGGGCACAGCGCCGACACACACGACGTCGAGTGCGTCGGAGAGGGCGTAGAAGGCCGGAACGGCCGACTTGGCCGGCGTCAGCGCGCCCATCTCTGCAACCGCACGGATGCCGAAAGGCACAGAGTGTGTCGACTTTGGCTGTGGCTGCAGAGGGTCGAACGTCTGCACGACCGAACGACGAGCGCCATATTGAGGGCCACGCTCAGCAGAAGCTTGGGACACGACGATGAAGGAGGTCGGGTCATGAGCAGCGCGGAACAGCCGGTCGATGGGCGCATCGAAGGCGCGCTGCCACGCGATGACGCCGAGAACGAGGTCCCACACGACGATGGCCTGAGAGCCAGCGACAACCAGGAAGCGCCCGCCAGAGCCGGCGAAGATGACCTGCCGTGCTGCGCGGAGCTCAGGGCAAGAAAGAGCCGTCTGCATCGTGTTGCTCTCCGGCTCCCAGACGGTGACGAAGGTGCCTTGCGCGATGGCGAGCAGAGAGCCGTCGGGCGAGAAGGCTGAATCAAGCGGAGTCGTGGAGCGGAAGCCGAAGACCGAGCGGGCAGTCCAGTATTGCTGCGTCTTGCCGCCCTTGACGGCTTGGCTCACGACGCGCCACGTCTTGCTCTGGCCGTCAGCCGCGGTGCTGACGAAGAGAGGGTGCTCCTTGGCAGCGTCCTTCGCGCCCTTGCGCAGGGCGGCAGGGCCGGGCGGACGGAAGGCCATGGAGGTGATGCTGCCAGCGTGCGGCGCGTCGATGCGGCTGTTGAGCGCATACTTGCCCTCACGCACGTCCCAGCGCCAGAACTTCAGGCAGCGGTCGAGCTCGCCACTGCCGCTCTCGGCTGCAGTGCCGCGACGAGCCTCGTACGTGGCCATCCACTCGGCACCGCCGGCGCCTCCAGTGGACAGTGCGACGCGCTCGACGCGCACCGGCTCGAGCGCCGCATCGTCTGGGCGCGAGACGCGGTTCGACGGCGCCACCTCAAGCTCGCTGACGTGGCGGTCGGCGCCAGCGTCGAAGAATTGAAGGCTCGAGGGGTGGCCGGCGCTCATGACGAGCTGGCCCGTGGCCGGATGTGTGGCAAGCGGAGCGGGCAACGCGGCCAGCTGCTTGTATGAGCAGAGCAGGCGCGACGAGTCTGGCAGAGCAAAAGTCAGCCTGTGTGCGTGTTGCGATCTGGTTTGAGGGCCACTCACCAATCTTCACGCGAGCGAAGCTGCGCAGCGGCTTGAGATTGACGGCGCTGACGAAGGTCGTGCTGCCATCGGCGAGGCCGACGACGTACTCAAGCTCGCGGCCCTCGAGTCCTCCGGCGACGGCAACCGACGCGATCGGAGCGCCCAGCCGCGGCACGTACTCGCGCTGTCCGGTCTGCAGCTGCCACAGCACAAGCACAGCCTCCTCGCCGCCGGAGAGAAGGTACGCGCCGTTCGGTGCGTATGCCAGGCCGGAGACGGCGTGCGCGTGCCAGTGCAGCAGCGTGCTCGTGGCGTGCTTCTCGACGCCCGTGACCTGCGCCGCCGCACTGAACGCAGATGCGCCAGAGACACCAGAGGCGTCCGTGTTCAGGCAATACCAGATGCGGATCTTGCCGGCGACATCACCGGTCGCAAAGGTGCCATCGTGCGGATGGAACGCCAGAGAGACGAGACGCTCGTCCGAGACGTACTTGACGAAGCCATCGCGCAGCGAGGCCAGACGCGCAACCTGCACCTTGCGGTTGCCGATGGCCACGAGCCACTGGCCGTCGGGCGAGACGGCCAGCGCGGCGGCGTCGCGCGTCTTGCCGATGCGGAGCAGCGTCGACGCCTTCAGCGAGACGAGGCTGCCGCTGCCGTTGGCCTCCTTGGGCGCAGAGGTGGTGTTGCGCGAAGACAGGGCCACGGAGTAGATGATCGAGTTGGTGCGGCCTAAGCGAGGCGATGTCAGCGAAGCAGAGAGGGACACTGCGCCGGCAGACTCACCAGTGAAGTTGAAAGGGTCCGTCTTGTCGCTCGGCCCGTTGCTCTTCGGCTTGCGCACGGCCACGTACGCCACGCCCGGCTGGCTGGCGTGCAGCGCCATGTGGGTGATGGGCAGGCCGACGTCGAGCGAGCGCAGCAGCGTCGCGTCCAGCACGTCCCAGATCTTGAGCGTGCCGTCCAGACTGGCGCTGACGAGCTGCAGCGGGTTGGCCGGGTGGAGGGCGAGCGCAGTGACCTGCTCGGTGTGCACGACATCGAGCCGCCGGGCCGCGCTGCTGCCGCTCTCCGAGGTGGAACGCGCTGAGAGCGTCGAGACGAGCTCGCCGGTGAGGCGCGAGTGCACCTTGATCGAGGAGCCGGCTGCGACGAAGTAGTAGCTGTGGAGGAGCGGTCAGCGAAGTCGCTCTCATGAGCAGGAGACGAGGCTGAAGGCAGAGCTTGACGCAGTGCAGGTCTGTGGCACCAGTCGCTCATCCAATACAGCCACTCCCTCCTCGGACACCTTTGCTCAGCCGGCGACTCACTCATTGTCCTTGGTGAAGACTGGTGGGTGCTGGCTAGCGGCGCCCTGGGCAATGGGCTCCACGTGCAGCGCCGGCGCAGCCTTGCGCGTCCGCCGCCTGGCAGGCGCCTCGCCGACGGCCGGAATCGGCTTCAGCGAGCTCTCGCTCGCCGCCTTGGCGGCGGCAGGCAGCGCCGCCTTGCCCTTGCTCTTGCTCGGCGAGGCGGCTGCCGGCGGGGCGCGAGGCGACTTCGCGGCTGCCTTGGCCGGCACGACGGCCGCCGGCGAGCTCTTGGCGGCGCGCGGAGTGGGCATCGCGGGCGTCTGTGGCCAGTGCTGGGCTCACTGCGAGCGAGACGAGAAGGGATGTGGCGTGGCCGGAGATGGAGGCTGGTGAGAGAGAAGAGCTTGAGGCGGCACAGGCGCGCGCGCCGCGGCCGCGCGAGCCGCTGTCTTCGAGCTTCAAAAAAGCCGGTCACGTGCGCCGCGGCGCGCATCGCGAAGGCGGCCGGCCGGCGAGCTTCCTGCCTCCGCTCCACACCTCCCTTGCACCTCTCACCATGTCTGACAACGAAGACCTCGGCGGCGGCGGAGCTGAGTGCGTCGCATGCGCATCGCAGGTGCTGCACGGCGGTACAGCGTGACTGACGGCGTCTGCCCTGCGCAGCTTTTACGACGAGCCGTACGACGACGTCGATGACACGTTCGCCGAGGACGACGAGGCCGCCGGCCTGGAGGAGAACGGCATCGTCGACATCGGCGACCCCAGCGCCGCCACCTCGGCCACCGCCAAGGCCGACCGCATCACCACGCCGTACATGACCAAGTACGAGCGCGCAAGGATACTGGGCACGCGTGCGCTGCAGATCAGGTGCGTCGCCGCGCCGGCGAGGGGCAGCGAGGGGGCAGAGTGGACGGAGTGGCGCGGAGGAGGCTGCGGGCAGATGATATACGCGAGCGCTGGGCGACAGCAGACGTTGTGCCCGGCTCTGATCCACGAGTCAGGCCCTGGCGACGAGCGACTCGGTTTCAAGCGGCAGGGCACGCGTAGTCGAGAGAGCACCGAGCTGGAGGACTGCTCGCCGCTGTTCTGCTGCTAGATGTGCGCAGCAGCGCTGTAAGAGGTGGCAGTGGCTGTCACGATCTTGCGGCAGCTCAGAGCGCCGCGCCGAGCATGCGAGCCTCGCTCTCACGCAGCGAGACACCGCCTTGCACGAGCTTGTACTGACGCCCTTGCTGGCTCTGCAGCATGAATGCGCCCGTCCTGGTGCCGACCGACGGCGAGACGGACCCGCTGGCGATTGCGATGAAGGAGCTGGCGGCGAAGAAGATCCCGCTGGTTGTGCGGCGCTACTTGCCTGATGGCAGCTTCGAGGTGAGTGAAGTCAGTCGAAGCGAGATTGCCGGAGAACTACTGGGCCTGAGCCAGGTGCTGTGGTTGCATGAGAAGAAAGATGCGTGTCAAGTCCAGCGTGCAGCCGAGCCGATCTATCGTGCGCCGCTGCGCATGGCATGTGCGCCCTGCCGACGGAGCGCCGCTGATCACGTCTCGCTCCTCAGGACTGGACCGTCTCGGAGCTGATCATCTCCGACTGAGCGCTCAGCCTCCTCGCCAGCCCGGAAAGGCCCTTCCCGTCCATATCCCAGCCTGCCGCTCTTCACCGCCCTGTCTCGTAGTCTCAACACCTGTAACAAAAGCATGCCTTCCGTCCCGTGACCGTGCGCCGCGTCTCACTCCCGCAAAGCCAGGGTCAGCAATAGCTGGTCTGATATTCTATAAGGCTGCGCTGCCGCAAGTAGGTGGAGGTGCAGACAGGTTGGCGCGAGAGAGAGGTAATAGAGTATGTGCGGAGCGGGCCGCCGGGCAGCCCTGCTGCGCACGGCCGACACCTCGGAGACGCTTAGGACGTCACGGCGTGCAGCGCCGATGCGAGGTGCTTGATGTTGTGCTGCAGAGACAAGGCGGCATGTCAGCGGGCTGTGAGTAGAACAGAACGGCGTCCTGCGACGCACGCGAGTGATGCCGGCGACGGAGATGCGGCCGTCCTTGGTGAGGTACACGTGGTGCTCGTTGACGAGCTTGGCGACCTGCTCGGGCGAGACTGCAGAGGGACCGTCAGCACAAGCGCGGCCGTTCTGAGCTAGGAGGCCACGCACTGCCGAGGAAGGCGAACATGCCGATCTGGTTGGCTGTGGGCGAGCGAGCGTCAGCGGCGGTCAGCAGCACTCGCGCGAAGCACGCACTAATGTGGTCCCAGTTCTGCTTGCTGCCGAGGTCGTCGACAAGCAGCGTCTTGAGCTCAGCGCGCATGCCGTTGATGCGGTCAGCCATACCCTTGACCTCGTCGAGCCTACGTGCAGCAGAGAGCGAGCGGCGTCAGCTCAGAAGCGCGCGCATCCGGTCCGCACAGCGACACGCACCACTGCGCGTTCAGCGTCGGGTCGTCGAGGATCGTGCCGGCAATGCGGGCGCCGTGCACGGGCGGGTTCGAGTAGAGCGGGCGCACGACGATCTTGAGCTGGCTGTCCACGCGCGCCTTCTCGTCGCCGTCGGCGCAGACGAGCGAGAAGGCACCGACGCGCTCGCCGTACAGACCCATGTTCTGCAAGCGCGCGCATGAGCTCAGCCGCTCTGCGCGCGCACAACGGCACACTCACCTTGGCGAAGCTCTGGCTCAGCGCGACCTGGTGGCCCTGCTCGACAAAGTAGCGCAGCGCGTACGCGTCGGCGTCGGTGTCGCCGGACGCGAAGCCCTGGTAGGCCATGTCGAAGAAGGGGAAGTGGTTCTTCTCCTTGACCACCTCGGAGATGCGCTTCCAGTCCTCGCGCGTCGGGTCGACACCGGTCGGGTTGTGCGCGCAGGCGTGTAGCAGCACAATCGAGTTCTCGGGAGCGGCCTGCAGCAGCAGAGGTCAGCCCTGTCTCGCTTGTGGAGGGCAGCAGCCAGCACAGATCGCCCGCCGCCTGGCCCAGAAGAGGGCCGCACACGGCCAGAGCTCGCATCGGCTACCAGCCGGACAAGTCACCTCTCGCGCAGCGCAGGACCCATCCCGCCTCAGGCATCGTGCCAAGCGCCTCTTGCCCCTCCATCTCGCGCGTCTCGCACGCCCATCCGGCACTCACCTTGAGGTCGGCGAGCAGGCCCTCGAGGTCGAGGCCGACGGTCTCCTTGTTGTAGTAGCGGTACTGCTTGACCTCGAGGCCCGAGTCCTTGAAGATGGGCGTGTGGTTGCCCCACGAGGGCGTAGGCAGGAAGATGGTCTTGTTGCCGGGGAAGTGGCGCGCGAGGAACTCGCCGCCGATGCGCAGCGCGCCCGTGCCCGAGATGGACTGCGTGATGGCCACGCGGCCCTCGCTCAGCGGCGCCGATGCGCCGCCGTACGCCAGCTTGGCGGCGTTGGCGGTGAAGTTGGCGAGGCCGGTGATGGGCAGGTACTCCTTGTCCCAGAGCGCAGCGAGCACCTGCTCCTCGGCCTGGCAGTGGGTGTCAGCAGCGCGCATACAGCGCTCTCAGATGCGGCCCGCACCTTGCGGACACTGGGCAGCACGTACGGCTTGCCGTCCTGGTCGCGGTAGGCGCCGACGCCGAGGTTGATCTTGCGCTTGTCGGTGTCGCGCTTGAAGGCCTCGGTGACGCCGAGGATGGCGTCCGGCGGGCCGGCGGCGACGCTGGCCCACGTCGACTTGGCACGCGCCACGGCGGGCGCGGCGGCGGCGCGCGGCAGGCGGGCGGCGAGCGGGAGGGCACGGCGCGAGGCGAGTGCGAGCATGTTGGGCGAGAGGGTGGGGGGTGGAGAAGGAAGGAGACGGGGCGGGTGCAGCAGCGGCAAGCTTCGCGCCGCGCTGAGATCGCCGAAGGGCAGCGTGCAGCAGCACCGCTGCAGCCAGCCGCACGTCGCGCTGCGCCGCACGCTCCTTCTCGCGCTCCGCCGCCGATCTGATGCGCCGTGCGATCGCTCCTCTGCGGCGGCGTCTCTCTCACGCGCGGCCGCTCCGGCCGCCGGCGCTGCCCGCTCCCGAGCAGCCTCCTCCACGCCCAGGGTCTGCAGGAAGCAGCATCTGATGCACGCTCGGCCGCACCGCACTGCCCGGCAGGTCTAGCAGACAGGTGATATTTCTCTCTCTCACTCTCTCAAATGCAGCGTACAGCTCGGACGGACAGGGCGCAGGCGGAGAGGCGGCGGGGGCACACAGGCGGGCAGGCGCGGGGAATCAAGAATGCAACGAGCAGACGCAGCAGACGCAACATCCGGGAGAGTAGCAGGCAGCACCGCCGGGCGTGCACACCTCGGCAGTCCTTGCGAGGCACGCGCGCCTCAGTCCTTGCGGTGGAAGAGGCTGTGCTTGCGCTTCTGCTCCTCGGGCACGACCTTGACGTGCGGGTGGTCCGCCTGGTCGCCCTGCCCGTTGTCCATGAGCACGTGGGCGCAGGTGCGGATGCCCTTGAGCCACTCGTCGCCCGTGTCGTCGTCGTCCTCAAACTCGGCGTGCGAGAGGCCCGCCAGCGCGCCGTCGGTCGCCGGGCTCGTGATGCCCTGCCCCGCCGCGCTCTCGTGGCCCGCCGACATGCCCGGCAGCCGGTCCGACGACGGCGAGCGGCTCATCACGGGCGTGCGCGTCAGCGGGCTCTCGCCGTCGCTGAAGCGCCGCCCGCGCAGCAGGTCGCCAAGCGTGCAGCGCAGGCTCGGCTCGACGGCCATCATGCGGCTCAGCGCGCTGCGCGTCTCGCGCGGCAGCAGGCGGAAGATCGAGTCGGCCGCGCCCGACGTGTACGTGGCCACCGACGAGACGCTGTCGGCGCGGTGCGGGCGCATGTCGCGGTGGTACGCGTCCGTGCTGCCCACGACGGGCGACTGCGCGCCCGACGCCGGCGAGTCGACGCCGGCGCTCTTGAGCGGGCTCGACAGCACCTCCTCGTGGTCGCCGTCGGAGCCCGTGGGGCTCTGCACCGTGCTCGCCACGCTGTGCGGCGCCATGTAGCCGGCCTCCTGCGCGGTGCGGATGACGGGCGTGCCGGGGCTCGTCGTCTTCTCCATGCCGCCGAGCAGCGCGCCGGCACCGCCGGCGCCGGGCGTGCGCGTGCCGTCGGGCGCCACGCTGCCTCGCCGGCTGCTGTCGGCACTCATGCTCTCGGCGCGCTCGGGCGCCTTGCACAGCTCCGGGTGCGACGTCACGTAGAGGCGGTAGCTCGGGTCCGTCTTGGGGTCCGGCAGCTTCCACGGGAAGCGGCGCAGCACCATGCACAGGAAGATGATGGCGCAGCTCCACACGTCCGTCAGGCGCGGGTCGTACGTCTGCTGCGAGAGCACCTCGGGCGCCAGGTACGGGTCCGAGCCCACGACGCCCGTCGCCACGACCTTGCTCTTGCCCGGCGAGTGGAACACCGTCGCCGTGCCAAAGTCGATGAGCTTGACAATGTTGCCCGTCGTCATGACGCAGTTGTCGAGCTTGAGGTCGCGGTGCGCCAGGCCCATCGAGTGCAGGTAGTCGACGCCGTCGACGATCTGCCGGAAGACGCAGTAGATCTCCTGGCGGCACATCTTGCCGCTCATCACGACGCTGAAGAGGTCGTACGGCGCATACTCCATCACCTCGTAGTAGTGGCCGTGGTCGGAGATGATGTCGAGCGTCTCGATGATGTTGACGTGGTGCAGCGTGCTGCCGATGCAGAACTCGGCGGTGACCTTCTTGATGTACTCCTTCTCGTTCTCGCCCGAGCGCCGCTGCCGGAACTCCTTGACGGCAAACGTCGTGTGGTCCTTGCTGCGCTTGATGAGGCGCACCGTGCCGCCGGCGCCGCTGCCCAGCACCTTGCCCCACTTGCCGTACTTCTTGGCCAGATGCGCGTGCTCCTCGCCCAGCGGCGGCGAGTCGTGGCCGCGCCGCCGCGCCGAGCCGGGCGTGTGGTTGCCCGAGCGCGACGAGCCCGAGTGGTGGTCGTCGTCGCTGTGGTGCCCGATGTGATTTTGCAGGAACTGCGGGATGTGTTAGACGAGGCGCACGCGCAGCACGGCGCGGCGCGCACACGACACTCACGCGGCGCAGGTCGACGAGCGGGTTGTGCGTCTCCTTGCGCTTCGGCTCCTTGCGCCCGCCCTTGCCGTGATGGTCGTCAGGCGTGCCCGAGCCATCCACGGGGCTGTGCGTGCCGGAGCCGTAGTGGTGGTCGCTCTGGCGCCGCGAGCCGAGCTTGGGGAAGATGAACTGCGAGGGCGTCGCCGTGCCCGTGCCGTGCTCCGAGCCGCCAAGATCGACGCCGCGCGCCGATGCCAGGCCCGTGGCGCCCGGGCCCGTCGGGCCGGCGGCGCTGGAGCGCGGCGCAATCATCGAGCCGCTGCCGAAGCGGCTGGCAAAGTTGCCCATGCCCGACGCGACGGGCGTCACAGGCATGCTGCGCCCGGGGTTCTCGGCAATGGGCGAGGCCACGAGCGACACGGGCCCGGCGGCGCCGTGGCCGCCGGTGCCGATGGGCGACGCAATCTCGGTGTTGCCGCCCGTCTGGATGGCGGGCGCGTGCGAGACGTTCTGCTGGCGCGCCGCGTGCGCAATGTTGCTGGGCCCGCCGAGGCTGACGGCGTTGGCCAGCTCGGCACCGCCGCCGGGCAGCACCGTGCCCGCACCCGCGCCGGTGCGCGGCTGAGCGGCGGGCGCGCTCGGCGGCGCCTGCTGCTGCGGCGAGCGTGCGCCCGACGGCGTGACGACCTCGTAGCCGGGCGCATGCTCGTTCTCGCGCAGGCGCATGCGGCCGGCCTCGGTGGCGATGTCGTGGATGCCGTCGTTGGCGTCTGCGTCGTGCGAGTGGTCGACGATGCGCGACATGGGCTTGGAGGAGAGCATGGCGGGCGCAGCGGCGGGCGCACGGGCGCGTGCGCGTGCGGCGCCGGCGGGCGGGCGAGGGTGCGGGCGCGGCTGCGGGATGCAGCGAGTGCGACGTGGTGCAGCGACGAGGGCGAGTGGATGCGGGACGCAGCAGGGGGGCGAGCGGCGCCGGAGCTGGAGGAGCGGACGAGAGATGTGGGACGATGCAGCGGCGGCCGTGCGGCGGCGGCGCGCGCGCGGCGGCGAGCGCGTCACCAAGCGGCAAAAGCAGCGGCGCAGCACGCCAGCAGCGAGAGCACGCAGCCAGGCACACGGCGCCGCGGCGCGCGGCAGCGGCAGCAGCGCCCCGCCGGCGTGACGCCCACGCTCGGCCGGCCAGCCTATCTCTCTCTCAGCGATGGCCTCGTTTGCCTGTGAAGAGACAGCAGCTGCACTCGTCGCCTCGCCTGCCGCAGCAGCGTCAGGTGCTGCAGCGTTTTCTTCACGGCTCGCTGTCTGGCCTTCGCTGCGGCTCTCTGCGCCCTCGGCAAGCCGGGCCGCACGGCAGCGACGAGCGTCGGCCCGGCAGCCGCGCAGCGCCACAGCCGCGGGAGCGCGAGCGCTGGCGGAGCGTCAGCAGCAGAGCGCACGCCCACGTTCCTCGCGCGCACCGCGGCTCTCCGCTGCTGCAGGCTGCTCCGCCGTGCCGCGGCGAGTGGAGGGGAGCTCTCGGCCGTACAGCAGCGCAGAGCGGCAGCACGGGCGCCGAGCTCGCTGGCCATGGGCGTGCCTTCGCCCGCCTGCTGCGGCACGCTTCTGACCCAGCAGCTCGCAGCTGCACACTGCGGACGCAGACACGTCGACCTCCAGCGGGCGCGGCGCCGTCGGACGCCAGGCAGCTGCGGCGGGCGCAGCAAATGCAGAGATTCGTCCTCTCAGGCGCTGTCCTCTGCGTGCTTGGCACCGTGAGACCCAGCGATGCAGTTGCATGCCTTTGCTGCGGCACACGCCACGCTACGACGCTACGCCCGAAGCGGCAGGGCGACGGCAGGTAGACTCTGCCACGATGTCTCGCCGCACCAGCAGTCAGCACAAGCCTCAGAGCCGGTGCAGCCTGCGCTGCTCGGACGGCGAATGCGCACACAGAGAGAAGAGAAGTGGCGAGTGGCATTGCACAGCTCGCGGCGCGGCGCCCGGCGCGCAGAAACGGTCAGTGGATGGACGGGTGGGACTGACACGGACAAGGGAGGGTGGGGTGTGAGGGGAGACTCGGTGACGGGCGCAAAACAGGTATCAGCGGCGGGAAGGGACAGGAGAGGCGGACAGTACATGAGGCCGGGACAGGAGGGGTCGTGGCGGAGGCGTGAGTCCGCACAGGCGTGCGTGCGTGTGCGACAGGAGCGAGAGGAGGCTCGGCTGTGGCTTAGAGGTACGCTCAGCGCACAAACTGCTGGCTCGGCACCATGGGGTACACGTCGCGCGTCGTGAGCGCCGTGCCGTCCTGCGAGACGTGCGAGTCGTCGTCGAGCACGTGGCTCGTCTCGCCGCGGTGCGACTCTGCAGGGACGCTGGTCAGCGATGGCAACGAGCGGACGGCACTGCTGCTCACCAAGGTCCTCGGAGAGCTCGTGGCTGCCACGGCTGCTCGTGGCCGTGAGCTTCTCGCAGCTGCAGGCGCGGCAGCGCTTGCGGTCCTTGCCTGGCGCGGTGACGGCAGTGTTGGTGTGGAGCGTGTCGTGCTGCGAGGCGTGCGTGGGCAGGCTGCTGGCCTGGCGGTGGTGCGCCGTGGCGCTGCCGGAGCCGGTGTGGTGCGAGTGCGAGTGGCGCTTCGTCGACGTCGAGCCGCTATGCGAGTTGACGCCGGCGATGCGTGCCTCTTTGCTGAGCGACATGAACAGGCGGGTGGCGACGATGACGTGGAGCGTCTGCACCGGCGGGTTCTGCGACAGAGTGGTGAGCCTCGCACCGGAGAAGAGCCTCGCGCAGCACGTACGATGACTGTCGACATCACTGGGTTGAGCTGCAGCAGGTTCAGGGTGACGAGCAGCGTGTTGGCGACCAGGATGATGACAAAGTAGATCGTGCCCTGCTCGATGACTGTTCAGAGGTGTCAGCGCAGCGACAGGGAGTCGCGGTGAGCAGACTCACGGATGCGGCCCAGGCGGCTGCTCGACTTCATGCGCAGGACGCCGACGACGGTGAGAACCTGTGGTAGCGGTCAGCAGCGAGCTCAATGTATGCTCGGACGGCACGCACCAGCACGACAAAGTCAAAGGCGACGGTGTAGAGGAACTTGGAGGCGTACCTGGGCGACGGTGGCGTCAGCGTAGCGCTCAGCTGGATAGCCGCGAGACGCACTTCATGTGGTCGAGGCCCGGCAGGAAGGCGCACGCGCCCGAGTTCTCGAGCCACACCGGGCCGATGCCCTCGAACCAGGCGCCGCGCAGGTCGGGGATGCCGGACATCCAGATGCCGAACATGCCGAGCCACGCAGCGAAGAGGAAGCGGCCGACCCAGGTGCGTGCGGCGCCCTGGTACACGCACAGCGCACGGAAGGCGAGCAGACTGTGGGACGCACGATGAGCGGTGCGAGAGACAGGCGAAGTATGGATGCACTCACGCTGACGACTGGATAAGAAGACGAACGAGAAGTCAGCCTCGATTCGCAGGTGAGCGGCAGCAGACTCACCATGGTCGTGACGATGCCCACCAGGGCCTCGGAGGCCATCATCTGTGGGCCGGCAGTGAGCAGCGGCAAGAGGCAGCACTCCGGTCACAGTCTCACCGTCGAGTCGCAGTCCATCTTGTTGGGCGGTGCGGCGACGGCGAACGTCGTGGCCACCATGGGCACCCAGGCGATCTTGCAGAGGAAGTAGGCCGCCTGGGGCCAGCGCAGGCCCGACGAGCCTGCGCGGCGCAGCAGGCCGAGGTCGAAGTAGAACGTGTGGATGCTGTGCCGGAGGCAGACGTCAGTGCAGGTACGCCACGACACGGCGGGCATGCGCACGTCTCGATGAACATGGCGCCGATGCAGGCGCCGAGCATGATCTGCGACAGGCCTAGTGAGTCAAGTGTGTGGCAGCGTGGCGACAGGAAGCTCACCTGGCCCGCGAAGAGGTCGCGTGCCATCTCGGCCGGGCTCATCCAGTCGCGGCCCATGGTGGCGGAGGGTGAGAGGGGCTGCGAGGGTTGCTGCAAGGAGGAGCTGCGTCGGTGTCGACGCGCGGGAGAGAGGGAGAGTGGCGAAACAGGAGCTGACGAGAAGGCGAATGGCGGGGAGATGGGAGCGGAGAGAGAGTGCGGCGAGGAGCGAGGACGAGCGACGGGCGCTGCTCTTATACAGCGGCCGGGGCGGGTGCGCTGGGCGCGGACGGTGTGCCTGCCCGCGGCTGCTGCGCCGTGCCGCAGCCGGGCGCGACGAGCAGCAGCAAGCGGCAGTGCGCTGCGCTGCTCGCACGCCTTGAGCAGCAGCCCAGCGCGGCTCCGGACCCCCAGAGCGGTAGCACGCCGCCCGCCGGCGCATCTTCACCTTGCCAAGCGCAGACGGCGGGCCCGATGCAGAGCGGGCGGAGCTGCGGCGCTGCTCCTTCGGGCAGCGCGGAGAGAAGGCGGGTGAAGGTGAGGCGCACGCCGCACGCAGCCGCAGCGTGCCGCATCTTGCTCGCAAGCACGGGCCGGCAGAGCGCCGCAGCTGCGCCCACTTCGTCGCCTGCCTCGTCGAGACGCAGAGCGCTTCTCGGGCCACAACCGCGGCACAAGTCGCCGCTCGGGCGTCGAGACGAGAGTGCACCCTGCCGCAGCAGCCCGAGCGAGGCCGAGGCAGCACGCCGCCAGCCAAGCGCTCCTCCTCGCCTATCTGCCCCAACAGCAAAACCAAGCCGAAGGTGCGGCCGAGGCAGCGAGCCGCGCCTCATCTCTCTTTGCTGAGCTGATCTTGCCGCAGATGGGCACTTGGCCGGCGTCATGTGGCGGCACTGTGCGGCAAGTGCGCATCTCGGCCGCGGCGTGCCCCTGAGAGAGGCTGCTTGCGGCGGCGTTGCAGCGCAACAGGCGAGCTGCGCTGGACTCGATGGGGCGGCGTCGCTCCTCGCGACGCGCGCCGGCCCGTCGAGGCAGGACATGGTCGGCTAGCATTCTGGGCGCAAGCGGTTGGCGGGCAGCTCGTCCTCTCCTGGCGAGCGCGACGCTGTGCCTGGCCCAATCGAGGTGCCCGACGCTCGAATGGAGGCCCCTGAGGCGCGCCGCTCTCGTGCGGCACACGCGTTCCCACGGCGCGGGCAGAAGCTGGCGCCGCAAGCTTCGCGCTTGGGCGCCTCAACTGCCGCATCTGCGAGGCTGCATCTTGCTCTGGGGGGCAGCCGGGCAGCAGCGCAGAGGAAGCGCTTGCGGCAGAGGGCAATCTCGATATAGCAACGGCGCTGCGCCCACGCGGTGGCCTGATGCGCGCGCGCAGGGCGCAGCACAACACCACCGGGCCGCAGCTCAATTCCAGCCAGCGCGCAAGGCCGCCGCGATGCAGCTCGCGCGATGTGGTCGGCGCAGAATGTCATTCAGCACGCAGCTGGTCACACGGCACGGGGGCGTTTACAGGGAGGGAGGGAAGCGGGCGTTTTGTGGGTAGGGGGAGTAGAGGGAAGAGGGGCGGGAGCACGGGGCGCGCGTCGTGCCAGGCGGGGTCGTACGGGAGCGTAGAGGTGGAGCAAGGGCAACGTTACAGCTGCGCCGGTGAGGAGACCGGCGCGGCGGGGTGCGTGAAGAGGGCGGAAGAATCCGAAGAGGGAGAGAGGGCCGTCCACTGTGGTCCGGAGGCGAGAACGAGTGGCATCGGCTATGCCGGCGGCTGCTGGCCCTCCCACCGGTCGAGCTCAGACGTGATGGAGAAGGCCTGCGAGTCGCGCGCCTGGTGGTCCGAGCCGTGCGAGCCCTCCATGTTGCCGAGCAGCAGGCCGAGCTGTGGTGTGCAAGTGGTCAGCGCAGGGCATCGACAGCAGCGTCGCCCGCACGCACCTTGTCTTCTGTGTCCTGCAGCCGCTGCGCCAGGCTGCCGTTCTCGGCCCGCAGCTGCTCGTTGGCCGCCTGCGCCGCCGAGAGGTCGCGCGAGATGGCCGCCGTGCTCGAGCCCGACAGCGCGCCGCCGGCCTTGGACGCTTGCCCGAGCTCGTTGCTCAGATGCTGGTTGAGCGTCATCGTCTCCTGCATCTCGCGGCGCACGCTGTTCAGGTTCGACTCGAGCCGTGCGATCTCGTCCTCGAGCTCGTGTTGCCGGCGGGCGGCGTCGGCGTTCGTGTCCTGCAGGTCGCGCGAGCGGTCGTGCGTATCCTTCTGCTCGCTGATGAGCGACGCAAGTCTGGCGAGGAGAGAAGTCAGCGCCATGCCTCACCCTCAGTGCCGCTGCATGCCCACTCACCTCCGCTCAAGCTCGCGGTTCTCGAGCGCAATCTCCTCGCTCTGCCGTGTCACATCGGCCAGGCGCGTGCGCAGCGCCTCGATGTCCTTGGCTGCCTCGCCTGCAGCCTCGCCGGCGGGCACGGCGCCCGAGCGTGCGCCGGCCAGCTCGTTCTGCAGCGTCGCGTTCTCCGTCTTGTACTTGGTCAGCTCGTCCTTCATGCGGCGCAGCATCTGAGGAGCAGTGTGTGTGTCAGCGGCATGACAGGACACGGCCCTCATCGGAACTCACCTTCTCGGTGCCCTTGACGAACGACACGGCAGTGTTGTAGTCCGTCTCGAGCGTGGCCATGCGCTCGCGGTGCGATGCCGTCGCCGAGGCGAGCTCTCGCTCGGCGTTGACGGCTCGGCGCTCGAGCTCCTCGTCGCCGGCGCCACCGCCGCGCGAGCTACCGGCAGACGCGAGCTCGCGCTCGAGCTCCGAGGCGCGCTGCGAAGACTGCCGCAGGCGGTCCTGCGCCTCTTGCAGCTCGCGCGCGCTGTCGTCGATCTCCTTTTCGAGCTCGCGGATGCGGCGGTCGGCGTAGCCGCCCTTGGCGCTCAGGTCGTCGTCGCCCGGGATCGGCACGCCTCGGTCGCCCATGTACTGGCGGAGCAGGCCCATCTTGACGGTCGCAGCCTCGGCGGCGCGAGAGCGGTCGCGGATCTCGACGTCGCGCTCTGCGGCCTGGTGCTTGAAGCGCGCGACCTCCTGCAGCGCGATGGCCAGCTGGCTCCTCATGGCACTGAGCTCCGAGCGCAGACCGGAGTGCTGCTTCTCGAGGCCGATGTTGCGCTCGCGCATCTCCTGCAGCGCGGCGGCAGACGTGTCGGCCGCGCTGCGGGACTGGCTCTGCAGCTGGCGCAGCTGCTCTGCCTCGTCGGACAGGGCGCGCAGCTTCTGATCGACGTGGGCAGGGATCTCCGCATTGGCGCCGCCAGAGGCCTCGCGCGTGGCGGCGCGCTGCTGGTGCAGGGCAAGCACGGACGCAAGGCTGCCACTGGCTGCCTGGCGCTGCGACTCGGCCTCGCTGCGGTGGTGCTGCACGAGCGACTCGAGCTCCGCGGCGCGAGACGCATGGCTCTCGGCCTCGGTAGTCTTGGCCTGCAGATCGGCGCGCAGACGATTGATCGAGCCCTCGTGCTGCTGCACAAGCTCTCTGTGCGAGTGGTGCAGACGCTCGTGCTCGGACGCGCGCGCGTTGGCGGCAGCGAGGGCTGCCTGCACCTCGACGAGTGCCGAGACGTGCCGCTCGAGGCTGAGGTTCGCCTCGTCCAGTTGGCCGCGCGCGGCATCGTGGTCGGACTGATGGCGCGTCGCCAGCGACTGCAGCGTCGAGACCTTCTCCTTGTGCTCGCGCAGCAGGCTCTCGTTGGTGTATGCGCGCTTCTGCAGAGCGGCGAGCTCGTCGTGCGAGCGCATCTGCGCGCCCTCGGCAGCCATGGCCCGCTTGCTCGTCTCGGAGAGGCGCTCCTCGGCAGACTCGCGCAGCTGCCGCTCGAGCGCCAGCTCCTCTTGCAGCCGCGTCAGCTGCCGCTCGAAGTCGCCGTTGTCGCGCAGTGTGCGCGAGAGCTGCTGCTCGAACGACGTGAGGCGCTCGGAGTCCAACCGCGCTGCCTCGGGCATGTTGTCTGACTCGAGCGCGTGCAACTTGGCGCGGTAGAAGGCTGCCTCTTGCACGGCAGACGACCGCGCGCGATCGGACTCTGCAAGGCGTTCAGACTCGCCCTGGGCCTGCCGCGCAACTTCCGCCTGCAGAGAGCATTGTCAGCATCAGACCGCACGGGTGACGCGGCTTGACTTTCCTTTGCGCTGGCGAGCTGTGTCTTGAGGGTGATGAGAGCACGCAGCACGCGATCCTTCTCGCTGCCCTCGGCTCCGGTGTCGAGGTCGTCGAGGTTCAGCTCCGCCTCGCTGGAGTTGATGCTCGAGCCATCGGGCATGTCGAGCTGCTCGGGTGCGATGAAGCCGCGCTTGGCGGCCATGGCCAGCGCAGCGCGCATCCACTGCTCGCGCCGGCGGAGCGACTCGACCTCAGCGGACGAGGGCACACCGCCCATGACGCCTGCCAGCGACGAGCCATTGGCTTGCACGGGCGGCGACGCGCCGCGCCCGTAGTGGAAGGCATCGCCGGGAGCAGGCGAGGCGTTGCGGTCGAGCGAGCCATTGAGGCCGCGCGCCGGCGGCGATGCGGCCTGGCTGCGCATGTTCTCGAGGGACCGCTGGCTGCGCGGCCCATTGTAGGGCGCTGGCTGCTGCGCCTGCAGTGTTGGGCCGGGCTGCTGCTGTGCCTGCTGCTGCTGTTGCTGCTGCTGCACAGCCAGGATGGACGGCGCCTGCATGCCCGACGTGGGACCGCCGCCCTGCAGCGCCGCTGCTCGCTGCTCGCGCACAGTCTGCTGCGTGGGCGACATGGCGCGTGCGGGCACGTCGGCAGGCGCTGCTGCTCCGTACGGCGTCTTGGCCTGCGCGTCGATAGGCGAGCTCACGGGCGCGACGGCCGACATGAGGCCGTTGGTCTGCGGCCCGCGCGCGCCAGCCTGCGTGGGTGACGCCGCTCGCCGGGCATCCTCGGCCACCGGCGACATGTTACGCGAAGGGTCGGCGCCTGGCGCCGCTGCCGCGCCTGGCGCGGGTGCGATGCCCGGCGCTGGCGCCGCGCCGCCCGGCAGTGTCGACTTGCGTGCGCTGCCGCTCTTGCTGTCCGGCGGGTACTTGATCTTGCCCGTATCGAGCACGTAGACCGTCGCCGGGTCGTCTGGCTTGCCGCCGGTGAACGACTCGCCGCCGAGCACGACGACCTTGTTCTGGTACGCCGTCAGCGCGTGGCCCGAGCGGCCGCTGGGCGACGGGCCCATGTTGGCGAACATATACCAGCGCTGGTTCGAGATCTTGAAGCTCGCGAGGTCGCCGAGGTCCTTGCCGTCGACGCCGCGGCCGCCGAAGATGTACATGACGTCGTCGACGAGACACGTCGCATGGCCCTCGCGCGGCACGGGGATGTAGCCGATGCACGAGAGCTCTTCCCACGAGTTCGTCGTCACGTCGTAGCACCATGTGTCGTTGTAGTGGTACTGGCCGTCGGTGCCGCCGAAGACGAAGATGCGGTCGCGGTACGTGACGCTCGCGTGTCCTGTGCGGCGCGGCGGCACGGCCGTGCCCGCCGGCCGCAGCAGCTCCCACGTCGGCGTGCTCTTGAGGCTGTTGAGGTCAAACGACCAGATGTCGTTCATGAAGGTGCCGTCGACCTGGCCGCCAAAGACGTAGAAGCGCGAGCCGACGATGGACACGGTGTGCCCGTAGCGGCCGACTGGCCCGGCGTCTGGGCTCTCGGAGCTGTGCCGCACGCGCGTCCACTCGCGCGTGCTCAGGTTGAGGAGGTACAGGCCCTCGTCCTGCTTGTCGTCGGCGCGCACCTTGGTGTCGCCGCCCCAGAGAATGAGCACATTCGACACCAGCACAGTGGCATGGCCCACGCGTGGCGGCGGGATCTCGCCTGTGGTCTGCACCAGCGTCGCGTTAACGCCGCCGCCCAGCGCGACAGTGCCTGGCGGCGCGCCCGGCGGAGCAGTGCCCGGCGGCTGGATGACTTTGTCGACGTAGACGGTGTAGAGGTCGTTCTTGACGCTCTCGCGCACTAGACCGCCGAAGAGGTACACCTCACCGGCGGCACTGGCCAGCGAGTTGGCTGCGTGGCCGTAGCGCGGGAACGGAGACGGACTCAGCGCGCCCGGCGGCGCCTGCCGTGTCTCGTCGAGGAAGCGCGGCGGGTTCATGACAAGGCTGCGCTGGCTCCACGGGTACACGACGCTCTGCGAGCGTGTCGAACCGCCTGGCACGCCGGGTGCGCCGGGCGCACCAGGGATGCCGCCCGGTGCGCCAGCGACGGGAGGGCCCATGCCTGCGCCCGACGACGGCGGCAGGCCCGAGATGGGGCCTCCAGGCCCCATGTTGCTGCCCACCGACATCATGCCGCTGGCGCCCATGTTCGCCACGCCGTAGCCGCCAGCGCTGCCGATGCTGTCCTGGCTCTGCTTGCGCACACGGACGCCCGACGCAGGGCCTGGGATGCCCGAGGACGAGGAGCCATAGTCCTGTCGCGGCGCAGCGGCACCGCCGCCAAACTTGAAGCCCGACGCACCCCCTGGCCCGCCAGCCGGGCCCATGGAGCCCATGCCGAGGCCTTGAGGCGGGCCGCCGGGACCGCGCAGAGAGCCAGCCTGCGAGCCGTTGGCCGAGGGCGCAAACGACGAGCCAGCACCGCTGTTGAGGCCGGCCAGCGTGCCCGAGATGGAGCCCGACGCGTTGTGCGAGCCGCCGCCGCTGCCGGGCCCAGAGCGCAGGATGCCCTCGGGTGCGCCGCCAGAGCGCAGAATGCCCTCGGGCTGCTGCGCGCCGTGCCCGTCGCGGCTCGTCGGGCTGCGTGCGCCGTCGAGCGGCGGCGAGTTGGTCGTCGAGCCCTCGACGCTCGGCGTCGCGCCCGCCGCGTTCTTGTCTTTCTTCTTGCCGAAGATGGCCATGGTGCTGCACGGCGTGTCTCAGCGAGCGGCACGGGTTGTGCTTGCAGTGTCCAGCTGCGGCACGGCCAAGAGCGCCCACTCACGATCAGGTGGCTCGCTGGCCGCGCGTCTGCGTGGATGCCGGCGCGAGAAGCCTGCGGCGCTGTGCGCCCAGCGCAGTCGGCAGCGCTCCCTTCAGGAGGGCTTCGTCACGGCCAGCGCAGGCGAGCGCGAGGCGAGAGTGCTGCGGTCCGAGCAGCAGCGCACGACGCTGGTGCGGCGGCGATGCGGCGGATGCGGCGGGCGTGAGGTGGATGGGACGTGCTCTCGCGCAGCGAGAGGAGGGCGTGAGGCGTGGCGTGGGGCGTGCAGCGGCGGCAAGCGGCGTGCGCGGCGCGGCAGAGCGGCGGCGGACGCAGAGAGAGCAGCCGGCCTGCGGAGGTGGGCCGGAGGATGCGCTGCGTGGTGGATGGCAGGGGATGATGGCACAGCAGAGGAAGCGAGGCAGCACGGACGGCGAGGGCCACTCGAGGCGCGCCCGGCGAAAGCGCGCCCGGCCGTGCAGAGGCGCGCGGCGCGAGGTGCCTGGCGCGCGCACAAGGCTCCTCCATCGTGGCACCGCCGCTGCTGCTCATCTCGTCCCACAGCCGTGCTCGGCGCAGCTGCACGGGGTGTGTTCAGCACCACATCCTGCGCCGTGCTTCTGCTGGCTCTTTCACAGCGCTCTACGCTCGGCGAGCGTGCGACTGGAGGCGCGTGCGGCATGTCCTGCTGTTGCTGCAGAGGTCTCTGCGTGCCGCGCGAGCCGCGTGAAGAGGTCGCACCCACCAGCATCTGCTGCGCTACCTGCTTTGCCAGTACGCTGCTGAGCGCTTGGCCACCTGGGCCCCTGCGCACCTTCCTCAACCTGATTTCGGGCGCAAACAGGACGCCATCTGCCCCCAAGGCGCCGCACAAGGGCTGCTCGATGAGCGAAGGGTGCCGCAGGAGAGACGCGCTGTCCACGGCCGGCGCGCGGCACACTGCTCCAATGCCTGAGGGAGATGTTGTGTCGCGGCGAATACAGCCTTGCGCTCCGATTACAAACGCTGGCTGAAGTCGGCCTCGCCGCCGTAGAAGTAGCGTGCCTGAAAGTGCCTTCTCACCTCCACCCAGACCGCCGCTCTCTTCAAGAGGGCAGCCGAAGCACAGGGCACACAGGACCGTGGTGTGCAGGACGGCATCGTACACAGAGCGCCGCACCGCAAGCATTGAAAACATGAACGCAGACGCCTCCACATCGGCGGCCGGAGCGCTGCGCTTCGACGGCAGCGAGCTCACATACAATGGTGCCTAGCTGGCCTTGTGCTCGTTCGGGCGACCCCTGCTTACCGCCTGCACCCACCAGAGACGGTCGACGCTCTGTGCAGCTTTAGTGAGCACGCACGATGGTCAAGCCACGCATTGGCATGCTGACGAGGCCGGCCAGTGACCGTGGCGCTGCACTCGATCCTCTGCTTCCGCGGCGTCTATCCCGCCAGCGTCTTCTCTCGCAAGCAGAGCTACTCGGTGCCCGTGTGGGCCTCGCGGCATCCCGGGCTCAACGAGTACATCGACGACATCATCGCCGCGGCGCGTGTGCAGATCCTCAAGGTGCGGCACCTGTTGCGACGCGAGTATGCCGAGTCTGACGCTGCGCACCTCGCAGCGAAACGTGCAGGCCTGCCACATCGTGCTCTCGTCTCTCGCGACGCAGAACATCCTTGAGCGCTACCGCTTCGACCTGGACTATCTCGTGCCGCCCGTCGCGGCCCGAGACTGCGACCTGGCGTGCGTGCTCTGGAGAGCAAGCAGTGGCTCTCGGCTGACGGGCCTCGCCGTGCAGCATCCCGGGCAACATGACGCAGCAGGGCATCGACTTGCACCTGCGTGCCTTTATGCAGAAGCTGCTTGCGCTCGACGGCGCGCTCGAGGATCTCGACGAGCCGGACGGTGCGTGGAGGGCAATGCTGCCATGTGCTCTTCTGACAAAGCGGCCCTCAGATCTCACCTGGGCATTCGTGCTGGTCCCTCGTGACGGCTGTGCGCCGCAGACCGATGACAAGACCGGCAATGTGGGTGATGCGTGCGATGCACCTACTGCAGGAGCTAAAGCCTGCTGTAGGAGCCGCCCGAAGGACCATGGGTGCCCTTCGACGACGGCCCGCTGCTGCCGCCATCGCCTCGCTCCTCTCCGACCTCCTCGGCGCTGGCAGGCTCGTTTCCGAGCTCGAGCTCGGCCGACCGCAGCACGAGCCAGGTCGGCGGCTCGCTGACGAATGCCATGCCTCGCGGGCGCGACGCTGGCGGCCACGTTGGCGCCGACGACCCGCCGTCCATTTTGCCGATCAAGAGCCTCGACACGGGCGTGATCAATGTGAGCCGCAGCGCTGCCGAGTGCTGCAACGCCTGCTGACGCCATGCGCAGCTGATGCTCTATGTCGAGGAGCATCCCGCCGCGAAGCGCCACAGCAGCGCAGCCTTCTCGCAGGCGATGCCAGCCGATGCGCGCCGCCTCGACACTCGCAGCGCCGTGCTGCCCAGCCTGACGCAGGGCGGCGTGAGCCAGATGCCCGACGAGGTGCGCGACCTCGATGCGCCGCCCGTCCAGCTGGCACGCGCCGCAGCGGCACGGCGCAAGAAGCGCGCCGACGGCACGGCCACCGTCGAGGAGCCGCTGCCCGACGAGGAGCAGCGCTCGAGCAGCGACGGCGGCGAGAGCGATGCCAGCGAGACGAGCATGCGCAGCGTGGGCTCCTTTGAGGGCTATGGCGGTGGCGGCGGCATGGCCGGCACGCGTATGTAATGCAAAGCTTCTGACTGCGTGACGTCTGACGGTCGTCGTCGACTGATGTCTGCGAGGCCGAGCGCCGTTCACGAGCATGAGGTGTGCGGCAAGGCGTGCGAAGGAGAGTCTGAGTGCGGACAAGGGTCGCTGCGCAACGCGGCGGGCGCACAGGAACGCGAGGCTGTGGCGGAGGTGGCAGAGCAAGATGACATTCGACAGCGTGAGGGTCACAGAAGTAACAGCAGAAGGCCAGGAAGGGAAGAGAGATATCTAGTGGCGCGAGGCGTCGCGCGTGAGCGTCGCCGGCGCGTCGGAGTGCGCGTCCTTCTCGAGCGAGTCGGTCTTGACGAGGTGGTCCGGCTCCTTGTGCAGCGGCTCGGGGTGGCCCAGGTCGGGGCCCGCACCGGCGGCAGAGGCCTGCTCGAAGCGGCTGCCCTTCTTCTCCGGGCCGACGGCGATCCAGACAGCGATGAACACGGCAATGATGGCCGTCGCGACACCCATGACGGGGCCGTAGGCCTCGACGCGGCGTCCCTTGGGGCCCATGACCGTGAAGACCTTCTCGGCAAGCTCGTTGACGATCTGGGCGCTCGGCGAGCTGATGGCGTTGCCGAGCTGGTACGTGATGCCGGGGAACGAGGCACGGAAGGCCGGCGGGCTGAGCTCCTGGAGGTGGACCTGGAATTGCGCGAGCGGGTGAGCCACAGCGCGGCGCACACCGCGGCACGCGCGTACTCACGGGAATGACACCCCACGCGCCCTGCACGAAGAACTGCAGCATGAAGCCGCCAGCCTCGAGGCCGGACTCGGTGTTCCTGAGGTAAATAGGTCAGCACAGGCCAGTGGTAAAGCGGATTCGGGTGACCCACGGCAAGATCCAGGCGGGAATCAAGACGGCCGTCATGAGTGCGGCGATGAAGATGGCACGGCGGCGGCCGATCGACTGCGACAGGTAGCCGATGATCGTGCCGCCGACGCATGCGCCGGTCTTCATGAGGATCGAGGCGCGCGAGGCGGCGGCGTTGTCGAGCGCCTTGCCGACCTTCATGAACGTCGTGTACGAGTCTTGCGTCGTGTGGGAGAAGAAGTTGAAGAGAGCCATGAGGATGACGGCGTAGATGATGCGGCGCCACTCCTGCTTGACGACCACGCCGGCCTCCTTCATGAACGCGCCGGTGTGTCCGCCCTTGCCGCCGTTCTTCTTGGCCTCGATGAACTGCCGTGACTCGGGGAAGAAGATGCGGGCAATGCCGACGGCGAACGAGCCGCCGGCGCCGATCCAGAACATCGTCGGCCACGAGCTGGTGGCGCCGCCGACGCCGAGGTTGGCGCAGGCCGCGATCACGTAGCCGAACGAGTAGCCCTGCTGGAAGACACCGGAGAGCAGGCCACGGGCCTCGACTGGCACATTTTCAAGCGCCATGGAACTGGCTCCGCCGAAAACACCGCCCATGAAGATGCCGAAGAGCGCGCGCACGGCCAGGAACGTGTTGAAGGTCGGCTGCGGAGTGCGCTCATGATCAGCACCGAGGCAAGCTGGTTGCACCGCGCTCATGGACTGACTGCATAAATTGACCCCACTTGCAAGAGGCCGAGGCTAAGGGAAGGGAAAGGAAGCAGGTGTCAGCGCGAGCCGGGCAGACGCAGGGACGCGACGCGCCGCGTCGAGAAGGTATGCACCAGATCATGTTGACCACAAACCTGGGAGGGCGCGAGAGCGTGTCAGTTCATGCTTGGACACGCGCAGAAAAATGCTGCTCACGGCCACTTGCGTCCCCAGTAATCGCCAGCAATGCCGAAGATGATGGCGCCGACCGAGCGGAGAAGAAGCGTGAGGGTGATCGCGGTGGTGACGTCGCTCTTGGAGACGTTGAAGTAGAGGGCGAGCTTGGTCGTCTGGATGGAGAGGGCGTGGAAGTCGTAGGCGTCGAAGGTCCAGCCGAGGAAGCCGACGCTGTAGTACAGCCAGTTGTTGGCGGTGAGCATGCCGAGCAGCTTGAACGGGTTGGCGGGCCACTCGGGCGCCTGCCACTCGACGCTCTCGTTGCCGAGCTCGTCGATGACGACGACGCGCGTGCGCCAGCGGAAGAGGCCGAGCACCGACTCGCGGGCGCCGGCGAGGACGCCGAGCTCTTGCTTGGTGGCCATGGTGATGTTGAGGAGGGAGTGGGGTGGGAGAGGTGCGGGGAGCAGGAGGGTTGCGCGAGGGCGCGCTTCTTATGCGGCGCGCGGCTCGGAGGCCCGAGCCCCATGGGGTAAGAGCGCCGTCACTGACAGCCTGCCTCGGCAGACCATTGCAGACGGAGCCAGTCTCTGCACCTGCGGCTCAACAAGCGGGCAGGCACAGGCGCGAGTGCCTGCGCTGCGGGGGCGGGGTACCGCGCAGACGCGGGGAAGCAGGCGCAGGCGCAGGCGCAGGCACGCACTCTACTTGCTGCCCCAGCACACCTCGACCCTTCACGCTTGTGCTGCAGCATGCATTTTGGTGCGCTGAGTGCAGCGTCGGGAGGAGCCGGAGGCCGCTGTGGCACTGCTCTTGCGCCCCAGGGGGCCGCCACAGCGGCGAGCGCGAGGCGGCAAGGCGTGGCCAAACGTGGCGCCGCGCCCGCGCTGCGGTTTGCTGGGTTGCGGCGCGCGGCGGCGGACCGGAGGCCCGGCGCTTGCCGCCGCAAGCCGCCCGCACCGCCGGCAGTGCAGCCGCTGCCGCAGGCGCGGTACACAGGCGGGCCGCCGCGGCAGAGCGGAGAACGCGGCGTGCCGCATGCCACAGGCGCTAGGGCGCAGCCCGCTGGCGGCGCGGACACCGCTGGCGTGCCCCATGGGAGAGGCACGAGGCATGCAAGCGGTGTCGTGGGCTCCGCCACGTAGCGCCGCAGTGGGTCTTGGCAGCGGCAAAGTGTGTGCTCCTCTCGTGCCTCGGCTGCGGGGTCGCAGAATACGTACAGCCGGGCTCGGGGCCGCCGCCGAGCGGGCACAGCACCAGCGCCCTCCTCCTCACCCACTGGCGCCGGCAACACCACCTCGCGCTCTGCAGGAATGCACCCGCCGGCGGAGCTGGCAGGCCGTCCATGCGCTGACAAGGCCGCGTCACGAAGGGCTGCACAGCGAGCGACCATACGACCCCTCCGAGGCACACAGAACGTCGCCGCTGACGTGCGCGTTGCTATTCTCGCTCGACCCCACCCATCCATCTCCTGACGGCAACCGCGCGGCTCCGCAGATGGCTGGACGCGGGGCCCCCAAATGCGAAGGCCGGCGTGTGCGGCTCCGGCCTGCTGTGGCGCCCGGCGCAGCTCCTCGAGACTCGTGGCTGCACAGCGCCGCTTCTATCTCGAGGCCGCAGGAAGGCCATCACGCATCGGCAGCATGAGCAGCGGCGGCGCATGCAGCGTGGCCCAGAAGGTGCATGGAGCCGCATCGCCGAGCCGCAGGCAACGTTGCGGCTCCGCCGCCGCTCCCGCCCTTGCCGCATGCGCCGCACCGGTCCGCTCCGAGACTCCTCGCTGGCAGGTCTCGTGCGGCATGACACCGCTCTCTCTGGCATCGCCTGCCGCTGTCCGGCGTGTCGCCCCTTGCTGCGCATTGCGACGTTGAGCCGCCTAGCATGTGATGCGCCGGGCCAAGCCTGCAGCTGCACTCGGGGCGCAGGCACCGCTGCCGATTAGTGCACCTCGACGTGCGAGCATGTGCAGACGTCCAGGTGGCCGAGCCGGCGGCAAGTGCAGAGAGAGCTCGACGAGGACGCCGCACCGGCTGCGCGCGTGCGGGCACCCTAGACGCTTTTGTTGGGTCATCGGGAGCGCACGGCGAGGGCGCTGGAGCTGCGTGACGCTTTGCGAGCCTTGGCGCGCCGCTTGCCCTCGGTGGAGCGACCTCGGAAAGCAGCTCCAGCAGCGCAGCATCGCCCGCGGCCCATCGGTCACCGTTGCAGCGCAGCGGAGCACGCTTGTCAATCTGGCATCGACGCCGCGACGGAGGTGACATCGTCGTGCGTCGGTCGCCGCATCGCAGACGTGCCAGGCCAGGCCATAGACACGCTCGCAGGGTCCGACGCTCCCGAGTCGACGGCGCCGCAGCCGACGGAAGCGGTCGCAGGCGGCGTCGCAGCGCGCAGGGCGGGCAAAGCGCCTCGCGGGCGCAGGCCAGCAAGAAGGAGCATCGACGCCGGCGTGGAAGGCCCGCCGGTCCGGTCGATCCCGCAGCGCCACGCGGGCCCCGGGGCGGAGTGCGAGGCGTGGCTAATCGCTTCTGGGCGAGTTCGCAGCCCGCGCCCGGATGCTGCAGCGGGTGGGCGACGACAGGCCCAAGGTGCTTTGCCGCCTGCACCTGAGCGGCGGCAGCTATTTCTCTTTGCGAGCGACCTTGTCAGCACGAGAGTCCGGGACGACGGCGTCGAGATGCCGCTGCCATGCCCAACATGCTCTCATCGGCTGCTGCCGCTCCGCGGGCCGGCTGCTGGGCCCCACCTTGCGGCTGTCCCACGCGAGGCGGCGCCGCCTCCGCCGCACGCCAGACGCTCCCGTGTCGCCCACTCCGCCTTGCCTGCGCCGGGGAGTCGCCCCACTGCCCCGCCTCGCGACCTGTGCGGGGTCGGAAGAGCTCGTGGTGCGCTCCGGGAAATGGGTTGCAGTCTCGCAGAGGCCGCGGCGCAGCAGAATTCTGACCGTGCGACATGCCAGCAGGCGCGGCGCGGTGGCGCGCGCGGGGGGAGGATCCCGCTGGACGTCGCCGTGCCAAAGAAGCGCGACGTGCAGACGACGCCGGACGGCCTGGGCCCACAAGGCAAGCGATGACCTTGCTCTGCAGCAAGAGGAGAGCCCGAGATGATGGGCAGCGAGGTCCAGATTCAGCCTGAACAGCGCCCAGTCACGTGTCAGGGGCATCGTTCGCCCTGTCGAGGGCGCAGCCACTGTGCGGCAGGCTCCTGACCGCACCGCTTGCTGCGCCGACGCCCACACTGCCAGGTCCAGAGCGCCGCCATCTCGACTCACCGCTCTGCCCCTCGTGCTGCTTCCGCAAATGGATACGCGCTGCGCAGCCCACCTGCTGTGCGCCGCACACCTCTGCCAGCTGCAGCCCCCGCCAAGACCGTGGAACGCGCCGAATCCAGGGCAAGTGCTCGAAGAATGCGCCCTCGAGCTCGTCTGAACGCCGAAGGAGGGCGTTGACTCCATTGGAGGGCGACGGGCGGTGCTTCCGTCCGCGAGAGGGGCTGGCCTCAGCCCCAGACAGGAGGTGCGCAAGGCAGAAGTGGCAATTCGCGGATGCCGAGGCGGCTGTGCTAGCCGAGTCGGCAGTGCCGGAGGCGTCAGATTGGGACGTTCAGGGGTGAGACGGAGCAGTCTGATGACGAGGGCGTAGCGGAGGCGCAGCCCAGAGGAGTCGTCGAAGCTTCTCGCCGGGCGTCTGAGCCGATGCCGCTCCATGGCTGCTCCTGAGGGCGCATTCGGCGCCGTCCACGAAGATCGGGGGCGCCTCGTCGGCGTCTCGCACGTCAGGCCACCCCTGCGCCGCCTCGCAGAGGAGAGGACTCGGCGCGTTATGGTACGGCGTGGCATGCTGCTGCTTCGTGCGAGCCTGGTAAACGATCGTCAGGTGAAAGGCATAAAGGGCGCCGCTTGCCCACGTTCCTCTCCCGCTTCCTTGTCTGCGACCTACAGCTCAAGTCCACCCGCTTCCCCACTCTCTCCCGCTCTCCCTCTTCCACTTCGAAGGCTGGCCCTTCGCCATTGCTATCGCTACTCCTCACCCGCCTCTCCACCTCCTTATCCCCTCCTCCTTGACCCATTGCCCGAGACCACCATGCACTTCACTCCCGCCTACCTCGCCCTCGTCACGGCCGCCATTGCGGCAACGGGCGCCCAGGCCCGCTACGTCATGTGAGTCGCGGCGCAGTGCTTCGGTCGTGGCTGGCGCTGACACGCGACGCTCTCAGCCGCGACACCGAGTACGGCCCGGTCGTCGTCGACGTGCGCTCGCAGCGCGGCGAAGCGGTGCCGGGCGGCTACTACGGCGCCCGCCAGGTGGCCGAGCGCCGCCAATCGAACAATGCCGTCCCACTCGGCTACTACGGTTCGCGCCAGGTGATCAACGAGCGCGCCGAGGCTGGCAACGCCGTGCCGGCGGGCTACCCTGGGGGCTACCCTGGCTTGCGCCAGGTGCCAGATGGCCGCGCCCAGCCGGGCAGCGGCGTGCCGATGGGCTTTTACGGTCCTCGCGCTGCCCGCTACGTCGCCCGTCAAGAGAGTGGCGCCGCGCAGTCCGAGCCGGCGCCCGCTGCTGCGGCCGCCGAGACGAAGCCGCAGGAAGCCTCGACCAGCACCGCTCCGACGATCGAGCTGACCGCCGACGAGATTGCGGCGCTCATTGCCAGCACGGGATCCCAGACAGCCTCGGCCGCTCCGAGCACAGCCGAGTCGAGCGCCGAGAAGCCTGCCAGCGGTGAGAGCGCCACGGCACCGACCCCCGCAGGCTCGACGGATACGCCGGCTGCTCTGGCCGCCGACCCGTACGCCGGCATGTACAACTCGCGCCCGGCAGGCTCTGCCAAGCAGGCCGACGAGAGCGCCGCCGCTACTCCCCAGGTGGCGGCGGCTCCCAGCAGCCCGCAGCTCGACGCCGGCCAGATCGTCTTCGTCGATGGCTTCCCCGTGCTGCTCCAGAAGCCCGTGGATGCGTCGCAGGAGCCGTCGGCGCAGCCCGACCAGTACACCTCGACGCGCGGCGTGAGTGCCGTCACCAGCGGAGTGAGCAGCGCCAATGCCGGAGTCGCCGCCAACGCAGCGCCGCCAGCAGCAGAGGCAGCGGCGCCTGCTGCTGCTGAGGCTCCGGCACCTGCTGCCGCCGACGCACCGGCGCCCGCAGCTCCCGAGGCCGCGGCGCCGGCAGTCAGCGAGGCCACCACGAACGCGACCGGCACGCTGCCCACTCCTTCGCTCGACCTGCTCCTCGTCGGGCTCAACCAGACGGAGCTGCGGCAGCTGGCCGACATCATCGACGCCAAGGCGGACGCTGCCCTTGCAGCGGCACCCGTGCCTGCAGACGCACCGGCCAAGGACGCTGCTGCTGCGCCCGCGGGCGAGGCTGCACCAGCCGCGGCGCCTGCACCTGAGGCTGCCAAGGCTGATGCGCCTGCACCCGAGGCTGCTCCCGCCGCTACACCTGCACCCGAGGCTGCTCCCGCCGCTACACCTGCACCCGAGGCTGCTCCCGCGGCCAACGCGACGGCGGCGCCGCCGAGCAAGACGGAGCAGCGCTCGACGGAGCCGCAGTACTTTGCGCCGCCGCGGCGCATGGTCTCGCCCGTGGAGCGCCGCTCGGTGAACCCGCGCCGCTACGACGCCCCTGGCCGCCGCTCGTGGAACGTGGCCCAGCTCGCGCGCCGCTCGATCATCCGCGTCGTCGAGGTCAACACCATGCCGAGCGCGAACAGCACGGAGACGGCCAGCTCGGCCGCCGAGGGCACCAAGGAGGCTGCCGCGACGCCGGAGACCAGCGCCGAGAAGCCCGCCGGCGAGGCCCCCGCCAGTGCCGCAGCTGAGCAGCCCGCCGGCACCGAGAAGCCCGCCAGCGCTGCCGAGGAGAAGCCTGCCGGTGCCGCTGCTGAGCCCGCCAGCGCCGCTGCTGCCGCCGAGCCGGCGTCGAGCACGAGCAACGCGACGGCCGCGCCGCCCAGCACGGCCGAGCAGGCGCAGGCGGCGCCGGCGACGTCGACGTCGAAGCAGGACGCCGCCTTCAGCCTGCGCACGCCGACGGCCATGCTGCTCGTCTCGGCGCTGCTCGGCGTGGGCGTGCTGCTGTAGTGCTGCTGCTGTACTGTGCTGAATGACCATCCCATTTTTACCCGGACCCGATGCGTGACCGCGAGTGTGCCAGAGCTGGTCCGAGGTGCAGCGTGCATGCGATCGGCGCCCGTGCGATGCTCACATCGACAGGCGAGAGGTGGTGTGGCGATGCCTGGAGTGATGATTGCGGCGCGGCTGCGGTGGTAGTGAGAGGCAAGAGGCGGGTGGAGCGCGGCAGGGAGCAAGTCGAGCAGCGGGAGTGCACGGGCCAGCAGCTCGACAGGCGGCGTGCCTGGAATGGGCCGCGGAGAGCGCGGAGCTGCGCCTCGCTGTCTGTGCGCCTCCTGTACGCCGTCTGCTCGCTCCTCTCCTTCTCACCACCACCACTGCATCTGCCCTTGCGGCCCCCTCACCTGCAGCGCCCGCCAGCCACGCTGCGCACAAGCGCTGCCGCCGCCATGGCGCTCGAGACCGACGAGGCCGAGCTGCTCAAGCTCTACTCGCTCGACACGCTCACCCCGACGCGCTGGGCCTCGTCGGCCGCCTCGGCGTCCGGCGCGCCGCTCGCGCTGCTGCCCGACGAGCCCGATGCGCTCGGCCTGCGCGGGCCACACGTCGAGGCCACGTCGCGCGCCCTGGCGCCCGACGTGCGCGCCCAGGTGCTGCTGGCGAGCAAGGCCTTCGACGCCAAGCTCTACCTCTCCACGCTGCACCCCGACGCCACGTTTGCCGACCTCTCGCGCGCCGTGCAGCACCTCGAGGAGAGCATGGCGCAGCGCAGCGAGGCGCTCAAGGTGCTCGTGCAGGACAACTTCGACCGCTTCGTCGCCGTCAAGGCCACCACCGACGGCGTCTTCCGCGAGATGCGCGACGGCGCCGCGGGCCCGCTGCGCCCCGATGCCGACTACGGCACGGCGCAGCTCAAGGCAATCCTCGCGCAGGCCAGCGCCAAGGCGGACCAGGTCTTCATGCCTGTGCTCGAGAATAACCTCAAGGCCGCCAAGCTGCGCTCGACGCTCGGCGTCTTTGAGCGCTCGCGCTTCTTCTTCAACCTGCCCGGCTCGCTCGGCGAGGCCGTCGCCGCCGAGCGCTGGGACGTGGCGCTGCGCGACTACAAGAAGGGCAAGTACCTGCTCGACGCGCGTCCCGGCCAGCTGCTCGCCTTCAACACGGCCGACGGCAGCAAGGGCAATGCCAAGCAGCAGGCGCAGCAGCGCCGCGTTTTCAACAAGGTCTGGGACGCCGTGGAGGAGACGATGCGTGAGATGCGTGAGCGCCTCGTGGCGCTGCTGCGCGAGCCCAAGCGCGGCGTGGAGGAGCAGGAGCGTACGATCGAGTGAGTGTTGCTGGTGCGCTGACGCGGAGCCCTGCTCACCCGTGCCAGGATCCTGCTCGAGCTCGAGCCGCAGCAGGACCCCGTGTCCATCTTCCTCGAGTCGCAGCACGAGCACATCAAGACGTTGATGCGCAAGTCGTTCGACGGCCATCACGCTCGCGTCTCGGGTGCGTAGTGCGCGTCACACGCCCTCAGGCTGCTGCTGATCGCTTCCCACAGCTGCCGCCACTGTGGCCACGATCCAGAACGTGGGTGACAAGGACCGGGCGCGGGACATTCAAGCGTGCGTGCGGCAGCTGTCGCGCGCAGAGCAAAACTACGGTGCGTCAGCAAGCAGCAGTCCAGGACCACAGGCGCTGATCGTGCCCGGCGCAGACCGCAGCCTGGGTGCCGAGGCGTGGCAGGCCATCCACGAGCTCGTGCGCCACCTCTCTGAGACACTCGTCCAGACGCTGCCCAGCTTCTGGCGCGTGTGCAAGAACAACATGGAGGGCAAGATCAAGAGCCGCGTGAGTGCGGCGTCTAGGATTAAAGGCACCGAGCTGACGCCTGGCGAGCAGGCTCCTGGACTTCAGGCACAGGCGCGGGCGTGGGCGACGGAGTCCGTCGAGGCTTACATCGCAATGCTCTCGCACTTCTTCAACCTCACCGAAGTGACGCTGCTGGCGCGCAAGCCGCTCTCGCCGCTCGGCTCGTGGGTGCCGCAGAACGGCTGCAGCGTCACTGCCGCGCACTACATGCGCCTCACGCTCGGCGAGCTGGCCGAGGCGGTCAAGGAGTTCACCGCGCTCGGCATCGGTAGCACGCCGAGCAGCCTCAAGGGCCTGCTGAACAACACGCGCTTCACCTTCACCGAGACGCTGTGCCATCTGTGGCAGAACGGTACGTGCCGCTGCTCATCAACGCGAGTGCATCTGACGCTGGCATCACAGATGCAAAGCTCTTCTTCATGCTCGAAGACTGGTCGCTGAGCCCGGACACTGAGGCTACCACGCTGTACCTCAAGGACCTCTCGACGTTCCACAAGTCCAACGCGCGCGCAGCGTACTTCATCGCTGGCGGGTCTGAGACAGCAGACACGTCATCGCGAAGCAAAGACGTGAGCGTGCCGAGGGCCCGTGCAAAGCTCGACTACTGACGCGACTCGCACAGAGCGCCGTTGCGATCGCGCCCGAGTTCACTGCGCGCATCAAGGCGGCCTTCCTGGACGCCCTCTACGCCTTCCTCGATGGGCTCGTGCACCTTGCCTTCTCCGACTTTGATCCGCTCGATCCTGCGCTCACGACGAGCCAAAAGGTTGTCGCAGACTCGCGCCTGACGCTTGACGTGCAGGAGCTCGACACACGCATCCTGCTCAGCGTCACGAACCTGGAGCACTTGAACAAGGTCGTCGTGCCCGCGCTCGCCAAGCAGTTCCAGGACGCGTTCAACGTCAAGATGGGCGAGGACCTCAAGGTGCGCCGCCGCATGCCATCCCATCCTGTGCCCGGCTGACCCGATCTTGACAGACCATCGACGAGGTCGCACAACAGCTCGACGAGATTCTCTTCACAGACTTCGTCAAGCGCAAGGGCGATGCGATCGCCGACATCTTCCGGACGGGCATCCTCTCGAGCGACATCGCGTGGCACTCCATTCCCAAGCCTGCTGGTGAGCGGATGGCGTCGTGGTTCGCAGCGAGCAAAGTGCTGACAGGCCCGTCTCCGCAGAGGTGCACTCATTCATCTACGAGGCACTGCTCTCGCTCGTTCAGGTGCACGCACAAGTGCGGGCTGTTGCCAAGCCTCTCGTGCAGCGCACAATCTCGGCGCTCCTCGACGACCTCGCCGGCGTGATCCTCGAGGCGTTTGGCGAGATCCCGCGCTTCGGCATGGGCGGCATGCTGCAGGTGCGTCGGCGCCCTGACCCAGCCGCGGAGCGTCTGCTAACGCCTTTTGCTCAGGCCACGCTCGAGATCGAGTTCCTGCACCAGACGCTCTCGCAGTACGTCACGCCCAAGTCCGAGGCCACGCTCAAGCAGATCTACGAGACGATCAGCCGCAAGTACGTGCGCGGCAGCGGCGCCGCCGGCACGGCCGAGGCCGAGGCGCTGCAGCGCGAGCTGGAGAGCGTCAAGCGCACCCTCGTGTCGAGCCGCAAGGCAACGGCGCTGGAGTTTCTTTGCTTCCGCCGCCCGCGCGAGGAGCGAGACTCGAGGGCGCGCGACGCACGCAGCCGCGATGGCTCGGCACCGTCTAGCGCCGGCGCTGCGCCCTCGAGCAGCGAGATACGCACGTCGTCCGAGCGACGGCGATGAGAACGCCCCCACCCCCCCCCCCCCCCACATCTGTACTTGTGTCCGTCATGCATCGATTACGACCCGACGTAGGCAAGGAGCCGTGTGCGGAGCTCAGTAGGGAGTAGCGTCGGCGGCACTGCAGACATGACCTGGGTACAAAGGCGGTCAGCGGCAGCGACTGTGGAGCCTGACGCAGCACTCACCTCTTTCGCGGTGTCCTTGCCGCCGGTGTCGCTGCTCTGCTGCAGCAGAGGCCAGATGAGGCGGTCCAGCAGCGTGTCGACTGTCTGCGCGTAGGCCGGACGCTCGCCTGGCCCGACGTAGCGGTTCCAGCGGCCGAGGTGGCGCAACAGGCCCACGAGGCGGCGCACGAAAGAGAGGCGTGCGGGCGGAGAGAGTGGGTGGAAGCCTGGTGCCGGATAGAGCACGGCGGAGTCGAGCGAGGCCTGCAGCGCTGCGATGTGCGTGCGGAAGGGCGCAATGTGGGCGGCAACGAGAGACTGAGACGAGAATGTCAGCTGTGCACCTCGAAGCGGCCAAGGCGGACTCACCTGGAAGCGCCAGCCGTCGCGCTCGAGCACGTAGCCGACCTGCTCGGCCAGCTCGATGGCGCCACGTGTCTCGACTTCGCTCCATGGGTCGTAGGCGCCTCGTTCGGCGCGCGCTACAAGCAGCGGCACCACGACGGTGCTGACGACGTTGCCGACCGCCTCTTCGTCGCCTCCGCTAGGCTCCGGCTGTGCCTCTGCATATGCTCCGAGCTGCGCGTGCCACTCAAAGGCGTCAAGTCCTTGCGGTCCAGATGCACCGCCAGCAGCGCAGCGCAGGGCGTCCCATGCACCCATCTCCCTGCGCACCCAGAACTCCCACGCGCCGGAGAGCGCCAGACCGCCCCAGGCGCCGGCATACTCGTCGGCGTAGCGCGTGCGCCAGTCGGAGAAGCGCGAGACGAGCGAGGCCGGGTGTGGCACGAGGGTGCCGTGCCGCTCGACCTGTGCTGCTGGCGAGCGATATTCGGGCGCCTGCACGTCGGAGAGCAGCTCGTCGAGACGCGTGGTGATGCCCTGCCATGCTTTTGCGAAGGCGGCTTGATCCTCCGGACGGAGATCGTCCAGCGTCGGCTGTTCCCGGCGCGCTGCTCGCGTATCTGACATGGCATCGCCATCGTCGCCAGGACTTGGCTCCGCTTCGGCGACCTCGTCGGGCTCAGCATCAGCGCGTAATGGCACTGGCGGCAGCAGCGAGAGCTCGGGCACGCCGTGGAAGAGCGCCAGCTCGTCTTCCATCTGCTTGGCGCGCGCCCGTTGCACTAGTCTTGCGCGCTCAGCCAGGTGCGAGGCTGCAGCGCGCTCAGTGTCGACAAGGGCTGGGACCTGCAGTATATTGCGTCAGCATCACGCAGCGTCAGCGGCCGCAGCGCCACTCACCTTCTTCTCCAGCAGCGAGGCGAGGTTGAGGACGAAATCATCCAGCTCGCGGAACCAGGCCTCCGTGTCGCCGGCACTGACGACCTGCTCCTTGTTCGCACTCTCCTCCTCCTCGAGCTGTGCCATGCCGCGCGTGGCGTCGTCTCGCACGCGCTCGTGCGACGAGATTGCCTCGTCGAGCTCGACGAGACGAATGGAGAGGCGCGTGGACGTGCCACTCAAGGTCGGCAGCGGCACGACGGCAGGTATTGGCGCAGACCGATACGGCGACGGTCCCTGTGACAGCGAGCGTCAGCTCGCGGAGTGAGTCCGCGGCCACGCTCTCAGGCTTACCCGATCCTTGACTCGGAAGCCCATGCGTCCCATCTGAGCCTTCTCCCACTCGTCCTGGCTGTCTGCGCTACCTTCGCCATCCTGCTCGACGAGCTCGCGTAGCTCCTGCCGTTTCCGCCTGTGCTCCTTTTTGCGCGCCTCGTCGCCCAGCGCAATGCGCTCGGCTGAGCCAGTGAAGCCAGCATGTCTGCGCACGATGCAGCGTGAGCAGGCTACACGCACGCGAACGGCGGCGGACTCACGCGTCTTCCTCCTCGGCTTCGTCCTCCTCTCGCATCATCCGGCTGGCTGGATGCGGCTCTGACCCTTCGCCGAGCGCAATGAAGTCTGCCGCCTCCTGCTGTCCCGCGCCTCCGCCAGCGGCCGACGCAGCAGCTGCCGCGCGCCGCCGCTCCTTGAGCTCGCGGACGCGGGCTGCACTCGGGATAAGCGTCTCGCCTGCGCCTGCAGCATCTCCATCCTCCATGTCTGCGTCCAGACCGTTGCCGTTGTGCGATGCGACACGTGAGAGCGTCGGCGTTGAAGCCTTCAGGGCGGCAAGGGCTGCTGGGGTGTAGGCAGACGGCGTAGACGGCCCTGCTGCGCTTTGCTCGGGCAGTGAAGAGAGGCTAGAGCGAGCCGCCTGAGCGAGCGCAGAGCGCCTGAGTGTGAATGCCTGACAGAGAGATGTCAGTGCAAGCTCGCAGGGAAGGTGCACGTCCCAATGGCCCTGCTGACAAGCGACGACCTGCGATGCATCTGCCATACGTCCCCCTGAGGCATGCCACTCACCTCTTCCCGCTCGTCCGCCTCGTCGCCTGTGACAGTGGGCCGCAGCGCCGCATCGCGCAGGCCCTTGCTGCGCTCCTTCTTGGGTGCGCCGCCTGCTGCCGGAGTACCGGCCGCCGTGGTGCGCGAGCGGACAACCACGGCGGGGCCCTCGTCGGCGTCCTCATCATCGTCGGCCGGGCGGCGCGTGGCAGCCTGCGAGGCGCCGGCCGATGCCGCCGACGCCGCGGCGCCCGCGCCTGCAGGACGTGCGCGGCGCTTCTTGAAGAGCGGCGCAGGTGGCGGCGAGGCCATGCTGAGCGGAGTGGTGGTGAGAGGGAAGGGAGGGTTGGCACAGGGTGCGCTGCCGCGGGACTCGGGCGGGCAGCGCGTGTTCCCACGCGCGTCGGCCGATGAGCGCCGGTGCGCGTCTTCGAGCTTCGCAGGCGGCGGCGCGTCTGGCGGAGCGGCGCGCGCACTGACACCTCGGCCGGATGCTCGCAGCGGCACCGCTGCGGCCCACCACCACTCTCCACCCTCACCACCCACACTCACACGCCCAGCATGTCGCAGGGCAACCGCCTCGGCATGATGCAGCCGCAGGTCATCGTGCTGCGCGAGGGCACCGACACGTCGCAGGGCACCGGCCAGCTGCTGAGCAACATCGGCGCCTGCCTCAGCATCGTCGCCTGCGTCGCCTCGACGCTCGGCCCGCGCGGCATGGACAAGCTCATCGTGTCGGAGCGCGGCGACGCCACCATCAGCAACGACGGCGCCACCATCCTCAAGCTGCTCGACATTGTGCACCCCGCCGCCAAGACGCTCGTCGACATTGCGCGCGCGCAGGACGCAGAGGTCGGCGACGGCACCACCAGCGTCGTGCTGCTGGCCGGCGAGATGCTCAAGGAGGCGCGCCCCTTCATCGAGGAGGGCGTCAGCCCGCACGTACTCATCAAGGGCTTCCGCAAGGCTGCACAGCTTGTGAGTGTGTGCCGTGCCTCTGTGCCGCTGGTGCTGACGTCCCGCGCAGGCTATCGCCAAGGTCCGCGACATGGCCGTGACTATCGACAAGTCGGACCCTGTGTGAGTCAGCACGCAGCGTGTGCGGCGCGCGACGCATGGCTGACGCTCTCCGCAGCGCCTTCCGAGATCTGCTGCAGAAGTGCGCCGGCACGAGCATGAACTCGAAGCTCATCTCGGCGCAGCGCGACTTCTTCACCAAGATGGTGGTGGACGCTGTCGCTGTGCTGGACCAGGAGGACCTGGACGAGGGCCTGATCGGCGTCAAGAAGGTGCCCGGTGGCGCCATGCAGGACTCGCTGCTGATCCAGGGTGTCGCGTTCAAGAAGACGTTTGCATACGCCGGCTTCGAGCAGCAGCCAAAGTCGTTCGTCGACCCGAAGATCCTCTGCCTCAACGTCGAGCTGGAGCTCAAGGCGGAGAAGGACAACGCCGAGGTGCGCATCAACGAGGTGTCCGAGTACCAGGCTATCGTCGATGCCGAGTGGCAGATCATCTACGCCAAGCTCGAGGCCATCGTCAAGACCGGCGCCAAGGTGGTGCTCTCGAAGCTGCCGATCGGCGACCTGGCGACGCAGTACTTTGCCGACCGTGACATCTTCTGCGCTGGCCGCGTGGCGGCTGATGACCTGCGGCGCGTGACGCAGGCGGTGGGCGGCGCCGTGCAGTCGACGTGCTCGGACATTGAGGACAAGCACCTCGGCCAGTGCGCGCGCTTCGACGAGCGGCAAATTGGCGGCGAGCGCTTCAACATCTTTGAGGGCTGCCCGCAGGCCAAGACGTGCACGCTCATCCTGCGCGGCGGCGCCGAGCAGTTCATCGCCGAGGTGGAGCGCTCGCTGCACGACTCGATCATGGTGGTGAAGCGTGCCATCAAGAACAACCAGGTCGTGGCGGGCGGCGGCGCTACCGAGGTGAGTTGAGCCGAGTCTCGACTGGCAGGCGCGTTGCTGATGGCTCGCCGCAGATGGAGGTGTCGCGCTACCTGCGCGAGCACGCACGCACCGTCGAGGGCAAGCAGCAGCTCATCATTGCTGCATTTGCCAAGGCGCTCGAGTGCATCCCGCGGCAGCTGTGCGACAATGCCGGCTTCGATGCGACTGACCTGCTGAACAAGCTGCGCATGCGCCACGCGCAGGGCCACCAGTGGGAGGGTGTCGACATCGAGACGGAGAGCGTTGCAGACAACATGGAGCGCCACGTTTGGGAGCCGGCGCTGATCAAGATCAATGCGCTGGGCTCGGCGGCAGAGGCTGCATGCTTGATTCTTTCCGTCGATGAGACGATCAAGAACGAGCAGAGCGAGCGCGTGAGTCGCGCGGCACTGTCTTGCCGTGACCGTCACTGACCCGCATGCAACAGCCGAATCCCAACCAAAAGCCCCTGCCGCCGGGCACCGCGCAGCGGGCAATGCGAGGACGCGGCCGGGGCGGTGTGCCGCGCCGGTGAAGGGTCACACGTCGGGGTGGCGGGCCACAGCAGCGCCGCTGAGATGTGGTGATCAATGTATTAGAGACCAGCAGCGAGGGAGTGATGTCGAGTGACGGCCTGGCAGGCCGGCGCGCCCAGCCTGCCGCAGTGCTACCGCATCATGCGCATCGCACGCTCCATGAGCGGGTCCACGAGGCCCGCTCTTGCTGGCTCTGGCGCGTCAGCGGCCTCATCGGCGTCGTCGTCGGCCTCGAGCATGCGCAGCAGGCTCGCGGCGTCCGCCTTCTGCGTGGTGGGCGCGGGCTGCCGGGCCGTCGGCGCCGGGCCCCACACCTTGAGGCCGCGCACGTGCGTGTCCTTGCCGCTGAGGTGGTTGTGCAGCACCGCAAGCTGCACGAGATTGGCATGGATGACCTCGCCGCGGTGGCCGCCGCTGGCGCGCTTGTGCTGCGTCGAGCCTGCCTCGCTGGTCGAGTCTTCGTGGTCCGAGGCCTCCTCGTCGCGCGAGAGGTCCGTCTTGGCGAGGTCAAAGTGCCGCCAGCCCTGCGGCTGGTTGAATGTGCTGGCAACGGCGTCTCAGCGCACGACTGGCAGTGGTGCGATGCATGCCTCGCTCACCGTTTCCGCACCTCGACGAGGTCGTGGTAGTGCGTGCCGGCGCGCACGGAGATGACCTGCGGCGTGTACGAGTCGTCGCGCTGGTGGTCGAGGTAGATTGAGATGTGCTGCAGGAGCGCGTCAGTGCCAGTGCGAATGCACATCACTGCAGCACGGCCTCACAGTCAGCGCCGTGCGCCGTGCGAACTGGATGTTGACGAGATGCGGCTGCGTGCCGTCGCTTCTGCAGCGTCACAGGGGTCAGCTGTGCCGCTTCTTCAGCCAGGACTCCGCCGCGCTCACTGCCACACGCGCTCCAGATCGTCGTCGCGCAGCGCTGCGACGCCGTGTCCGGGCTTGCTGGTGCTCAGGCTCCAGCGTGTGCCGAGGCGCGAGCCGACGTCGACCTTGTGCCGCAGATCTGCAGGCGCCGTCAGCAGGCGCGCGGCTGGGCTCGTGTGGCCGGTGCGCACCGTCGATGTCGTAGAAGCCCATCGGTGGCGCCTCACCGCGTGCAGCGGCTGCGATTGCCAGTGCTTGTGTCTGTCTTGCAGCAGCGATGATGGTCGTTGCTCGTTGAGCAGGAGCAGCCTCGCGGCAGGTGTTGCTCCGGCGCGCCAGGCATGGCGTGGCAGCGTGGGAGCATGGCGCCTGGCCCTCGGGCCAGGGGAAAGGACCGCGTCACGTGTGCCCAATTTTTGAGCGCGGCGGCGGTGCAAGCAGCGCGCCTGAGCCGGCCGTGCTTCCTGCTCCCTGCTCCCTGCCACTCGACTGCCACCCCTCCCCACGCACCCGCACCCACCATGGCCAAGATCAAGAAGCGCGGCGAGGCCGGCGCGGCCAAGAACTACATCACGCGCAACCAGGCGCTCAAGAAGCTGCAGCTCACGCTCGCCGACTTCCGCCGCCTGTGCATCCTCAAGGGCATCCACCCGCGCGCGCCGCGCCACGCCAAGCGTGCCAACAAGGGCAGCACCGCGCCCGCCTCCTTCTACTACGCCAAGGACATTGCGTTCCTCGCGCACGAGCCCGTGCTGCAGACGCTGCGCGCGCACAAGGCCTTCGCCAAGAAGCTCAGCCGCGCCGTGGGCCGCCAGGAGTGGGGCCTGGCCAAGGGCCTGCAGGAGAGCCGGCCCGTGGCGCGCCTCGACCACATCATCCGCGAGCGCTACCCGACGTTCGACGACAGCCTGCGTGACCTCGACGACGCCCTCTCGCTGCTCACGCTCTTTGCCGCGCTGCCCGCCAGCGACCACGTCGCCGCGGCGCTCGTGGCCAAGTGCGCGCGCATCGTCGCCGAGTGGCAGCTGTACGTCGTGCGCGCCCAGGCGCTGCGCAAGGTCTTCCTCAGCATCAAGGGCGTCTACTTCCAGGCCGAGGTGCGCGGCCAGACGATCACCTGGCTCGTGCCGTATCTCTTCACGCAGCATGTGAGTCGCGTTGGATGTGCGCGGTGCTGTGCAGAGCTGGTGCAGATGCGCTGCTGTGCCGGTGCTGCGGTGCTTTACGAGAGACGCTGTGCAGTGGCATGCTGCTCCGTGTGGCTGCCGTGCAGACGCTGTGTCTCTATACGCGCCGCTGACACCCCACACAGGTGCCGCAAGACGTCGACTTCCGCATCATGAGCACCTTCATCGAGCTCTACCAGACGCTGCTCGGCTTCGTGCTCTTCCGCCTCTACACCGACCTCAACCTCGTCTACCCGCCGGCGCTCGAGGCCGCGAGCGACGACGCGGGCGCCGGCCCGCTGGGCGCGCTGCGCCTCGTCGAGCAGTCGCAGGCACCGGTCGGTCCCAGCACGGATGCCGGGTCGGTTGCGGCCGGCAAGAAGGTCAGCTCGCGCGAGGTCAAGAAGGCCATCAAGGCCATCGCGCAGCAGGACACGCCGGCTGAGGCTGATGATGCAGAGAGTGGCGAGGCTGCCGCACCGGCAGCCGACGATGCCGTGCGCGGCGACGAGTTCACCGAGGCGCCCTCCAAGGACGGCACCAGCGCCGGCCTCGTGTCGCTCGCAGCACTTGACGGCAGCGCCGGCTCCTCGAGCGCCGACCTCTTCTCGCCGTACTACTTCTACATCTCGCGCGAGTGCCCGCGCGGCGTCGTCGAGTTTGTGCTGCGCTCTTTCGGCGCGCCGGCGTCGCACGTCGGCTGGGACGCCGTGCTGGGTGCCGGCTCGGCATTCGATGCCTCCGACGAGCGCATCACGCACATGATCGTCGACCGGCCGCCTGTCGCCGGCGCGAGCAGCGGCGCGAGCAAGCTGGCGCGCGTGCAGCCGCAGTGGGTCGTTGACTCGGCCAACGCCGGCACCATCCTGCCGACGGGCCCGTACGCACCCGGCGCACAGCTGCCGCCGCACCTGAGTCCCTTTGTCGACGATGCCGCGATCAAGGCACGCGGTGGCTACGCCCCCCGCGAGGCGATCATCGCGGGTGCCGACGCCGAGGAGGCTGCCGCTGCGGACGAGGAGGCGGCAGAGAGCAGCGAAGAGGAGGCCGAGGCAGAGGAGGAGGAGGCCATGGATGCAGAGGTCGACGAGAACGCACGGCCAGCACTCGCGGCACTCCTGGCCGACCCGCTCGACGAGACCAGTGCCGGCCTCGAGGCGGCTGCCGAGCTCGAGGCCGAGGCTGCGGGCGGCGAGGACGAGCTTGCGGCACTGCACGCCGCACACGCCGCGGCGAGCAAGCGCGCCCGCAAGCTGGCCAAGGCCGCAGCAGACGCCGCGCCGGCCACGGCAGGCAAGCGGCCCAAGGCCAGCGCAGCACAGCAGGAGGAGGAGGAGGCGCGCAGCATGGCCAAGATGCTCATGAGCAACAAGCAGCGCAAGCTCTACACGAAGCTCAGCTACTCGCAGGGCAAGCGCAGCGAGGAGACGGCACGCCTCGAGCAGAAGCGCGCCCAGCTCGACCGCGACGAGCGGCGCGGTAAGAGCGGCGCCAAGGCTACCGAGGAGAAGCCGGCCGCTGCGGCGAAGAAGGCGCCGGCAAAGAAGCAGGCCAGCTCGACGGCCAAGGCGGCCAAGGGCAAGGCGGCGCGGAGTTGATGCCTAGCCTAGCCAGTCCCCTCTGTACTTCACCCCATCACGCGCTCTAGGTCATTTGTTCATTTTGCATTCTATTCATCACTCAATGTCGTGCGCGTCGCCGTGGAAGAACCGCAGGATGGCGCCGGCCACGACGACGCCGTCGTGCTCGAGGTGCGCCTTCTCCTCGGCCTCGGCCACCTCGAGCGCGTCGCTCTCGTTGATGCTGCCGGCCTTTTTGCGCAGCTCGATCTGCCGGCGCACCATCGTGTCGTCGAAGCCGAGGTGCCCCTGCGTGGAGAAGACGCGGTCGCGGATGTAGATGCCCTGGATGCTCGTGTGCGGCGACGAGGCCCAGACGTGCACGGTGGCGTCGGCGGGGAGCAGGCCGCCGCTGCTGCTCGGCGACGGCAGGCGCGTGACGCGGTCCTGGTGCATCTGGTGCAGCGCCAGCTCGTCGTCGTCGGTGCGGAAGAGCTGCTTGCCGACGCGCGTGAGCTGCATCGACGTGTGGCTCAGCTCCCACTTTTCGCCCGGGTGCTGCTCGACGGCGCCGCCCAGCAGGCGCGCCAGCAGCTGGTGGCCGAAGCAGACGCCGGCGAAGCGCATGTCGGGCCGCGTCTGCCACAGCTCGCGCAGCAGCGCCAGCAGCGCGCCGATCCACTCGTCGTCGCCGTGTGCGTCGTACATGCTCCCCGTGATGAGGATGGCGCGCACGTCGGCCGGCACCTCGTCGGCGCGCGGCACGCGGCCCGTGTGGCCCTGGCTGGCGTCGTCGACGACGAAGTGCATGTCCGTCTCGATGCCGAGCGCCGGCGCGTGTGCGTCGCCGGCGCGGGCGAAGAGCGAGTGGAAGATGTCGCCGAAGGAGCCGCGCTTGGCGGCCGTCTTGGGGTGCGGCTCGTCGGTCTCGAGCACGAGCATGCGGATGGTCTCTTTGGCGGTCATGATGGGCGTGTGGGTGTTGATGGCAGAGAAGGAAGGGCGCAGCTCGGTGCTTGCATCGATGAAGACGCCAGCGTGCCGCGCCACGCCCAAAGGAGAGTCAGGGTCGGGCGGCGTGTGGAGTGCCGCGCACGCCAAGCCCTCGCTGAGCAAGCCGCAGCGTCAGGCCGCACGGGGTCTCGCGGCCGCACCTGTCGCCGGCCGCTGGCCGCTCGGCGCCGCACTCGACACCGCAACACTTGCGGCTGTGCTGCCGGCGGCTCGAGCGCACGCCATCAGTAGCGAGTAGAGCAGAACAAACGCCGCACGCCGTGCGTCCAGCGCAGCGCATGCGGCACGCTTTTGGGGCGCGAGGCACGCCGTGATGATGTCACGGCCAAGCCGCCGTGCGCCGCAGCGCTCATGCGGCGCTAACGCGTGTCAAGCCACAGCCACGAGATCTGCAGATCCGCCGAGCCACCCGCAGCCGCTCTCAGCCGGCGTCCAGGCTGACGTTGCAAGCGCGAGCTGCGCCTGACAGCACCTTCTCACCACCTCGGCAGCGCATCTATGCATTCAGTCTAGCGGAAGAGGAAGAGCGCCCACGAGTGCGCCGGCACGGCATGCACGCCCTGCGCCTGCTGCCACTCGGCGGCGCTGAGCGTCGCGACGTGCGGCGTAAGCACGTCGGGCGCCTCAAACGTGTTCACCGCCGCCAGGTCGTCGCTCTGCATGCTGTGCACCTCGACGCTGGCGAACGTGTGGTCGTCGAGCAGCAGCGGCGCCTCCCACGCCGCCGTGGGGTGTCGGTTGAGCACGCTGACGTGCACGGCGCCCGTGGCCAGCGAGCGCACCGCCACGACGTCGACGTACGCCGGCCGCGACACATCGCGCACCCACGCGGGGAACGTCGGGCCCTCGTACACGTCGAGCGCGAGCGTGTGCTGCAGCAGCAGCGCGTGGCTCATGTGCTCGGCAAAGAGCGAGACGGGATAGTACGTCGCCTGGCGCAGCGTCGTCGTGCCGCTGGTGAGCAGCGGCGAGAGCACATTGACGCTCTGCGCCAGGCACGCAATCGGCACGCGGTCGGCGTTGCGCACCAGCACGTGCAGCCAGGCAATGGTGCCGAGCATGTCGGTGTAGTCGTAGCGCTGTTCGAGGCCGCGCTGCGGCGTCGCCTTGTGGTCGTCCCACACGTTCCACTCGTCGAAGCAGATGCCGATCGGCGCCTTGCCCGTGCCGCCGACGGCCTCGCGCAGGCCCTCCAGCGGCCGGTCGAAGTAGTGCTCGATGCGCGCCAGGTCGATGAGGCGCGCGCAGGTGCGGATGAACGCCTCGGCCGTCGCGGCGCCAAAGACGTTCTTCTCGTATGCGCCAAACGCGCCGCCGCCCAGCGGCTCGTTGGCCGCCTCGTCGGAGCGCACGTGCTTCTGGTGCGTCAGCATCGAGTAGTAGTGGATGCTGTGCATGTCGACGGCGCCCGTGAGGCCCTTGAGCACGGTCCAGTCCCACTCGGTGGCGCCCTCCTTGCCGCACGACACGAGCACGATGCTGGGGTCGACGAGCTTGAGTGCGTGCGCCCAGCGCTGCGCCGTGCGCGTGTACTCGTCGGCGTTCATGCGGCCGACCTGCCACTCGCCCCACATCTCGTTGCCCAGGCCCCAGAAGCGGATGGCGTGCGGCGCGTCGCGGCCGGTGTGCTTGCGCCGCAGGTTGGCCCAGTGCGTGTTGCCCGTGCCGTTGCAGTACTCGAGCCAGGCGAGTGCCTCGTCGAGCGTGCCCGTGCCCATGTTGAGGCACAGGTACGGCTCGACGCCGAGCAGACGGCAGTACTCGATGAACTCGTCTGTGCCGAAGAGGTTCGTCTCCGTCGAGTGCCACGCCAGCTCGATGCGCGTCGGGCGCTCGGAGAGCGGGCCGATGCCGTCTTGCCAGTGGTAGTTGCTCACGTAGTTGCCGCCGGGCCAGCGCAGCAGCGGGCGCTGGCGGCGCTCGGCGCCCGAGAGCGAGGCCCAGTCGGCGACCTTGACGCCCATCTCGCGCGCCAGCTCGTGCAGCACATCGATGCGCAGCGGCAGGCGGCCCGGCAGCGTCAGTGCCGAGTCGGCCGCCGGGTCGGCCTTCCACTCGAGCGGCGCCAGGAGCTCCTGTGGGCTCGGCTCGGCGGGGTCGTTGACGATGCCGCCGTAGATGCAGCGTCCGAGGTGCTCGAGGAAGCCCGAGTAGAGGCGCTTGGGCACGTACACGGCGCCGCTGGGCAGCGCGACCTTGTCTGATGCTGCTGCCTCGTCGTCCTGGAGGCTGCCGAGGCAGGGCCGCGCGGCCGACACGGCGGGCGCGCCCACGGCGATGCGCAGCGGCGCTTTGGAGAGCGACGTCGAGTGCTGGGCGCTCACCATGGCGGGCGCGGATGCTTGCTGGGGTGTGGTGGTGGTTGCCTGACGCGCCCTCGTCACTGCTGCGAAACTGCATTTGCGGCCCTGAGCAGCTTCCTGGCTCGGCTCGCGGCCGCACGGGCCAGTGTGCCGGCCGTGCGGCACGACGCAGGGACTGGACACGGCCGGCTCTGCATCCCGCGGCCCTTACCCCGCACTTTGCGTGGCCAGGGCGGCGACGGCGGAGCCGCAAGAGGACAAGGCAAGGGACGGAGAGATGCGTCTATCACGAAGCCCCTGCACGCTGTGATTCCCGACTGACGCTGCGATTCCCGACGGGCCCGTGTCCGCTCCGGCGGCGCACACGCTGCCGGCCGCCGGGCGCCGGCGCAGGCGGTGCGGTACCCGGCGGCATTCTCGCGGCGCATGGACGCAGCTCGGCAAAGTGCATCGCTGATCTCTGCCGCTTGCTGTGCTGTCTGCGGCTGCAGGGCAGGTGGCATGTGAAGCGGCATGCGGCTGCGACGTGCGACCACGCGGTGGGCGCGACAGACGCGAGTGCGGGGCGCAGCGCGGGCGGGATGGCGGCGCGCGGGCGGTGCGCGGCGCCGCGCCGCGCACTCCCGCCGCACGGCGCCCTCCTGCGCGCGGCTGCACGTGCTGCACCCCTGCAGCTCCGCCGCTTGCCAAGCGTCGTGCCTGCAGCAGCAGCTGTTATGCCGCGCGGGAAAGGCGCGCGTAGCGGCGGGAATCTGAGCGGACGGCGAAAGTCCCGCGGGCTGGCGAGCGTGAGCCTTGCGCCATTTGCGCCGCTGTGCTGCACTGCGCGACATAGGCGCGACGCGTGCATGTCGGCGCGAAATCAGCACGCGGCAGGAACGTGCAGCGATGCGGGGTAGACGGCGCCACGGACTCTGCGGCGGCACGATCGCAGCACTGCTCCGCCCTCATTTGCAGCAGCAGCACGCCGTGCAACGGCCGACGTGCAGTATCAGCATGCTGCGCTGCGGCCGCGGAGTGGCGCAGTGTGGGGTTCCCAGGCCACGCGACGCGGCGCGCCAGCTCCGCCGTCCGGCACTCGGCGCCTGCCGCTGCCGTGCGCCGTGGCCGTGGCCAGTGCCTCGCGTCAACAGCCAGCCGCAGGACAGCATGCAGGGCACGCCATGCCTGCACCCTGCGGCTGCCGCCATGCACGCTGCTCCCTCGAGCTGTCTGTCCGCAGCGCCGTCCCGTCGTGTCCTGCGTCCGGCGAGCCAGAGATGTGCGCTGCCCTAAGCGCGCCCGTTCCTGCGTCGCCCTTCACAAGCGCTCCTTCCAGAGGCAGCGGCAGCACACCCTATCCCGTGGCCTATATAGCCTGGCACTCGACAGCCTCGGACATCGCCTGTCCATAATCCTCCTCTCCCACTTCCTCCCCCCCTCTTCCGCCGCCATGGGTCTATCTCCGAAGGCATTTACCTTCGCCACGGGCTGCTTCGTTGCGCTCGGCTCCATCCTCTTCGGCTACGACCTCGGTGTCATCGCCGGTGTGCTCGTTGCCCAGGACTTCATCGACACGACGGGCAACCCCGACGCCACGTACATCGGCTTCATCGTGAGCGCGCTGCTCCTCGGCGCCTTCTGCGGCTGCATCCCCGCCGGCCTGCTCGCCGACCGCTTTGGCCGTCGCTGGGCCATCGTGGTGGGCTGTGTGATCTTTATGCTCGGTGGCATCCTGCAGGTGAGTCTGCCGCGGCGCCCCTGCGCCAGACGCGTCACTTCTGCGCCGGACGCGTCGCTCACTGCCTCTGCGTCCTCTAGACGGCCGCCATGAACCGCGAGATGATGATTGCAGGCCGCTTCTTTGCAGGGATGGCAATTGGAATGTTGTCCATGCTTGCGCCGCTCTACCAGTCCGAGATCGCCCACCCTTCGATTCGGGGCAGGCTCACGACGCTGCAGCAATTCTTCCTCGGCATCGGCGCTTTCATCGCCTCGTTTGTCGTCTACGGCATGCAGGTGCACCACGCCGGCACCGCCGCCCAGTGGCGCTTCCCGCTCGGCCTGCAGATGGCTCCATGTGTGCCGCTCGCCACGATGATCTTCCTCTTCCCCGAGTCGCCGCGCTGGCTCATGTCCGTCGGCAAGGAGGAGGAGTCCGTCGCTGCGCTCGCTCGCCTGCACGCCAACGGCGACACCAAGGACAATCTCGTGCTCGCCGAGGCCGCCGAGCTCAAGGCTGCGCTGGCACACGAGCGCGAGGTCGAGACGGGCTGGGCCTCGCTCTTCACCAACCGCAAGAACTTCCGCCGCATCCTCATGGGCATCACGCTGCAGTTCAGCGTGCAGATGACCGGCGTCTCTGTCTTCCAGTACTACGCTCCGGCCGTCTTCGCCAACCTCGGCTTCGGCGCCGAGCGCTCGCTTCTCTTCCAGAGCATCAGCAGCGTCGTCGCGCTGATCGCACAGTTCTCCTGCATTCTCCTCGTCGATCGCCTCGGACGTCGCCAGCCTCTCATCTGGGCCAACATCGCCATTGGCGTGACGTTCATCATCGGCACAGCGCTTCAGGCGCGCTACCCGGCATCGACTGGCAACATCGGAGCCGCCTACGCGTACATCGTCATGACGTGGCTCTTCAACTTCGCATTCAGCTGCGCCGTCGGCCCTATCAGCTGGGCTTATCCTGCAGAAATCTTCTCGACGTCCATCCGCGCCAAGGGAACGGCGGTCACCAGCATGGCGTGCTGGGTCGCCAACTTCATGATCGCCCAAGTCTCGCCGATCGCACTGGACAGCATCGGCTGGAGATATTATCTCGTCTTCGTCGTGTGTTCGTTCACCAACGCCCTCACGTTCTACCTCTTCTTCCCCGAGACGGCCGGCCGAACGCTCGAGGAGATGGAGCAGTACATCAACGAGTCGGGCTACCTCGTGCCGCTCCACAAGTCGCGCGGGCTGCGCAGCGCCACGGAGCGCGAGGAGGAGCTGCGCCGCGGCATCACGGCCGTCACCGGCGCCGACGAGGTGCTGCAGCAGGTGCAGCAGGTGCCTTCGGCCGGCGACAGCGACAAGTACAGCAACAACGACGAGAAGCTCGCGCAGAAGGTCTAGTCGCGTCGACGTCGCGCGCCTTCTCTCTCTCTCTCGTCACGCCTGTCACGCGCCCTCGATGTTTCTTTCTGGCCTCTCTCCCCTGCGTCGCGCGTCCTCTCACCGGTCGCTCACTGTCTCTGTATTCCCAATTGCTCGTTGGCTGTGAATTGAGAAATCGCACTCCCTACTCTGCTGCCTGTACTGTGACCGCGGCGTGGCTAGGCACCGCAGCGAGCCGAGCGCCCATCCGAGGCGGATACATTTTTCATCTCGAGCATCCGCAGTCTGATTATAGATTGTGCGGTGCGGTCTTGCAGAGGTCGAGTGGGCCGAGTATCCAGCAAGCGCAGCGAGAGTGAGAGCTGGGTGCACGCGCCGACGCGAAAGCATGCTACGCCGCGCGTCGCGTCCGAGTGCGGCAGGGGCCTGCTGCTCGCGTGCGCGTGCCGCGGCGATTGCGTTGCGCTGCAGAGCCTGCCACAGCACGTCAAACGACTTCACACGCGCGCAGCCATCAGATAGCACGAGATGTGGTTTTCGACAGAGACATATCAATTACCAAAGCATCACCGCGCCGCATACATGGCGCCGGGCCCGAAGACCAGAGTGCCTCCGAGCGGCCTGCTTCCTGCACCGCCTAGCACGTGTTGCAGCCGTTGACGTCGCGGGCCGCAAACGTCACCTTGTTGCTGCTGCCCGCATTGAGGTAGCCGCCGTCCGTGATGACGATGTCCTTGGGCAGGAAGCCGACGGAGAGGGAGCGCGAGTAGGCACCAGCCGTGCCCGGTGCGCTGAGGCGCGTCCACTTCGACGGGTCGCCAAGCGCGCGGTTGACGAAGAGATCTGTCGAGCTCATCGCCGAGACGACGATGGCGCCGTTGCTCGTTCCACTGGCGCTGCCGGCAGGCGTCCAGACGACGTACGGCGAGCTCGTGAATACGGCGCCATCCGTGGTGCGCAGCACACGGCCCGAGGCGCTGCCGAAGTTGAGCGGGTTGGAGCTGAGCTTGTAGTAGATTGCAAAGTTGGCCTCGGAGGCGCCGCCGTACTCGTACGTCATGATGTACTGGCCGTTGGGCAGCTTGGCAATCGTCGGCATGCCCGGACGTGCGCTGTACGGCGACACAGCGACGTCGTTGACGACGGAGCCCCAGTTGCGCAGGTCCGACGAGACTTGGTGCACAATCTTCTGCCCGTAGGCGCTGTCGCGCTGGTCCGAGTAGTACATGACGAGCTGGCCGTTGTACTCCATAAAGAACGGCTCCCAGACGGGCGTCTCGCCGTTGTCGGGGTAGGCGCGGCCGCCGCGGGCGACGGACGAGACGAAGGTCCAGGTGGCGCCGGCGTCCTTGGAGGCGTAGATGTCGAGCTTCGTCTGGCTCAGGTCGTCGGGGATCGAGTTGCCGGCGCAGAGCACGGTGCCCTTGGGCCACGAGCCGACGGCGTTCTTGAGCTGGTACAGCTCGGGCTGGTAGCGCAGGCCCCAGCCGTTGACCGTGTCGCGCACGGTGCTGAGCTGCGACCAGGTGTAGCCGTGGTCCGTCGAGCGGTAGATGGGGAACCACGGCGGCGAGCCGGCCGGCGAGTAGTTCTCCCACGTGGCGAGGATGGTGCCGATGCTGTCGTTGAGCATGACGTGGCGGGCGTAGAGGGAGCGCTCGCGCTGGTAGTTGGACGGCGGCGTGTAGATCGTCACGGGGCCAAAGTCGCGCTTCGAGACGCCGTTGCGGTCCGCCAGGCCGGCGACCGTCGGCGAGCCGAGGCAGGTGGCAGCCAGAAAGGCCAGCGCCACGAAGACGAAGGCGAGCGGAGAGCGGCTTGCGGCGAGCATGGCTGCTGAAGACCAAGGTGAGGATTTGCTGTGCCGCCTGACCTTTGGGCCTCGTCTCGAGCTCCTTTTATACGCAAGCGTGCCGGTCAGGACCTCTCGCACCCCAGCAGCAGGCCTAGCAGGCGCTTCGACGTGCACAGCAGCGATGCGGGGTGCCGTGCGAGGCACTGCACCATCCGGCGTGCAGGGCGAGCACTGCCGTCAGCATAGGCCCGTACCTGGCCGTCGCTAGCGGGAGTGTGCGTGTGATGCCGTGCCTGCGCTGCCGCCTGGTCCGGCTGAGCGCCGTGCCCGCAGCCGCCTCGACACTCACGGTTCGCATGCTGCCGGCTGTGCTGGACCCTCGTGCGGGGTAGCGCACGGCCTGCCGGCACGCATCAGGACGCGGATGCGTCCGATCCGAGATGTCTGCGGGATGGCGTGAGCTCCCTCACGCGCAACGGGAGACGCTGTGTCTCGACACGGCACCCAGCATCCAGCGGCAAAGCGGCCCTCTCCCACAGCTTGCAGCTCTAGTCTGCCCGCTGGCGTTGGGCCGCTGCATCTGCATGCTGCCCGCGGCCTTGCAGCGCAGCATCAGATGCCGCATCCGCCGCAGCTGCCTGTGCTCATGCACGCCGCATGTCCGGCCGTGCGTGACGGGACGCGGGCGCAGTATGCCGTGCTTGGCGTGCATGTCTGCTGCCATGCGGCCGCGGGGCCCCGCACGCACGCTATATGCTCAGGCGCCCTTGTCACAGCGCCCGCTCTCCTCACTGCCGTCGCACCGGCTCCGCCTGTGGAACGCACTTTGCGGAGATTGCCGCCGGCGCATCCTGCGGGCGCTGCGGCTCGGCAAGCTGTCGGCTCCCGGCGCCGGCGGTTGGCGCCTGGCGCCTGGCGGCCGGCATACGTCCTCGTGCTTGGCGCCTGTCGGCATGAGAGCGGCGTCCTCTCCTGCGCCCGTGCTGCGTGCTGATTGCCCTCTGCCCCGCGGCATTTCATGCATGCAGGCTGGCATTCTGACTCTGCCTCAGCGTCCGGTTCGACGTCGAACGCGGTATCGACCCTTGCGCTCTCCTTCGCGCCTGGCATTCTCCTCTGCACCGGCGCCTCTTGCCCGCTGACATCTCCGGACCCATCCGTTCCTTGCACCTGCGCAAATCTCTGGCCTCGATGCGCGGCCAGGGGCCGTGTGGCTGCTTGCGCAGCAGTCTGCCCCCACACGAAAACGTGCCCTCGCCTCACATGTGTTGGGCAGTGGCTGTGAATGCTCTGTGTTGGATGCCCACGTCTCATGCTCCCTCCTGCTCCTCGCCGCCCTGCTGGCGCGTCTGCATCTGCTCGGCCCACGCCCGCGCACGCGCCAGCACGCTCTGCTCGCCCTCGGCGCTGCCGTGCTTCTGCTCGAAGAGCAGCCAGCGGCGCAGCACCGACTTGGCCTTCTTGCTGCTCTGCCGCAGCGCGAGGATGCGCTCGAAGATATTCCTGCGCCAGGGGGTGTGAGCACTCGTTGGGGCAGAGCAATGCGGCCGTCACTCACCGCACGTTGGCCACCTCGCCGAGGCGCGCCTCCTGGTCGACGTACTGCAGCCAGATGTCGAGGCGCTTCGGGTGGCTGTCGACGAGGCCCTCGAACACGGTGCGCGCACGCTCCGTGTCGCCGAGCTTGTACTCGGAGAGCGCAATGGCAAGCACCGTCTTGACGTCTGTGCCGAGGTGTCAGCTGCCAGCAGGGTGCTCGTGCCCGGCTCAACTCACGCTTGCGCTTCTCGAGGCTCTGCATGCTGCGCGGCACGAGCTTGCGCGCGTCCTCGGCGCGGTCGTGGCGCAGGTAGAACTGCACCCAGCCGACCCAGACCTTGGACGAGTAGCCAAACTTCTTGGCCGTCTTGCGCCACAGCTCCTCGGCGGCGTCGAGCTTGTCCGCCTTCTCGAGGATGGCCAGCAGGCGCAGGTGCACCGTCTTGGAGTCGTTGGCCTGCGCGGCCTGCTTGAAGACGGTGTCGAGCGTCTCGGCCGTGCCGTAGGCGTTTTCGAGGTTGAGCAGCGCGATCCACACGTTCATGCGCTCCTGCTCCTCGCGGAAGGAGATGACCTTGAGCGCTCGGCGCGCCACCTCGCGCGCCTTGTCAATGTCCGAGAGCTGCAGCTGGAAGGACATGAACTGGATCCAGAGATACGACGAGTGCGGCGAGCCGAGCAGCAGCCGCTCAAAGTCGGCCGTCGACTCGGGCGCCTTGGTTGCCAGGTCTGCCGTCATGTCTTGCTGCGGCGCGGCGGCGGCCTTGGCCTTGCGCTTCTTGGACTTGCTGGCGCTGGCCTCCGCCGCCTCGTCGTCATCGGACTCGGAGTCAGAGCCGCTGGCGCCTGCGTCGGCTGCCTCGACTGCATCGGGTGCGGACCAGCTGAAGCCGCCCGAGAGCTCGAGAGCCGGTGCGACGGTCCGCGGCGCCTCGTCCTCGGACTCGTCCTCTGCGGCCGAGTCCGCGTCGGAGGCAGCCTCGCCGGCTGCCTCCTTAGACTCCTCGTCATCGTCCGACTCAACGTCCGACTCCTCCTCGAAGGGCGCGTCGGCCGCGAGCAGCCGAGCGAGCGACTCGTCTGCGCCCTCAAAGTCGTCGTCGTCGAGGCTCGCGTCGCTGCCCTCATCGTCGCTGTCATCGACCTGACCGTCGAAGTCCTCGCCGCTCTCGGCCTCCTCCTCGTTGCTGTCAGCTCCGTCTTCCGCCTCGCTGGCGTCGCCGTCTGCCATCTCCGCGTCCGAGTCTGCAAAGTCCTCGGCGTCAAAGTAGCTGGGCTTCAAGCCGAGGCCCAGACGCTTCTTCTCGCTGTTGACCTCGAGCACGATGGCGCGCACACGGTCGCCAATCGCAAACGCCTTGAGCGCGTCCGCAGACTTGTTGTCCGAGAGCTGTGCAGGAGTGTCAGCACCCCGGTGGGTCGCTGCAGCCTTTGCTACTCACCTGGCTCTTGTGCGCGAGGCCGCTGACATCCGAGCCCTCGATCTGGACGAACACGCCAAAGTCCGTGATGGCGCGGACGAAGCCCTTGACCTTCTGGCCCTTCTGCAGATCGCGCAGCCGCACAGCGCCGCCCTTTGCTGCCTGCTCGCCGGCCTCGGCCTTCTTCGCTGCTGAGCCCTTGCGGTCCTTGCTGGACACGCCAGGCTCCGAGCGGAGCGAGAACTCGACCTTGCTCTGCGCCGCCAGAACGCTGGAAGGGCACGTCAGCCACGGACAATGGCAGCACGACTGCGGCACTCACCTCATCACGGTGCCCTCGACGAGCTGTCCGACGCGGAAGCGCGGCTTCCAGTCCTTGACGTAGCTGTCGAAAAGCTCGGCGATCATGACGCGCGCAGTAACGCCGCGGCCGAGGTCGACGAACAGGCCCGAGTCGGCAATGGCCTTGACATAGCCGCGCCGCTTCTCCTTCGGTTGCAGATCGGCGGCGGACTCGACGACTGCGTCGCGAGGAGCTGCCGCGGTCTCGCCGCGAGCGGCAGCCAGCACAGACGGGCGCGTGCTGACGACGGCGCGCTTCTTCGTCGTGCCGCGGATGGAAAGAACGACCACATCGAGCGGCTTGCTGTCCTTGTCCTTCTCGACTGGCGGAAGGGGCTCCTCGGAGAACTCGTCTGCGCAGTCCGTCGCGTGCAGTCGTGCGCGCACGCCGCCCGGCAGCAGCACCGTGACTGCGTTGGGCTCGCGTCCGCTCTCAATGACCTTGCCGGCGGCGAGGTGTCCAGGCTGCAGCTCGGCGGCCTTGTTTGACCGCGGCTGGGCACTGGAGTTGCCGAGAATCACCAGACCCTTGTCCTTGTTCTTGTCGATGACCGTCAGGCCGGTGAGGACCTCGCCTTCCTCCAGCTCGGCGCGCACCTCCTCGACGCTCTTGCCGCGCTCCTCGGCGAGCGCCGCGAGGCTGAGAAGGGCGCGGGCGCGCGATGGCAGCAGCTCCAGCACGACGACATCGGCGTGCACAGCAGCTGTGCGTGCGTCCACTTTCTGGCCCAGCGTCACAGCGTCGACGTCCAGACGGGCAAGGTACGAGGGTGCCGCTTGCCGGATGGATGCCGTGATGCGAGCCGAGGCATAGTCGACGTGCGTGAGGCGCACACGCACCACCTTGCCCTCGAAGTACGCAGACCTCAGCTGCAGCGGCTGTGCGCCGGGTGCAGCCTCGGTCGCCTCGACTGCCGGCACCAGGGCGCGCAGGCCGCCAAAGAGATCGACGAGCAGGGCGTTGGGCTTGCCGGGCGTCGGCTCGATGAAGCGGCTCACAGTGCCCTGCGTGACGACGCCGGGACGCGCATCCTGCAGCGCTGCGACGATCGGCAGGTCAGAGCCGACGAGGCTCTTCTTGAGCGTGCAGCTGATGCGGTTCTTCAGCGGGTCGACGGCCAGCACGCGCGCCTTGACGGTGGCGCCGACCTTGTACTTCTTCTCGGGCTTGCGCAGCGGCACGTCGGCAAAGTGCAGCGGGAACACAACGCCGTGCACGCTGCCGCCCAGGTCGAGGAAGATCGCGTTGCCGTTCGGGCCCAGGCGTGCGACAGTGCCACGGACGATGCTGCCGACCTGCACCTCGGAGACGCGCATGAAGGCCCGTTTCAGCACGCTGGGCTGCAGCGAGACGAGCACGCGCCCGTCCGTCGGTGCGTGGCCAGTCACACGCGCTGGGTGGACCGAGCCCTCCTTCCACGTGCCAGACGACGCAGAGAGCGCGACGATGTGCTCGTCTGCGACGTGGCTGATGTGACAGAAGACCTGCGGCGACACCTCGTCGTCTGCGTCCTCGATCTCGCAGGCCAGGCCCCAGTCCTTGTCGGCGCGCACCACGCGCACAGAGAGCTTGGTGCCGATGGGATAGTGCGACAGGCCCGGCGGCGGCGAGAGCTTCAGCGCGTGTGGAGCTGCGCTGAGCGCCAGCTTCCGGCCGCCTTGCTTCTCGGCAGTGACCTCGAGCGGGTCGGCGCCAGCAGCGTGCGGCCCGAGGTCCCAGAGCACGCGTGCCTTGACCTTCTGGCCCTCCTTGTACACGTCCGCTGCCGTCTTGCCGTGCGGCAGCGGCAGGTGAGTCGGGTCAATGGAGGCATCGAAGAAGCCCCACAGCTTTGCCGAGAGGCCCGAGGCGCTGGCGTTGGTGATGAGCGCCGTAACGTAGGTGCCGGGCAGCAGGCCATTCAGCGTCGGCGCGTGCGTCGGGCCGAGCCGCGCCGAGAGCACAGCAGCCGGCTGCAGCGAGGCAGTGAATGCCCGCGAGCCAGAGACGTGCGCCGTGACTGCAGCCGGCAGCACGGCGCCGACCTGCACGTCGCTGGGCGCGGCATCGAGCGGCGCAAAGCCAGAGATGCCGATGCCCGCGTCGAGTGTCCAGCCGTGGTCCTCGCGGCTCTTGACAGTGACGGGCAGCACGGCGCCAGGGATGAGGTCGGCGGACTCGATGCCCTCGTTGAGCAGTGCCGGGTCCAGCGAGAGCTCCACGCGCCCGGCCTCGCGCACGTACTCCTGGCCCTCGCGGCCCAGGCCCTTGTTGCCGGCGTTCTTGACGCTGACGACGGAGGCACGCACCCAGTCGCCCACCTTGTACAGATCCCGCAGCTCCGGCACGTCGCCAGCCGTCTTCATCTCCTCGTCCTCGTCGTCCGACGACTCGGCCTCGGACTCCGAGTCGCTGGCGTTGGCAGCGGCGTCTAACCGCTCCGTCAGCACCGACGAGATGCTCGTGAGCGGCACGTGGCCCAGTAGCTGGTTCGGCAGGCTCAGCACGAGCGCAAGCGGGTGCACGGCGAGGACGGAGCAGAGCAGGCGCGAGCCGGGCGCCAGGCGCTGTGGGAACGAGTGAGTGAAGGTCCAGCACGGCGGCACGGCAGCACGGCTCACCTTGTAGTTGAGGTGCTCGACGCGCGTGTGGTCGAGCTCGCCCTGGCCAGCACGCTCCACGCCCATCGCCGTCTTCTTCTTCTTGGCATTCTTCATCTCGCGCCAGTCCTTGCGCTTCTTCTCCTTCTGCGCCGCCACATCGTCGCCGCCCGAGGCGCCGGCGGCAGCACCCTTGCCCTTCTTGCGCGCTGCGCCGTCGGTGAAGAGATCCTTGCCCGCCGCCGCCGAGGCACGCTCGGCGCGGCCCTCGCGCAGCGCCTGGGCGTGCTCGAGCGGCGTGAGGCCGGAGCCGCCGCCGCGCGGAAAGTCGGCCTCGACGGCCGGCGGCAGCACGGCGGCGACCTTGGAGGACGAGGCGGCGGCGGCGTCCTTGCGCGGCCGCTTGCTCTCGTCCTTGGTGCGTGGTTTTGACGAGGCGGCCGCGTCGGCGCTCTCGCGAGTGCGCTTGAGGCCCGGCATGATGTGTGAGAGGGGCGTGGTGGTGGCTCGGCGTCACGCACGCCGCCATCTTCCAGCATGCAGCCTTGGCTCCAGATTTCAGGGCACTTTTTGGCCGCACGCACGTGACGCGGCCCCGGCATTCGGGCCAGGCGCCGTGCTCCCACGCTGTCCAAGCTCATCCCCCTCTCTGGCCGCTCTCGGCTGGCTCGCTGTGGATCTCTCACAGCTCCTCGGCCGGCAGCCTCGCAGTCCACAGACGGCCAGGTCGTAGGCGTCTCGGCTCCTTTGCGCGCGTATCTGGGCGCCAGCCTGTTTGCTGTGCAGCTGCCGCGCTCTGCCACTCAGCCGCCTTGCGCTCTCCCGCAGGGCGCTCACTTGACAGCGTTTCAGTCATGCATTCGCTCAGTCGAACGGCACACGCCGCACAGCACCTCCCGGCACGCTTGCACCCGGCACCGCCACGTCGCGTGAGCCAGCAGCACGCCGCCGCTCCTCCTCGGCGGCAGCAAAGACCGAGGGGATGGGGATGCCGCAGCAGTCGCCCCAGCCCGCCGCCTGGCCCTCTCCCGTGCCGTGCTTGGCGGCATGCGGATGCACGTGGCCGTGTGCATCCTCCTCTCCGGCCTGTTCGTCTTCTGCCTCGCCAGCGGCCGGCGGTGGGAAGGCGAGCAGCGAGCCAAAGAAGATGTGCTGCGCGATGGGCAGCTTGAGCAGCACCTCGGCGCGGTACATCTTCAGCATGCCCTCGTTGACCTTGCGCCAGGCGCGCACGCCGCTGATGTCGTCGAGCATCGGCGAGTGCCAGCGCAGCGACGCCGTCTTGATCTGTGCGGGCCGTGTCAGCGCTGCCTAGCTGCAAGAGCGTATCTTCTGCGACGCACGCTGTTGATGAAGCGGATGCAGGCCAGGTACATGTAGTCGGGCGCAAACTCCTCGACGATCTCGGCGTCGTGGATGCACTTGGGGCGCAGGTGCTTGTGGTCTGCCGCAGATGTCAGCCCAGATGCAGCACCCGCGCGCGACCACACGCACCCTTCAGCTGCGCACTGCCCCAAAGGAACGGCAGAAAGTGATAGTCGTCGAGGCCCCACACACCGTGCGAGCCAGCCGGCTCGAGCCAGTACGTGCTCTGGATCAGGCGCATCACCTCGACGTAGCGCCAAAAGACCCGCAGCACGACGGCTGGCGCGTCGCGCTCGAGCGAAAGGATGCCGAGCTTCGTCAGGCAGAAGCTGTGGGTTGCATGTCAGCAGGCAGCCGGCCATCACGAGGCACTTCGCACGCACAGCCACGTCGCAAAGTTGAGCTCCATGCCGCTGCCATAGTCGATGCGCGTGGCGTTGCCCCAGCTCTCGCAGAAGTACACGCCAATCTCCTCCACGGCCGCCGTCGGCAGGTCGGGGATGAGCGCATGCAGCGTGCCGCTGGCCTCGCCAAGCTTGGAGTGCAGCGTGCGGAAGGCCGGGTTGCCGAAGCGTGACGACGACGAGCTGTCGGCGGGCGTGGCCAGCACGAGCTCGCGGACTCGGTCGAGAATGAGAAGCAGCGCCTCGACGGCCTAGGCAAGGGCGTCAGCACGGGCTCTCCAGGTGTCTGGTGTGTAGGGCCATGCCTGAGGGGGGCAGTAACCGCTGCACGCCCTAGTCCACCAGGCGACAGTCCGAGCCATCGCTGCGCCTACGTCCTGTTGCGACTGCGCCTCTCGGGCCCTTCGCCGCCTCTACACACCGCGCCGCGCTGTCCCAGCGGCCCTCGCACGCCATCTGGATACCGCACGCACCTTGCTCGTCTCGACGTCGTCGCGCAGCGAGCGCCCCACGACTGCCTCGTTGCACGCGGTGATCCACGCCAGCAGCTCGCGGCAGGCGTCGCTGTGCTCCCAGCGCTGCAGCTGCTTTGGCGAGACGATGCGCTTCCTGGCGGGCACAAAGCGCGCCGGCACCGTCTCTGCCGGCGCCGCGGGTGCCGGCGGCGGCGAGGCGGGCGGCGTGACGGTGCGTGTGGCGAGGGGCTGCGTGCGCGGGTCGGGCGCCGAGGGAGCGGAGCGCGGCGCACGCAGCTTGGCGGCGAGGGCGTCGAGCGCGGCGCGCGGCTGCTCGGCGGCAGACGCAGCGGCGGCCGCGAGCACGGGTGCGGGCGGCAGCTGTGAGGTGCTCATGCTGCTGATCGGAGATGGTGGTGTGCGGCAAGAGGCGGCGCCCTCGCCGATGTCGCTCTGGCTCTGCCAGTGCGCTGCCCGCAGCGCCGCTCGGGTCCTCGTGTTCCCACGCGCGCGGCCTCCCAGCCGAACGAGTAGCCCTGCTGCAAGACACCGGAGAGCAGGCCACGCGCCTCGACTGGCACATTTTCAAGCGCCATAGGACTGGCGCGCATGCTCTCGCAGCTCAGGGCGAGACCGCTCCACCCGCGCCCCACGAAGGCCAGTCAGGGTTGCGTGCACGGTTCACAGGCAGTGTCAGACACGATGGCCACGTCGCCGCAGCGAGCCAGACTGAGCGCAACGCCCTCAAAGTGGCGGCATACTCTGCCGCCGCCAGGCCGCAGACCTTGCACCTCTACGCAGGCAGGTGCAGCACACATTCCGCCAGAGGCAGAGCCTGAATGGTCCCCGAGGTGTCATGTATTGCTGTGTTGAGCTGCGGCAGCTGCTGCTGCCGCTGCCTCTGCCCGCTTCTGAGCACCTCGCGCCCGCAGCGCCGCCAGGCCTGTCAGCTTCGGCGCAGCCTCAGGGGGCGGTGGCTGCGGTATTGGCTGCGGGTCCGCTGTATGTGCATGCTTGTCCTCGTGCGGCGCTGCATGCTCGTGCGCATGGGCATGCGGCACGCCCTTGCGCGCCAGGCTGCTGCCCGCCTCCTCGATGTCGTCGCCCGTCGGGGCGGGCTTGGTGCGGCGCTCACCGACGCCGCCGCCAACGTCGAGGTGCAGCAGGCCGATGCCTATGCCCCGCCGCCGTGCGCGGTAGCCCAGTTCGGGCGGCGCACTGCACACGAGCCGACCCGGCGGTGCGCGCTGCACGGCGCAGCGAAGCGCACCGCTGTACGCGGGGAACGCCTCGGCTAGCGGCGAGGCAAAGACGGAGAGGCAGAGCCCCGAGTCAGAGAGACTTAACAGCCGAGAAAGCGCAGGAGGCGTGCACTGTGCCAGCCAGTGCGGCGAAAGGAGCAGTGTGAGGCTTGATGAAGCGTGCAGCGCCGCGCGCAGGCTCAGCAGCCGCCGGAAGAGGGCACGGCTGTCGAGTGCGGCGCCTGCGTGAAGCAGCACAGCGTGCACAGGACCGCTGAGGCGGCGTCAGTGTGAATTCGGCCACTGCGCTGAGGTAGCACTCACTCCTTCTGCACCTCACGCAGCACACGCACGGCGTCCACCTCGCTGCTGCCCTCTCCCAGTGCTGCACAACGCAGCGCGCCCTGCGCCTCGAGCTGCTGCGCACGCTCTACACCGAGCGTGCGTGCGAGATCGAGCAGAGCCTCGCCGCCGCTGCCTGCACTCGGCACGCCGCGGGCCGCGAGCTGCGGCACGAGATGCGCATAGCGCGCCGCACTGCCCAGGCTGCTCTCGTCGCTGGCGGCCTTGGCGAGCGCCGCGGCTGGCGTCGTAGAGCCAGAAGCGACTGGAGTAGACGCGGTTGAGCTGCTGCCACTCGCGGCCGGTGCCGGTGCCGGTATCCGTGCTGCCCACGAGCGCGCCTCGGCGATCTGCGGCGCCACGACGAGGACGCGCTCAGCATCCGCCAGGGCCCGTCCGGCGCCGAGCAGCGCCAGCGAGGAGGCGTGCGCGGCGGCGGTGTGAGCAGCGGGCAGCTCGTGCGCCTCGAGTGGGCGCGCGTGGCCGAGATGCGGCGCCGGCAGCAGCAGGCGCACGGGGCCGCCCTGCGGCAGCAGAGCGTCGAGGATGGCGTGGCCCGAGGGGAAGGAGCTGCGTGGCGGCGCTGAGGCCGCGGCGGCGCCGCCGTCCGCTGCGGCTGTGGCTGGCACCGACGCTGCGGCTGCCGCACGCGCCGCAGCGGCCGCGGGCAGGCGGCGCTTGAAGGCCGAGGGCATCGAGGCGGGATCTAGGATGGAGGAGCAGCGGGAAGCGCCGAGTACAAAACTGGCGCGTGGGAAAGCGCCGCGCCGCTGTAGTCGCTGGTCCGTGCAGCGCTGCGTTTGTATTGCGCGGCGTGCGCCGAATACAACTGGCGGCACGCGACTCGCCTCCACTCCTGCCTCGTCTCCTCATCCTCCCTCGCCCCGCACCGCAGCGCACACACCACTGCGGCATTCTGCCCAGCATGTCCGACGATGAGGTGCGTCGCGCGGCCAGACAACCTTGGCTGGGGCTGACGCCGCCGGCAGTTCCTCATGGACGATGCCGCCGACGAGGTGCGTTGTGTTGCGGCCCCGCACCGCAGCACCGCACTCACGCCCACGCCCGCAGGACTACGACTTCGACTACGAGTCCGACGACGCCGAGGCCGACGACGCCGACGTCGAGAACACGTACTACAACGCCAAGTCCAAGAAGCGCGACGAGCCCGAGGCGGCGCTGGCCGAGTGGCGCCGCCTCGTCGACGCCGAGAGTCCCAAGGGCGACTGGTGCGGGCCGCGCCGGGGCATGTGCAGGGCCGCGCTGACACGTGCGAGCACAGGGGCTTCAAGGCGCTCAAGCAGAGCACCAAGCTCAACTTCGCGCGCGGCCGCCACGCCGACGCCCTCGTCACGTACGAGGAGCTCCTCGGCTACACGAAGAGCGCCGTGACGCGCAACTACTCGTGCGTGGCATGTGTGGCTGGTCTGCCCCCTGCTGAGCTTGCCGCCGCAGCGAAAAGTCGATCAACAACATCCTCGACTACGTCTCGGCCGCCACGTCGGTCGATGCGCCGGCCGCGAGCACGTCCGCCGCCACGCTCGACCTCTCCGTCATGGAGCGCTTCTACGAGGTGACAAAGACGGCGCTCGAGAGCACCAAGAACGAGCGCCTGAGCATCAAGACGGACCTGAAGCTGGCGCGCCTGTGGCTGGCGCGCAAGGAGTGGGGCCGCCTGGGCAAGGTGCGTGTGCTGTGCCGGCCTCGCCGTGCGTCTGCTGACACGCGAGGCAGACGCTCAAGGGCCTGCGCGCCCACTGCGAGGACGCCGCCGGCGACAGCGACGGCAGCCGCGGCACCGTGCTGCTCGAGGTGTTTGCCATTGAGATCCAGATGTACGACGAGATCAAGGACTTCCGCAAGCTCAAGGTGCGGCGCATGGGCTGATCTGGGTGCGCAAAGGAGCTGACACGCGCTGCAGGAGACGTACGACGCCACACTCAGCGTCAAGAGCGCCATCCCGCACCCGCGCATCATGGGCGTGATCCGCGAGTGTGGCGGCAAGATGCACATGGCCGAGAGTGCGTGCCCGTATGGCGCGCGTGGCAGTGGCATCGGCTGACGCTGCTGCAGAGGAGTGGGCGCTGGCGCAGATCGACTTCTTCCAGTCCTTTCTCTCCTACGACGAGGCCGGCAGCGCGCAGCGCATCACCGTGCTCAAGTACCTCGTGCTTGCACACATGCTCATGGGCTCCGACATCAACCCGTTCGACAGCCAGGAGACCAAGTCGTGCGTAGACGCGAGCGAGAGGAAGCGAGGGCAGTGCTGACATGGGACGCGCACGCAGGTACAAGAACGACCCACAGATCGTCGCTATGACCAACCTGGTAGCCGCGTACCAACGGCGAGAGGTGCACGAGGCAGAGAAGATCCTGCGCGGTGAGTCGGGCGTTTAGGCGCCGCCATGAGCCTTTCAGCTCACGCTCCCTGTCAGAGAACCGTGCGACGATCATGGACGACCCTTTCATCCGTGCACACATCGACGAGGTGCTCAAGGGCCTGCGCACGCAGTACCTCATCGACCTCGTGCGTCCCTATACGCGCGTCGAGCTCTCCTTCCTGGCGCGGGTGCGTGCGCTGCGCTCGAGCCGCGACTGCGTCCACGCTGACGATGCGCCCCGTGCAGCATCTGAACATCCCACGCGCGGAGGTCGAGGAGCTGCTCATGGCCTTGATTCTCGACGGTCGCGTCTCGGGACGCATCGACGGCGTGCGCGCGCAGCTCACTCTGCTGCCGCGCACGGGTGCAGGCGCGGGCGCAGACGCGGGCAAGACGCTCAGTGCGCGCCGGTATGCGGCTCTGACGCGCTGGACGAACCAGGTGCAGCGGCTAGGCGACATGCTGGAGGAGAAGCAGGCGGCGGGAGTTGGCGGAGGCGGAGTGGTGGGAGCTGCTGCGCTGGGCATGGGAGGTGGCATGGGAGGACGTGGCGGGCCTGTTCAGCGCGTGCGGTGAAGGAACACCCATCCGCGCGCTTTGTCATCTCTCTCTCTCTGTCGGGCTCGAAGGCAATCACCATACCACACATCATCACACCACACTGCGTCGCATCTGGCTGAGCACGGCCTCAGGCCTCGTCGCATTGCGGATCGGGCAGCCGCCGGTACGCCTGGAACCACTTGTCGCCCTTGTTGCGCACGACCTTCTTGCCTGTGGCCGGCAGTGCTGTGAGTCAGCCACTGCACCTGCGAGCGAGCCGTCGCGGGCCCCGCCTTACCTTCCTCAGTGGCGCCCCACACTGCAGCCACACACGGATCATCGACGAGCTCCGCGTCGGGAATGCGCTCGAAGAGCGGATGCGCATCGAGATGCCCGACCATCCAGACGTGCAGGTCATGCACGTCGGTGATGGTGTACACGATGCCGCCGGGCCGCAGTACGTACGCGTATTCGGCCAGCAGCGTCTGACTGGGGAGTAGTGGCGTGAGCGAGGCGCGCGGCAGGTCTGGGCAACGCAGACGCACGAGATGATGCGCGCCTTGTGCTTGATGCGCTTGAAGTGCGGATCCGGATGCAGGAAGAACATCTTTGTCAACTGCAGGGGTCATGCCAGCGCATCAGCGTCGACGACAGGCGTGCGCCGACATGGCGGCAGCGCTCACCTGGCCGCGCTCGAAGAAGTTGGGCAGGAACTTCATGGCGTTGCTGCGCAGCACACTGATGTTCTCGTAGCCGCCCGGCACGTCGCCGGCGCCGCGCACAAGCTGCGCATTCATCTCCCGCTCGTCCTCCTCCGACAGCTCGTCGTCGTCGGCCGGCTCGACGGGCGCGCCCTTTGCGCCCTTTGCGCGCTTCGCTGGCCGCTGCGCTGGCGAAGAAGGACCGGCGCTGGGCTGCTGCGCAGCTGCATCGCCGTTTCCCTCTCCCTGCGCTGCCGTCACATCGCCGCCCTCTCCCTGCACCCCCTCGCCCGCCGGTGCATCCTCCACCTCGCCCCTCTTGGCCGCCTGTGCCCTGCGGTGTGCCAGACGCAGCGCCCAGATCTTGTCGTGCACGTACGCCGTGACCTGCACGCGAATCTCGAGGCCGAGCATGAGAGTGGTCGGAAAGTGCGGCGCGAGCTGGAAGAGCAGGCCGCCGAAGCCGCAGCCAATGTCGAGGAACTCGACGCGCGGCGCCGCCGCGGACGAGGCGGCGGCGGCCGGCACGAGCTGCGGGTAGTGCGGGTGCCAGTCCATGTACTGCGGCGCCCGCGGGCTGAGTGTGGCGCATCAGCCATGCGACCTCGCACGCGCTGCTCGCTGGCACACGCACTAGACGAGGTCGTGGTCGGCAAACGGGTTGGCGTGCGCGCGCTGGCGGTACCAGCGCTTCTGCGGCACGACGATGGCGCCGAGCGCGCCGGTGAAGGCGAAGGCGTTGGGGTGCGACTGGCCCTCCTCGGGCGCCGAGGGTGCGCCGCCCTTGCGCTTGCGGATGTGCGTCGACATGGCGGAGTGTGTGGGGATGGCGGGCGGAAAGCAGGCCAGGCGCGGCAGGGCACTCGGGAGGGCAAAAGTCGCGCGCGCGTCTCTCATGCGGCAGCGGGCAAAAAGCTGCGAGCCAAAAGTCGAATCAGTGCGCCGCCGCCGTTCTTCCCACCGCCATTCCCTCACCTCGCACCATGCCTCGCACCGCGCCCGTCGCCGCGCCACAGGCGGCCAGCAGCAGCAGCGGCAGCAGCTCTGGCAGCTCGAGCAGCAGCAGCAGCGCCGACAGCGATGCAGAGCTCGCCGCCGCACCTGCGTCCACACGCTCGCTCTCGGACGCAGAGCAGGCGGGCGACGACGACGAAGAGGACGAAGACGACGACGAGGCCGCACAGGCGCAGGCTGACGCAGACAGAGAGCGGCGCGCGCAGCAAGCGGACCGCAAGCTCGGCACGAAGCTCGTGAGTGCGCCGCACCTCGCTCCTGCTCACTCGGCTCACATGCTGCCCAGCACCACCTCTTCCGCACCGTCGCCGCCGCCGTGCGCCGCGCCCGCACGCACGAGCTGCAGCGCCAGATCAAGCGCCTCAAGCCGCTCGCCGCCGGGAGCGCCGAGGCGCGCGCTGCCGAAGACGAGCTGGCGGCGCTCAAGGCGCTGCTGCCCGAGCCGCTGGCCGCGCGCGCGCTGCGCTCCAAGCTCGTCAAGGCCAAGCTGCTGCCGCGCGGCACCGCGCCCGACGCTGCCGAGTTCCCGCTGCTGCGCCACATCGAGGCGCACGAGGCGCTCGCCGCTGCGGGCGCCGCTGCTGCAGCCACGGGCGCCGCCGGCAAGGTCGAGGCGCGCTTGCTGAGCAACAAGGGCCTCGCCGACGACGTGCTGCACGCCGTCGACGCGCTGCGTGCCCTTGTGCGGCCCGACGAGGTGCGCGCGCCGCCCAAGGCTGCGGCTGCGGCGCCGAGCGAGCCGCGCGGGGACAAGGGCAAGGGCAAAGAGCAGGCGCCGCCGCCGCCGCGCGCCGCGCCGGGCTTCGTGCCGCTCGGCGAGGCCGGCCTGCTCGAGCGCGAGTGGTCCGGCGAGGAGGACGAGGGCGACGAAGAGGTCGAGGACGAGGCATCCGGCTCCGAGGACGAGCAGTCGCAGGACGGCGAGAGCGACGTCGACGAGGCCGAGGCGGCGCGGCGCGTCGCGGCGCTCGGCGACCTGAGCCGCTTCGACGCCATGCTCGGCGGCGCATCCGACGAGGAGGAGAGTGCGGACAGCGCGGCGAGCAGCGAGGCCGAAGGCTCGGCGCGGCCAGCGGCGCGGCAGGCGGCCTCTGCGGCAGCGGCAGAGCCCAAGAAGCGCAAGCGCAGCGCCTCGCCGGCCGCCAGCGCCAAGGCCGGCAAGGCGGCGAAGAAGGGCAAGGAGAAGGCGGGCGCAGAGATGGAGCCGCTCACGGTCGGCAGCAGCACGTTCCTGCCGTCGCTCTCGAGCGGCTTCGTCAGCGGCCGCGGGCTGCGCCTCGGCAAGGACGGCGACGACTTCAGCGGCAGCGAGGGCGAGCTGAGCGAGATCGACGAGGACGCCGAGGAGCGCGGCAAGGACGGCAAGAAGGTCGAGCGCAAGAACAGGCGCGGACAGCGCGAGCGGCGCGCGTGAGTGGCCGTGGTTGGAGCGAGGGGTGCATAGCTGACACGCGGACACTACAGCATCTGGGAGAAGAAGTACGGCCGCGCCGCCAATCACGTCAAGCTGCGCGAGAAGGAGGCGCGCGCCGCCACGCGCGTCTACGACCCCACCACGCCGGCGACGCGCGATGCGTCGGGCGCGCGCAAGCGGCCGGCGCCCTTCCTGGCGCCCGGCCGTGTCGACGGCGGCTGGGGCGGCGGCGTGGCCAACTCCAAGCCGGCACCGCCGCGGCCCACGGTGCCGCCGGCGCGGCCGCCTCGCCCGCAGCAGCATTTGGCGCCACGGCCGCCGCCGCGCAGCGCGCCGCCGGCGGCCGCCAAGCAGGAGCAGATGCACCCGTCGTGGATCGCCAAGCAGAAGCAGAAGGAGCTCGCGGCGCAGGCGGCAAAGGGCGCCATCAAGGCGAAGAAGATCGTCTTCGACTAATGCCATCGGGTGTCGCATGTATGAATCGTGATTGCGTCTGCAGGGAGGAGCTCTGTACCCTCGCGCCTCACTTCTTGGCGCCGTGCACGGCCTGCCACTGGCTGCGCGCACCCATGAGACTGGTCGCGAAACCGGCCAGACCCAGCACGCCCTCGTCGAGGTCGAGCACGCCGGCGCCCGTGGCGGGGATGAGCCAGTCGAGCGCGTCCTGCGTGGCCTGCCAGCGCACGGCGGCCTGCTCGGTGCGGATCTGCGCCAGCTCGGCGCGGCGTGCGGCCTCCTTCTCGGCCGTGGCGCGCGGCCGGCCGGCGTGGGCGGCGCGCGTGCGCAGCGCGTACGTCTTGTACGCGCTCGACACGAGCGAGAAGGAGAGGCCGGTGAGCCAGAAGCGCGCCGCGTTCTTGCTGATGCGTGCCGCCGTGTCGGGCGCGAACTGGTAGGCCTTGGAGCCGTGCACCTGTGGGGTGTGGGTGGTAAGCCCTGAGGATGCCGCGGGTATGTCTGTCCCACACACGCCGCACGCACCCACTGCAGCATGTCGAGCGTCAGGTAGCACATGTAGCCCAGCTGCCGGCCGACGGCCGTGTACGCCACGACGGGATCCTGGATGGCGGTGGCCTTGAGGGCGCTCTGCGCGTGCTCGAGGAACTTGCCCACGCGCATCACTGGGCGGCCGTGTCAGCATGTGTCGTGGAGGCATGTGAAGCACAGCAGGAGCGCCATGCAGTGTCGAGCAGCCGAGCGGTGCAGTGCACGACCGATGCGGCACATGCGCAGCAAAGCACGGCCGAGACGGCGGCGCCGGTGCGATTCTGTGAGGCGCCGGTCCGCTACCGCCTGCCAATGATGCGTTCACTGCGGCGATGGCCGACGCTTCTGCTGCGGACCAGCTCGCTGTCCTGCTGCTACCGCTCTGCCTACCTCTCGCTGCACCCATGCCTGCTGCAGCTGTCGCGACTGCGCTCGCTGTCTCGCCCCTGTCCCCTCACACCGCATCGCACTCTCCACCGCCGCCGCGCCCTCCACTGCCGCCGCCGCGCTGCGCCCTGGCCCTCTCGCCGCCGCGCTGCACGCCTGCCGCGCGCCACTCACGCTTGCGGCTGAGGCCGAGGTTGCTCTTGAGCGCCGTGAGGCGTGCGACGGTCTCCTTGCTGGCGCCCTTGCGGTACTCGTACCACGCCAGGAAGCGCGCGGCATACTGCACGGCGCGGTACGTCTTGTCGCGGCCGACGGTCGTGGCCCAGAAGCGCAGCTGTGGAGAGTGTAAGCCAGTGCAGAGCAGCGTGTATGCGCTGCAACACACGCACCACATTGGAGAGGTACGGGTGCAGCACGAGCTGCTGCAGGGCGGACATGCTGGGCGAGGGTGCGGGGGGTGGTGGTGGGAGGCCGGGTGCGGCCGTGCTGCCCGTATCGCACGCCAACGGCCCGGCATCGGCGTGGGCCGGCGGCGGCCGCGTCGCCCGCTTCGCACGCTGAAAGCCCAAGGCGCGCCGCCCGCTGCCCGATGGCCGGAGTCGCGCCTTCCCACGCTTTTTTGGCGGCGCGTCGGCGGCGCGGCGCCGGCATTTCGTGGTTCCTGCCTCTGCTCCACCACATCCCACACACACCATGCCGCCCGCCGCCGCTCCCGCCGGCGCATCGAAGAAGGCTCGCAAGGCCGCCGCCTTCAAGGCCAAGGCCGGCGGTGCGCGCGCCCCGCCGCCCGCCGACGACGAGCGCGGCCGCCGCGACGTGCCCGACGGCGGCGACGTGCCCGAGCCCGACGTGCCCGCCGACCAGGCGCCCGTGCCGGCGGCGGCCAAGGGCAAGGGCAAGGCGCCCGCCGAGGAGGTAGCGGCCGATGGTGCAGCGCCGGCGCGCACCAAGAAGAGCAAGGCGCCGGCCGACGAGGCAGCGGCTGGCGAGGCGGCGCCGGTGCGCACAAAGAAGAGCAAGGCGCCGGCCGTGGAGGCCGAGGCAGACGCGCCGTCGGGCAGCAGCAGCGCCGCCGCCGCCGCACCGGCCAAGCCGCTGAAGAAGAAGGCGCTGCGGGCGCTCGCCGCCGCCGGCCTTGCGCCTGCCCCGGCCGCCGCAGATGTGGAGTCCACCGCCGCCGCACCGAGCCGGAAACGCAAGCGCGCGGCCAACGAGGCGCCGGCGACGAAGCGCAAGACGACGTTTGGCGCCGACGGCGAGGTGGCCGCCGAGGAGGTGGCGCCCGCCGCCGACGCCACGGCCGCGCCCAAGGCGGCCGACGAGGGCAAGAAGCGCTTCATCGTCTTTGTCGGTGCGTGCAGCTGCTCTGATCGCACGCTCCCTGTGGCTGACCCGCTGCGCAGGCAACATGGCCTTCACCACCACCGCCAAGACGCTCGCCGCGCACTTTGCCACGCGCTGCAACGAGACGCCCAGCGTGCGCCTCCTCACGACGCGCGTCGACCCCGAGGCGGCCAAGGCGCTGTCGAAGAGCAAGCAGAAGAGCATCGCCAAGGGCAAGGCCGCCGACCCGGGTGCGTCGCGCTCGCGCGGCTGCGCGTTCGTCGAGTTTGCCAGCGCCGGCAACCTGCAGCGCGCGCTGCAGTTCCACCACACGCTCCTCGAGGGGCGCACCATCAACGTCGAGCTCACCGCCGGCGGCGGCGGGCAGAGCGGCGCGCGCCGCGGCAAGATCGCGAGCAAGAACGCGCAGCTCGAAAAGGAGCGCGGCAAGCTGCACGAGAAGTACGTCAAGCCTGCCGAGGAGAAGCGCAAGGAGAAGGGCCGCGAGGCCGCCGAGAAGGCCGCCGCCGCCGAGCCGGCCGCCAAGCGCGTGCGCCCCGACGGCGAGGGCGAGGCGCAGTGGGGGCGCGGCGACGCCTCCTCGCGCGGCCGAGGAGGCGCACGCGGCGGCCGAGGCGGCGGGCGCGGCGGAGCGGCAGCGACCAAGGTGCCGCGCTGGGCCGCCAGTGGCTCCAACGCCGTCAAGCTGGCGAGCTGAGCTGCCAATGCCATGCCTGCCACTGCTAATAAGTAGCTCATTTGCGCGCCCTAGTCGTCCATGCGTCCGCGTTTCCGTTCCCGCTCGTCGCCGCCGCCCTGCTGCTGCTGCCCCATCTGGCCCTGCGATGACTGCTGTCCCTGTGGCGGCGCCGCGCCCGGGAAGCCCATCATGCCGCCCATCTGCGGCATGCCCATCATGCCCGGCATCATCGGCATGCCCATGCCGAAGAACTGCGGGTTCTGCGGTGTAGCGTCAGCGCCGCGTAGGTCCCCACCAGACGCGGCAGACTCACAAAGTGTCCGGCGCCCATGCCGCCCTGCTGCGGCGGCGGTGCGCCATTCCTGCCTCCGCCGCCGCCGCCGCCGCCACGTCCATACCCGCCTCTCCCGCCTCCGCCGCCGCGGCTGCCCTGCTGCGGATAGCCCATGTAGCCCATGCCCTGCGGCGGGAAGCCGCGCCCGGCGCCGCCAGGTGGAGGTGCGCCCGGAGCGCCCGCGCCAGGCAGCATCGGCATGCCGAGCATCATTGGCGGCATGCCGTTGGCCCCGCCCAGCCGGATGGGCGGCGCGAATGGCGGCGGTGCTGCGCCGTTGCTGCCACCGGCGCGGTCGCGGCCGTCGCGCCCGCCATCACGTCCGCGGTCGCGCATGCCGCTGCTCGAGCCGCCGGGCCCGCCGCGGGCGCCACCGCTGCGTGCTCCGTCGCGTGCCGGCGGGTCTGCGTGGAGAGTGAGCGCAGAGACGCAGCGGCAGAGACACGCGCGACGCACCCTTGGGCAGCGTGCGGAACGGGTTGCCGTGCGCCGACGTGCTGAGCGTGACGAGGGCGCGCTTGTGGTGGAAGTCGCTGCGCGCAATGAGCAGCTGCAGCGAGCGCACGGCGGCAGACCGACTCACTTCTCGTCGAACCAGCCCTTCAGCCGCCGCGCCTCGTCCTCGTCGCCCAGCTCAATCCACGCCACGCTGCAGGTTGCCGTGTGAGCGCATACATGCGGCCAGAGAGCACATGCCACGCACCCCTTGCTCTTGCCGTTGACCTTGTGCTCGGAGAAGGTAATGTCGGCGAGCGCGACCTGCGCGCCGACCTCGCGCTCGGCGATCTGGCGCAGCTCGTCGTCGGTGACCCACTGATCGCGCCGTCAGCGTGCGCACACACGCGTGCCCGCCAGGCCACGCACCCAGTCGAGCTCGCCGATGTACAGCGCGTTCTGGATGCTCGGGTCCGTCACCTTTGGCCGCCCGGCAAGCGCGGCACGGGCGGCAGGCGGCGCCTCGGCGGTGCTGCTGCTGCCTGCGGCGGAGAAGGCGTCGTACGGCGGCTTCTGCAGGCGCACATCAGCGCCCGGCACTGGCGGCGGCCGGCAGCGCGCCTCACCTCGTCGTCGTCGTCGCGCCCGCGCTTGGCGCCCGCTCCGGCCGCCGGCGCCGCGCTGGCCGCGCCCTGCTCCTGCTTCACTGCCGGCGCCGGCGGCAGGAACGGCGCAGCGGCCGCCTCGGGTGCGCCCGCTGCGCCGCTGTCCGAGGCGGCGCGCTCGTCGTCGTCGGCGTCGGAGGCGCGGCGCTCGGCCGAGTAGAGGTCGGCGTCCTGCGGCGGGCGTGAGTGGCTGTGCGGCGCGTGCGGCGCGGGCGACGCACGGCATAGAGGTCGAAGGCGTCGTCGTCCATCGTGTTGGAGTGAGGTGGAGGTGGGCAGAAGGCAGGAGGCGGGAAGCGAGACGCCCGAGCCATGCGGGAGCAGGCGGCATGCAGCGCGGTCACGTGCGCCGCCCAGCCAGCCAGGCCGCCTCAGCCACTTCGCTCCTCTCGCTCGCCTCTCTCCACTCCACACCACCACCAGCAATCATGCCGCGCACCGCGCCTGCCGCACCCCGCCTCTTCCACGAGGACGTCGTGGTGCGCTGCGCCGACGCCGCGCCCTCGCCCTCGCAGCTCGCCGGCCTGCCCGCCGGCGCGCCCGGCGAGCGCGGCGTCGTCGTGCGCTGCTGGCACGACGAGGCCGAGGCGCTGCCGCCGGCGCCCGGCGTCGACGCCGCCGGCATCGACCGCGCGCTGCGCGACGGCGAGCTGGGCGTGGCGTGGTACCCGTCGGCGACGCGCGAGATTGTGCGCCAGGAGCAGCTGCAGCTGTGGGACCGCGCCTTCCAGGTCGGCGACGTGGCGCGGCGCAGCGGCGAGGCGGGCAGCAGCGACAGCGCCAGCACTAGCACCAGCACCGGCAGCACCGGCATCGTCACCGACGTCGCCATGACGCTGCAGCTCGCACACGTCCTCAGCGGCCAGCGCGTCGCCGCCGTGCCCGCGGCGCACGTCGCCAACGCGCTGCGCGTCCTCGTCGGCGACCACGTCGTGCACGCGCGCGCCGGCTGGGTCGGCGTCGTCGAGGAGGTCTTCGAGGAGGGCATCGTGCAGAGCTCCGTGTCCGCAGACCTCGTGCGCGTCTGCGACGTCGGCTCGCGCCTCAGCGTCGGCGAGAAGCAGGAGAGCGGCGACGTGAGTGGCGCGTGCGGCGTGTGGCCGCAACGGCTGACACGCAGCAGGAGGCGGCCAATGCGGCATCGGGCTGGAGCGCCCTCTTCTCGCGCCGTGCGCCGCCGGAGCGTGTCACCAACACGGTGCTCTCCGTCAAGCAGACGCTCAGTGCGTGGCGCGTGCTGCGACCCGCCGCCCTGGCTGACACCCGCTGCAGTTGCCGTCAACTGGCTCGCGCTCTCGCAGCGCCTCGAGCCGGCCGAGCAGGACGCGCGCCCGCGCCCGAAGCGCTTCTGGGACGCCGACATGACGGAGCTGACGCTCGTGCGCTCCTTCTCCGAGCACGCGCGTGAGTGGCGCCGCAGCTTCTCCCTGGTGCACTACTGACGCATGCCACAGACGCTGTCGGCGACAAGGTCATCTTCAAGACGCCCGAGCTCGCCGCGCAGTACGGCCTCGAGGAGACGCAGCACGGGCCCGACGGCGCGCGCGTCGCCGTCGGCGCCATGAATGTCGTCTCGACGTCGTCATCCGTCTCCGTGCTCTGGCAGGACGGCAGCAGCAGCGTCGAGGAGTCGACGTCGCTCGTGCCGCACCTCAACCTCGACGAGCACGACGTGTGGCCGGGCGACTTTGTGCTGCACCGCCCCGACGCCGACGCCGACGACGGCGGCGCGGCCAGCGAGCGCGTGGGCGTCGTGCAGAGCATGGACGCGCGCGAGCGCACCGCCGTGCTGCGCATCTACGGCAGCGACACGACCGAGGCCGTGCCCGTGCTCGAGCTCGACGTGCACGGGCCCGAGACGGCGGCGTTTGGCCTGCACCGCGGCGACACGGTGCTCATCGCCTCGCGGCCCACGGGCGTGCTGCCACCGGCGCTGCCGCGCCTCGGCGAGCTCGAGGAGATGCCCGAGGACGAGGAGCTGCGCGCAGAGATGAGTCACCTGGGCATGGCGTACGCGCAGCGCTTCGACAAGGAGTGCCCGCTCGTCCTGCCGGCGGCGCCGAGCGAGGGCATCGACTGGTACGGCTCCGTCACCGGCATCTCGCCCGCCGGCCTCGTGCAGATCCGGCTGCCCGACGGCAGCAGCGTCGAGGAGAAGTACGAGCACCTGAGCCTGCTGGTCGACGGCTTCGAGGGCGACGACGGCGGCTGGGGCGACGACGAGAGCTCAGAGTTCGAGACGGACAGCGAGGAGGATGTCATGTGGACGACCGAGGACGGCGAGGAGGTCGAGCCCGAGGAGGGCGACACGTGGGAGGACATGGACGTCGATGAGGAGGACGAGCTGGTCGATGAAGAGGTGCAGCCAAGGGCGGCGCCGGCTGCCGCTGAACCGCCGGCTCCCGAGCCCGAGGCCGCGCAGCCAGCCGTTGCTGAGGCCAGCACCTCGGCCGTGCCGAGCGAGCCGCAGGCTTCTACGTCTGCCGTGCCGGCTTTCACACCTGCGCTCGCCTCGGTGCCGCAAGCAGCGGGCGCCTCAATGCCGTCGGATGCGCGGTGGGAGCGCTTTGCCATTCTCGAGGAGGCGCCTGCGGACCACGCCTTTCTGAAGGAGAAGGTCGAGGCGCCGAAGAAGGCCTTCTTCTCGCGCCTGCAGAAGGAGTTCAAGATCCTGCAGAACAGCCTGCCTGGTGCGTGCAGCGGTGTGACTTGCGTTGTGCACGCGATTGACCTCCTTGCCAGACTCGATCCTGGTGCGCAGCTACGAGGACCGGCAGGACCTGCTGCGCGTCCTCATCATCGGCAGCGAGGGCACGCCGTATGAAGACGCCCCTATCCTAGTCGACTTCTCCCTCAAGGCCGACTACCCGCACTCGCCGCCCGTTGCGCACTACCACAGCTGGACAAGCGTGCGTATGCGCATGGTCAAGGGCGGTGCTTCGCTGACTCGATGCTGCGCCAGGGTGACCGCATCTCGCCGAATCTCTATCACGACGGCAAGGTCTGCCTGAGCGTGCGTATCGCCGTCATTCTCTCGCTGCGCTGTGCTGACGGCCTCGGCAGCTGCTCGGGACCTGGGCCGGCGAGAAGAGCAGCGAGTCGTGGAACCCATCCAAGAGCAGCCTGCTGCAGCTCTTCGTCAGCATCCAGGCGCTCGTCCTCGTCACGAAGCCATACTTCACAGAGCCGAGCCTGGAGCGCACGGCCGGCACAGACGAGGCGGAACTTAACAGCCGGCTGTACAACGAGAAGAGCTACATCCTCTCGTGCGTATGTCGTGCGCACGTGCCGTGCAGCTTGCTCACCCGTCTCTCCAGCCGCGCATTCGTCCGGCGTGCCCTTGAGCATCCGGTGCAGGGCCTCGAGACGGAGCTGGCCTACTTCTACTACGGCGACGCCACGCACCCGTCGCGCCTCCGGCGCGTCATCGAGCGCGCGCAGAAGCTGCTGGCCGGCGTCGATGCGCGTGGCAGCGCTGCGGAGGAGGAGGGCGAGCAGGAGGAGACGGGCACGGTGGACGGGCCAGCGGTGACGCGCCTCAGCGGCGGCGGCGCCATCATCCTGCGGCGCTCGCTCGCGGCCCTGCAGCGCCTGGCCGATGCGCACGCCGCCTGAGCGCCGTGCCGCTTCGCACACATGTCGAGTCACGCACACCACCTAGACTAATCTACTCGGCTGATGTACAGGTGTCGTTCACAGGGTGCTAGTATACAGTGCGGCGCCTAGGTGCGCGACCACGGGCACGGGCAGGCGGCGCTGCCCGTGCGCTCCTCCGACGTCGGCGTCGTGACGCTGGGACGCGCGATGCGCCCGTCAAGCAGCGCGAGTGCCTGCTCGACGCGCGTTTGCTCGACGTACGCCAGCCGGCGCCGCTTGTGCGCCCGGTCGGCGCTGAGCGGCTCCTCTTGCGGCGCAGGGGGAAGTCCAGCGTCGCGCGCTGCACTCGCCGCCTGGAGCGACTCGAGCGCCACGAGCTTCCGGCCGGGCGTCTCTGCTCCGCCCGCACCACTGCCGTGCTGTTGCGGCGGCGGCGTCTGCGGCTCGATCTCGACGCTCTCGCGCTGTGCGTCCCTGTCGCGGCGCAGCGGCTGGTAGGTATAGCGCGCCGAGACCGAGCTGCGATGGCGCAGCAGCGGCGGGCGCGGCGGCGCGGGCATGGCGGCGGGCGCACGCCCGGACACGACGTCGGCGAGGAGCGTCAGGCCGCCGGTGCTGCTGGCCTCGAAAGCGGGAAAGGACGGGTGCGAGCGCAGCATGCGCCACGCCTCGGGAATGCTCGCTTGCTGGGGCGCAGCGGCCGACCGCGGCGACGGCGCTGGAGGCGCAGCGGGGCGCGTCGGCGGCTCCGTGTACCACACGCTCCTCTTTGCCGGCTGCACTCGGCGCTGGCGCAGCGGCACGGCGTTGCCGGCGTCGAGATACGTGGCGCCCGCTGCGTCCTGCCCGGCGCCGCGCGACACGGCCTCGCAGAAGGCGGCCAGGGCCGGATCGGCGCCGCACGCGCCGCACGACGACGGGTCGCCCGAGCACACGGCGGCCGCCGGCGCACCGGCGGCCAGCGTGAAGCGCGGCCCGGGCGACGAGGCGTGCAGCGGCCACAGCGGCTGCTTGGCGCCGGCGGTGCGGTGGGGCGACGGCGGCGGCACGACGCTCCAGAGGCGCGCCTTGCCGCTCGGCGCCCGGCGTGCCAGAAGTGCAGCTGGCGCTGCGGGTGCGAGGAGCGACTCGAGGCGGAGTGCCGGCAGCTGCTCGGCCGCATCCTCCTCCTGCTTGATCGCCAACACCGACGAGCGCGAGTGCCGCTCGGGCGAGTGCCGCTCGGGCGAGCCGGTGAGGTCGAGCACCTCGCCGCGGCAGAGGCAGAGCGTGTCCTGCGTGCAGATGCCGCAGTCGCGGTCGATGTGCAGCGCCAGCGCCGACGGCGGCGACAGCGGTGCGTGCGGGTGCATGTTGAGGCCCGCAGCCGGCGGCGGCGGCCGTGGCTGACGGGGCAGACGCACACTCGGGCCCACGGCCGTCGTCGCCGTCGGCGGAGCGGGCTGCGCCGGCGCCGGCTGCTCGTGCAGCGGCCGCTTGCATCCCTGGCCCTCGACGCAGCGGCCGGCCGCCGCCGCCTTGTCCAGCTTCTCGCAGCGCAGCCGCAGCGCCGCATTCTCGCTGCGCAGCGCCGCATTCTCCTCCTTCATGCGGCGCGCCACGCGCTGCAGCTCCGTCGCCGCCTCGACGCCGGCGGCCTCGTACGCGGCCACCTTGGCCTCGAGGCCGGCGAGGTAGGACTGCTTGCGCTCGCGAAAGGCGCGCTGCGACGCGCGGTTCTGCGCCTTGCGTTTCTGGCGATGGGACGTGAGTGTGCGACTGGCGAGCAGGGGTGTGTGTGCACTCACCGTCGGCGGCTCCTCGGCGCTCGGCTTGCGGCCGGGCTTGGCGCGTGCCGGCAGCACCCAGGTGCGCGACGGCTGCACGGCGCTGGCGGCGCTGGCGACGAGCGGGCGCGCGTTGGCGGGCACGGCTGCTGGAGGCGAGGTGGCGCTGCTGCTCCTGCTGCTGCCGGCACTGCTGCTGGCGCTGCTGCTGCCCGACGGCTCGTCGTGCAGCGAGACGGACGTGGAGCTGGCGCGCGTGGGCGACGCCGAGCGCGAGGGCGATGCGGCGCGTGCTGAGCGTGGTGGTGCTGGTGCGGCAGCTTGCGGCGTGCCAGATGCTGTAGCAGCTTGAGCTGCCTGCGGTGCAGCAGGTGCAGCAGGTGCGCGAGCCGCAGCAGAGGTGCTGGCCGCAGGGGTGCGCGGTGCAGCGGGTGCCCCTGAAGCAGCGGGCGTCGACGCCGGCGGCTGCGTGCGAGGCTGCGGTGCCGGCGCTGACGCTGCTGCGGCGCTGCCCGGCTCCTGGACGGGTGGACGCGGCCGGATGGCAGCCGGGCGCGGCTGGATGCTGCGCACGCCGGCGCTGCGGCTCGACGATGCTGCGTGCGGCGCGGGTGCGATGGGGCGCGGCGCCAGGAGGCGTGGACGCGGCGGCGCGGCGGGCGCGGGTGCGAGGCGCGACATGCTGATGGGTGGTGGAGAGGAGCGACGAGCGAGCACCGCTCAAGGCGCACAGGACCGAGAGGCCTGAATGGTCTTGGGGTTGCGGCCGCGATGGCGCCGTCGCCAGATCTGATTAGATTGGGACCGGCGCTGATCGCGCCGATCCGCCGGCACCAGCCGCGCTGCTCCCACGCTTGCTGTCACGTGCGTCGCCCCATCGCCCCGCCCCGCCGCTGCGCCGCCCACGTCACCAACACTCCGCGCGCGCCAGCAGTCATCCGTCCCGCACCCATCGCGTCTCGCCCACCTCGCCGCCATGTCCGCCGTCGCCCGCCTGCGCGACCGCACGTCCGACTTTCGCGCGCTCCTCTCGGCGCACGAGGGCGACGTGGCCGCGTCGAGCAGCTCGCGCCTCGTGCAAGCGCCGCGCGAGACGCCCGGCGCGCGCGGCGAGTTCGCCAAGCGCGCCGGCGCCGTCGCGCGCGAGATTGCAGACACGAGCGCCAAGCTCGGCCGTCTGGCGCAGCGTGAGTTGGGTGGCCAAGCGATGCAGCATAATGGCAGAAGGCCGCGGCGAGGCGATGTCGATGGGTGCCGAGTGCCAGCGGCGGAGGGTCATGAGCGAAGGGCACGGCAGCTGCGGAGGAGGGCGCAGTGGGCCGCAGCCCTTCGAGGAGCATCGCACCTCTTTGACAGCGCTGGCCGGGCTCCTCATCGCATGCGCATGCCACAACACGGCACCCGCTGGCCTGCTCGCGGCTGCTCCTGCCGCCCGATTGGCTCCCACCTGTGTCGGCCACACCGCTCACACCGCCGACAGTGGCCAAGCGCAAGACGCTCTTCGACGACCGGCCCGTCGAGATCTCGGAGCTGACGTACATCATCAAGCACGACATTGCCGGCATCAACGGGCAGCTCTCGCAGCTGCAGACGCTGCACCTCGCCTCCAAGGCCAAGCCCGGCGCGGCGAAGCGCGACCGCGCCGAGGAGCACCGCGGCAACGTCGTCACGCTGCTGCAGAGCCGCCTGGCGGGCGCCACGAGTGCGTTCCAGGAGGTGCTCGAGGTGCGGACGAAGGTGCGTGGCGCGAAGGTGGTGAGCAGCTGTGGCACCCGGCTAAGCAGCTCCACACAGAACATGAAGGCGTCGCGCGACCGCAGCGAGCAGTTTGCCTTTTCCGGCGGCGCACCGGCGCCCGGGCAGAACTCCGGTGCGTGCCTGTGCCGCGTCGTGCTGCCGGCGACCGCATCGCTCATGTCACTGACGCCCGTCAGTGCTGCGCGCGCGCAACCTGCCGACAGACTCGCCGCTCTACAAGCCGCACGGCGGCGCGCAGGCGGCGGCCGGGAGGGCAGCCTTCGACCCGGCGCTCGCGGGCGCCGACGGGTATGATCCAAAGGCCAAGGGCGGCGGCGAGTTCCTGGCGCTGGACATGGGCCAGCAGCAGGACCAGATGCTGCTGATGGAGAGCGGCGGCAACGTGAGTGCCAGCGAGAATCTTGTGTGGCGCACTGGCTGATGGCGCAGCAGGATGCGTACCTGCAACAACGCTCCACGGCCATCGAGTCGATTGAGTCGACGATCTCGGAGCTGGGACAGATCTTTGGGCAGCTGGCGCACATGGTGCAGGAGCAGGGCGAGACCGTCACCCGGTGAGGCACCTGTGTGAGCCAATGTGTGGCACGAGCTGATGCGAGGCGAGCAGGATAGATGCCGACGTCGAAGAGGTCGGCCTGAATGTCGACGGCGCGCAGCGCGAGCTGCTCAAGTACTTTGCCAATGTCTCGAGCAACCGCTGGCTGATGCTCAAGATCTTTGGCGTGAGTCACTGCGAGCAGTGCACAGCTGGGCGTCGCTGACAGGTGCTTCACTGCAGGTCCTCATCGTCTTCTTTCTGCTCTTCATTGTCGTCAGCTAGACGCCCGCCGCAGGCTACACGAGACCGCGCGCCTCACTCCGCCTGCAGCCTGACTTCCACTCTCTCGGGACAACAGGTGCATTAGACGTCATTATACCCTTATTGGTCGTGCGCAAGTCATGGTGCTGGCGCTGAAGACGAGCGCGAGCGGCACTGCACGTCTGAAGGTGATGCATGTTGGGTATCGCTTGCAGGTGCTGGTGTGAGCGAGCCGAGAAGTTGTGTGACTACACCGCCGCTGATGGTGGCGTTCTGCGCCTTGCGAGACCTCGACGTGCCGGCGCTGCATGTGCCGTTGCTGGCGGAAAAGCGTCTGGCGTGCGTGGCTGCTTGCGCCCGGCATCCTTCCATGGCGGCTGGGCATGCTTCGTGGCCGTAGCTTGCGCAGCCCTGGCCCGTCTCTTCTCCCGGCCCATGCTCCGCCATCACGACGCCACGCCTCAGACGAGCTTCTGCTGCGCGGCGCTGTTGGGCTGCGGCTGCGCGGCTGCTTGTGCTGGTGCTGCGGCCGGTGCCTGCGCCTGTGCGCGCTCCTTGACGCCCTCGCTCTTGCGCTGCAGCTTCTCGGCAAGCTCGCGCAGCTCGGCGCGGCCCTCCTCGGCGATGGTGCGCGGCGGCGCCTGCTGCTGCTTGGCCAGCGCCTCGGGCGTGAGCACGGGCGGCGCGTCGGCCTCGCGCCCCGCCGCCGATGCGACGGCGGGGCGCTCGGCGACGTACTGGCGCAGCAGCGGGTCGAAGACGTAGGCGCCCGACACGACGCCGACGGTGGCGGCGATGAGGAGCGGGAAGATGCGCTGTGTGGCCGACATGGCGGGTGGTGGTGGGGAGGAGGCGGCGCGATGTGGAGCAAGCGCGGCTGACACAGGCGGCGCGGGGCGGGCGCGCGCGTCACGTGCGGTCGCTCGCGGTCGTCTGGCCGGTCGGAGCGAGTCGGGCGCGGGCGAGGTTCAGATGCAGGGCCGCGTCGGCCGCCGGCGGCGCGCTGCGCCAACAACGGCGAGGCGCGCAAAGGCCGCGGCAGCGCCGAGACCGACGCCGCGCCCCCCAACGACGTTCTTCCTGACCCACCACCTCCCCTAACCTATCCGCACCTCCTCGACGATGCTCGCTGCCCGTGCCTCTCTGCGCGCTGCGTCGGTGCTGCGTGTGAGTGCGCGTGGCTGCTGCGATGGGCTGGCAGCATTAGGTGCCGGCACGGCGCCGGTGCCGTGCTCCGACCCGACCTGCTCCGCGCATGCGCCGTGGGCGCGCGCTGTCCAACACCGCTCCCCGCATGCAACGGGCGGCCGCCGGCGCTGCGCTCTCCTCCGCACCACCACGAGCACCGCTCACCCGCCTCCTCCAGACGCCCGCCGCCGCCGCCAGCACCCGCGCCTTCTCCCTCTCTGCCAGCATGGTGCGTGCCTCCACCTCGTGCGCGCGCGCACACAGCTGCTCACCACGCGCGCAGGCCCAGAAGTTCCGCGCCGAGCGCGACACGTTCGGCGACCTGCAGGTGCCCGCCGACCGCTACTGGGGCGCACAGACGCAGCGGTGAGTCGGCGCACGGCGAGGAGCGGCGATGCAGCGTGTGCCGGAGGAGTGTGCGGCGAGTGGCTGGGAGGCAGATCGTATCCGACGGCTGGCGGGCGGCTGTGCAGCGTCAGTGGTGCACACGGGCGCTGGTGTGCAGCTGGATAGCGAGGCGGATGCGATCGCGCGGGGGCACCAGGCTGTGCAGCGCCTGCGGCTTGGGCGCTGCGGGCCTGTGCGCCGTGATGCGGCATGGAGCGTGCTGCCTTTCTCGCCTGCTGCCGCCGCGCCAGCTGCTCACACCTCTCCGCAGCTCACTGCAGAACTTCGACATTGGCGGCGCGCAGGAGCGCATGCCCCTGCCGCTCATCCAGGCGTTCGGCGTGCTCAAGAAGGCCGCCGCCGCTGTGAACCAGACGTACGGCCTCGACGCCAAGATCGCCGATGCCATTGGCCAGGCCGCCGACGAGGTGAGTAAGAATGACATGCGCTGAGGGCGGTGTGCAGGGGCTGTGCGTGCGCCTCGGCAGATGCGGCTGCGTAGGTGTGCCTCGACGGTTGATTTGGTGCTGGCGATGCGGCTCCGCGAGCGTGCCAGCTGGCAGCGAGGCGCACCAATGTAGACCCCGACTGCAGCTACGCTGTGCTCACGCCGCGCCGGCAGGTCATCTCGGGCAAGCTCGAGTCGCACTTCCCGCTCGTCGTCTTCCAGACGGGCAGCGGCACGCAGACGAACATGAACGTCAACGAGGTCATCTCGAACCGCGCCATTGAGATTCTCGGCGGCGAGCTCGGCTCCAAGAAGCCCGTGCACCCCAACGACCACGTCAACATGAGCCAGAGCAGCAACGACACGTGAGTGCGCCGGGTGGTGCAGCACCAGCGCCGGTGCTGACGCTGCGCACAGCTTCCCGACGGCCATGCACGTCGCCTCGGTGCTGCAGATCCGCAACTCGCTGCTGCCGGCGCTCGAGGAGCTGCGCGAGGCGCTCGACGCCAAGCGCGCGTCGTTTGACGACATCATCAAGATCGGCCGCACGCACCTGCAGGACGCCACGCCGCTCACGCTCGGCCAGGAGTTCAGCGGCTACGTGATGCAGGTCGCCAACGGCATTGCGCGCGTCGAGGCCGTGCTGCCGCGCCTCAGCATGCTCGCGCAGGGCGGCACCGCCGTCGGCACGGGCCTCAACACGTACGCCGGCTTCGACGTTGCCGTGGCCAAGAAGATCTCGGAGCTCACGGGCGTGCCCTTCGAGACGGCGCCGAACAAGTTCGAGGCGCTCGCCGCGCACGACGCCATCGTCGAGGCCAGCGGCGCGCTCAACACCGTCGCCGTGTCGCTGATGAAGATTGCCAACGACATTCGCTACCTCGGCTCGGGCCCGCGCTGCGGCCTCGGCGAGCTGAGCCTGCCCGAGAACGAGCCGGGAAGCAGCATCATGCCCGGCAAGGTCAACCCGACGCAGTGCGAGGCGCTCACGATGGTCGCCGCCCAGGTCATGGGCAACAACACGACGATCAGCATCGCCGGCTCGTACGGCCAGTTCGAGCTCAACGTCTTCAAGCCCGTGCTCGTCAAGAACCTGCTGCAGAGCATCCGTCTGCTCGCCGACGGCGCGCGCAGCTTCACCAAGAACTGCGTCGTGGGCATCGAGGCGAACCGCGACACGATCAAGAAGATCCTCAACGAGTCGCTCATGCTCGCGACGATCCTGAACAGCCACCTCGGCTACGACAGTGAGTGGCGCGATGCGGGTGATGTGCGGTGGATGCGAGCGCTGACCCCCTTCTGCAGACGTCGCCAAGGCCGCCAAGACGGCGCACAAGGAGGGCACGACGCTCAAGGAGGCCACCGTCAAGCTCGGCTTCCTCACGCCCGAGGAGTTCGACGAGAAGGTGCGCCCGGAGCTCATGCTCGGCCCCGACGAGCCGCCGAAGCAGTAGAGGGATAGGGATAATAGATTGCGTCACCTGGATGAGCTGTCTGCGGCGTGAGCTGGCGGGCGCGCCGTACTGCCGCGTTGAGGGCCATGCGCGACCGTCTTGCACCGCAGCGTAAGGTCAGGCATACAGGCTTGCTGAGCGGGGTGGATTGACCCTGCGCCGCCTCCTGCTGAGGTGCAAAGGCAGGAGCCATGCCAATGGGGCCAGGGCCAGGCCAAGCAGCTGGCGCAATAAAGCGCGCTACCTCCTGGCTCAGTGTGCTGCTCTGACTGGAGTCTTGCTTCTGCAAAAAGCCCGCAGAGAAGACCTCCAAGAAGGTCACAACTGAGCATATGTCAGCAATAGCACTTGTCACGTGGGCAAGGCCCAGGAGGAAGGCAACAGGAGTCTGGCAGGCAGCCACGCAGGATCTGAGTAAGCTCTGGAAGCCTAGTCAAGAACCTAGACCCTTGCCGGAGAGGAGGGTGTGACAATGCAAGATCAGAACTGACTATCTACATGTGGGAGTGGGGGAGGCCCTCCTTATATACCTTAGAGGGCAGAGCAGGGAAGACGCAACGCAGGTTCTACAGTGTTCTGTGAGGGAAGCTCATGGAAGGGGATGGAAGGTAGTGGAAACAGATGCAACCTGGTAGAATGTTCCAGGCGGATCTGTGAGGTTCTGTAACCTTCTGCACAGTTCCGTACGCTTCTGTCAGGTTCTGTAGAGTTCTAGGACGTTCCATGGGGTTCCAGAGGGTTCTCTGAGGATCCATGGAGTTACGCAGGGTTCCAGAGGGTTCTGTAGGCAATCTGCCGCTTGGTTCATGACAGTACCCCCGGGTGTAAGCGCTTGTTCCACGAGCGCGGTTAGGGCCCTGGACGGTGAGGATAGCGCCGGTGATAGCTCTTGACCAGGGAGCTTGAAGGGTCCAGCTCTGATGCTGGGATCCAGGAGGCTGCGTCCAGGTGGAATTGTCCTGCGGCGCAGCGGCAGAGGGTGTCCAGGTTGAGAGGTCCTGCAACACCACTTGAGAGAGGGGGAAGGCAGCGTCTAGGTGGAGTTGTCGGCGCAGCCATGGCAGAGGGTGTCCAGGTTGAAAGGTCCTGCAACACCAGAGGCATAGGAAGAGGCAGCGTCCAGGTGGAGTTGTCCTGCAGCGCAGCAGTTGATGGTGTCCAGGTTGAGAGGCCCTGCAACACCCATGAGGCGGGATGGTTGTCTGTAGAGTCCAGGAGTGATGCTGGAGGAGAGGCTGTTCTGGGCAGGTTGTGTTGACTTGGTGCAGAGAGGGGCCTGAGATATGCCAGAAGGGCAGGCCTCTTTATCTTCCTGAGTGCTGAGCCTTGGCAGGGCACTGATTGGCCTTGTGTCCCTTGTTGCCGCAGTAGAGACAGAGGTGATTTTCCTGTCTGTACCTCTTCTCTGCGTCTGTAAGTGGCTTGAACTTGCGCAGGGTGGCCGTAGAATCGAGATCCATAGGGGTAGGATCAGAGGTTGGAGCTTGTGGTGCCTGCAGAGTTGCTTCCCGGGTCTGCTGGGGACCTTGGTGCCGGTTGTTTGGGCCAGACTTGTTCATACGGCGGTCGTAGAGGCGGTTGTCCAGCTTGATGGCAAGGTCTGAGAGGTCCTTGAGGGTCTGAGGGTCCTCTGAAGCGTATGCAAGCGCATCCTTTACCTCAGGCTTGAGGCCAGTGTAGTACTGTCCGCGCAGAGCCTCATCATTCCATCCCAGGAAGGAAGAGACCTGGTAGAACTGAGAGGTGTAGTGCGCCGCAGATCCTACTTGCTTGAGGGCCTGAAGTTCCTTAGTGAGGGTCCTGGTGCGGTCCGGATCTCCCAGATTGCGCAGAAGCTCATTTAGGAAGAGCTGGAAGTCATGGAGTGGGGGGCTGGAGCCCTTGAGAAGATGAGGCTCCACCCACTTGAAGGCGGCATCGCGGAGATATGACACCGCAAATGTGATCTTGGTGTCATCTGTGAGGAAGGTTTCCGGATTTCCGTTGATATAGTGCTTGAGGTGCGCAATGAACGTCTGGGCCTCCTTCCTGTTCTTTCCGTTGTAGGTAGGAGGCTTCTGGAGAGGGTTAGGGTTAGGGTTAGGGTTAGGGTTAGGGTTAGGGTTAGGGTTAGGGTTAGGGTTAGGGTTAGGGTTAGGGTTAGGGTTAGGGTTAGGGT